TGACCATGCATGTGCAGGCATGTTGTTTGAACAAGGTCCTACCATAGAGTGCCTTGAGGCCTTAACATTCAGATAAGCCTGGCCTTACCATTGTTGTGTTATTGAGGCCCGCTGCCTCGTTCTCAGTCAGATGGGTATCGATCTGCCACGACCTCGTTGCGTAATACCTATGCTGATGCAGCTTCGCTTTCGGCACTCGGCAACCTAGCAGAACTGAGGCATCGACAGCGGCACCTTGAACAAAAAAACTAGACAGGCAATGACCCAATTGTTCTGGCCCAGACATGCCAAACCTATGGCTTTGAAGATCCGGGAGCTGCACAGCCACTTCCAGGCAGGCCTCTGAGATAGCTGAACATCTTCTCAGGAGCTGCTGCTGTGGCTAAAACATGCTAAAACCCTAAGCCCCTTCCCACCTTGCAGCCTTTGACCGTGATCAGGTAAGAAGTGGTCCTCGGATAGAACCAATCTGTGCGGCCGCAACAAGCACAAAACGTTTCAATTCGTATCAACCTCTCAGCTCATGGCCCTCTGAAGCCGCGATACAAGCGGCGTATGCCTGGCCTTACTGCCAGCCTGGCTAGCATGGCACGAAGAGCAGAGCTTTCCATTGAGCGTACAGGGTCCGTGCTGCTCTTGTTGTTGTAGAAGGTCTTGCCCGCCAAGAAACACGATCTGCCAATCCGCTGGGACCTGGAAGTTTCAGTATTTGCAAAAAGACAGAGGCGAGAAATGCGTTTTGGATCCGGCCAGAGAAGCAGTGTTGGTCAAACAATGCTGTCTGCAAAACAAATGACTGGCCATTTGCCTGGGCTGGTCGGATGCGTGAAGACTGGCGGGGTCGCGAATTTGTAAAACTGTTGATACCATAGTTAAAGAAGCACCGTCTGGGCGGTCTGGGCCTGCCATGACCTGCCTTGCCTTGTTCTTCCCAGTTGTACATTGCACCGCAGAGCGCAAAAATGTGCGCGCCCGAGCTTCCGTAAGTCGCCCAGAGAACAAGCAGCTCCGAATCTTGTTCAGGAAACATTTAAATGCAAATCGCAACTCTCTCATGTCATTTTTCGTAAACCAAGTGCGGTGCTACGGAGGAGGTGGTTCGATGTGAAGCATCATGAATAGCACGAGTGCGCATGCGCACACTGGCTCTGACATGCAGTTGTTACCCTGAAGGCTGGCTTCAAGAACATCAACTTTCAGACCCGTTTCGCGCAAGCTCTCTAGGCAAGAAGCTGAAACAGAACCACCGTCAAACCGAATTCACAGGTGCCAAAAGCTGCGAGGCAACTTTTCAACAGCCAGCGCCTGGCACAAGGCGCGGTCCAAGCTGGCACCTAGCTGGAGCAAGCTACTGTAAGTCGAAGCTTCCAACATGAGCTTCACTTTGGGAGCTGGGCCGAAATCGGCAAGGAACTCGCAGTTGTCCTGAAGCATCTCTGGAGAGTTGTGGCTCTTGATGGCTCTTGAGGCACTGAGGACAGCAGCATCTAAGGCTTGTGCCTCCACGACGAGGACACGCGCACCTTCACCTGCTTGCCCATGCTTGAGAATCACCTCGGCGACGAGCCTCTGCCAATTCTCTCGCGTGTGAAAGATGACCAACAAGCAAACAGATGCAAAAATTGATGCAAAAGGCATCAAAAACACCACGACCATCCAAGGAGGAGGCAAAGAAACTCAGGCAGGAACATGTCTCCAGAGTTGCATATGGGACAAGGCACGGCCTTGCAGTTCCCAGGGTGCCAGGGTGCCCTGCGTAAGATCATGACTCGAATTTGGTCATATTTCGTCCATCTTCAGGATGCGACCAATGCTTCCTGCTGTAAGATCGATTCCAGTGAGCTTGCTGCCATCCGGCCTGGTGTTAAACTGTTCTATGTCTGCACATGCAGTCCTTCTCACCAACTGAAAGATTTCTGGGTTCCAAACAGAAAGTAGCGCTTCAATGCTGCTGGATTGACGAGCCTGGCAAACATGTTGTCAGTGAAAGATCTAATGTTGACACCATTCGGAATGCATGCACGATGCATTGTGCAAAGATGGGATGAGGCGAGGTGCCCAATCTGCGCCAAGTGACTCACGTTTAGCCTGAGCTGCTGCCATGTCGGGTCGAAGCAGGAGTCACACACAGGGAGCAGATTCAGTGTGGAAAATAAGCTCTATGTGTTCTGTATTTGAAAAGGCTTTAGCCTGTAGCGGAGGCAGTTTCGTGTTGTCTCTTCCTCGTTTCGAAGCTGCGTGCCAACAACATTTTGCTGCTCGGATCTGGTGATTAGTGGCTCCGAACTTGGCGACCTCCGCTTTCGATCCTCTTGCCGCCACAAAAGCCAAGACAACGGCTACCATGCGATGACGGCGATGGAACTTTCGTCTGGCCATGGGGCAACGCCAGGACCCGGGCGTTCAAGACGGTGGACGTGCCGGCAGACACAGCAAAAGTCAGATGCATCCATTTCACAGAATTCAGCAACAGACTTAGTCCTAGCGGGATTGTGTATACATTGTCATAACGTATAGCGGATTGCCGAGGGTTGACCGGCGGTTTACCCAGTAGAGGGCCATGCAAGTTGAGGCAACGGCTGCCGACCATCTACAGCTGACCACCGTGTAGCTGCCATGTGTAGCTCCTCAGCGTGGCGCTGGTGCAACAGGGCCGTCCTGTATTGGCTTGCCAACAAGGAGCACTGAATTGCTTCTGCATGACCTCCCAGCGCCTCAGACACACTATGACACACTCGTTCGAATCCTCAAGTTGCCTACGGTATCAGCTCTCGAAGCTCCTAGTGCCCCAGCTCAGGCTGGCAGTCCAAGTTGACGCAAAACGCCTCGCAATGCTTGATACTTCAAGTGCAGAGCACATGCATGAGCAGTTGGACGCAGTTGGTACATTCAGAGCAGTGCCCGATGAACCTCGAGCACGTCGCCAACAGTAGAAGCGCGAGACCTTGAACTGCAAGCAGCCTCAGTTCAGTCTGTCGTTCTTGATCGGATTCCATGTCCACAGCTTAGGAGCATGGGAGACGGCGCTGCTGTCGAACCACAGTAGTGGATCACCGGGTGGGTGAAGAGAATTCCGTTTCTTTTGGGGTTCGGCCCCTTGGGTTCAGAATGGGTTTAGGGCACATGGGCCCCATTAACTATGTCAACACACAAGGGCCCTCAGATAGAACTCTTGGCAGGCTCTGGGGATTGAGATGGCTTGCTTGGATCTGCGTACCCGCCCGAGACGACCCAGGAGCGTGCAGGCGGCAGGCTTGCATGGCTTGCCTTGTCAGCTTCAAGATTCGGGTGTGCCCTATCGCGGATCGAGGATGTGTGGGCCGACATTAACCTGAAGAGTGAGCTAATTTGCACACTTGGCTCGCGTTGATGCTGTTCACCTTGGGGCTTAAACATTGGAAAACAGCAGCCGAGACTGGTGCTGTCCTTCTTTTGCGCACTCCACCGCTTTGTCCCAGTAAGCTCTTGAATGATCGGGGATTTGTGTGGGGCACAGCCTTTCGGAAAGCTTCACGATACTCAAGAGACGTGTGAGCTGACAGCAATGCGCCCGAAAAGTGGAAAGGCACCAGCTGAGTCGCAAAACGCGTGACATTATTGACCCCCCATGAGGCTGCAACAAAGCAGCGATGAGGACGTGGTTTTGCAATCTGGGTCAGCCTGGGCAACTGCAGGAAGGTCAGAACAGCCATCCATGTGGAGGGAAGCGGATGAGCGAGCTGCTGTAGTCAGTCAACAGGTGCAACAACATCTCCCATGTTGACATGTTGCATTATGTGGTGTAGCGGCCCTAAGATCGACTTCGCGATCTTAGGCAGTCGCCTCAGTGCACGTCCTTACCCTTGGTCTTTCCCTACCTTCATGTGGAAAGGCCTAGCCTGCAGCCACCAAACCTATGACAAGACACACCTTTCCAAATTCGGCCACCTAATCGCCTAATCCTTACGGCTGCAATGCGCTGCGCACTTGCCAATACTTGCCAAATTTGCCAGTCCACAAGCCCAGACAAGTCCAGACTGACAAAACATGACAAAACCCTAGCGGGGCTCCCCTGTAGCCTGTGGGGGGCTGCAGGCGGTGCAGTACACTCTCTGGGATGCCGGCGCTGTGACAGCTGCTGCGAAAATGGTAACCTGGCGACTCGCCACGCAAGCCTGTGCTGGTCGTGTGCTGGTCGGTTTCGTGTGGCAGGACGCAAGAACGAGGCAACTGCTCGAAAGCTCTTGCGGGCCGTTTCATGGACCTCGAGCGATATCGAGTGTGCAGAGCTTTTGCTTCAGAACCGAACAAATCTCACCGCGACCGATGTGCCTGTGGCATTTCCGCTGGTCGGGGGCTGTGGCATTGCCGCACATTTCTGAACGTGCGCTACTTGGGGTGTTTGGGCTTGCTTGAACATATGCCTGCCATGTTTGAAACATATTGTTGCACTGCGCTCAGCTTTCATGGGGCACGTGCATGGCCGCGCTGTGCACATAGGCGAGTGCCGAAATATTCGCGGCTGAGGACCAGTTCACGGTGCCAGGGAAGCACCGTTTCAGCAAACGCTCCAAGATTGCAACCGGTTGCAAGGAAACGGCGTGAGCAAGTCTACTGGTTTTTGTCCCTTGGGGACGTTCAATGTATCAGGCGGCAGCAAACCAGTGTTCAGACTCCTGCCATTGCAGGACCCGCTAGTTTGCAGACCTGAGTCGCAGGCAAGCCACGTCTCAAACATTTCAGGGTCAGAGTCGCAGGCCGCAGGAGCAAACTTTCAAGCTGGACAACTGGCTCAGTCGTGACCCCAACACACAGTGACAAGCTATCGCCGTGAGGCCTTTTAAACCGGGTTGAAACTGCACCCCTGCGGCCTGAACCAACTGCTTCCCTTGCGGCCACTTACAGCCGCTAAAACAATTGTCGTCCAAGCGCGTCATGACAGCACGCCGCACATCACATGGTCTGTGTGGCCTTCTAGCTCCACTAGTGGTTCACTTTCCACTGCAGTGTCATAGAGCTTCAGAACATCGCCGAAAAGCTCCCCATCTTCCCTCAGATTACTTGGTCTTACATGTCACCGACTTCGAACTTCTGCACAGTTCCTGGTGCCGCGCCCACCGGACACAGCGCACAGGCAGCGCTGCCTGTGAATATCAATGGCCACCTTGCCGCAATGGCATCATCTGACCATGCAGTCTCCAGATATGCAATTGTCCGAGATGCAGGCGCAGCGCATCTGTTCGCTGCCCAGGAAGGTTTCGTACAAGCACTGGCCATCCTGCATTCCATTGCAAGGAATGCTAAGCACGAGCATGCGAAGCCTGGCTTGCTAAGTGTATCTATGTTCAACCTCAACCATGTCAGCGACATCGGCAGCAAATCCTCGAGGTTCCAGGTCCAACAGAACAATCCTTTCTGACTCTTGTCATGGAGTCCTGCCGACGCGGGTTCGATGAGCTGAATCCCGCCCAACTTTGTCTACCCGAGCCTGAGGCAATGCACCTTTTGCTGGGCCAGTCCTGGCACAAAGCGCGTCCTTCACTTGCACACACATCATCTCCACACTCAGCAACGCGATTTGTCCATCACGAGCTCTTGTACATGACGACAGCCGCACCTGAACTCCTGGCCATTTCACACTGCTTGGTATAGCATGGCGTAACTCATAACGCAAAGACTTGTCACCGCTTGTGTCTGTACCACTCAACCAGCTGCTAATACGCAATTCTCTCACTCCACCTCAGTTGCCGCCTGGCCCCTCGCTTTTCCATTTTTCTTCCGCCCCCTCCTGAATGCATGTTGGGCCATCCAGCTTCCAAATCTTGATCGTGCCAGAAGCCGCAGCGACTACCTCAGGCATCACCGTCGAGCTGCAAGCGAGTGAAAGGAGGTTGCTCCGCGGCACATGTTGGGCAAGCCAGTCGACTGCCATGGCCTGCGGAGCTCGGCAGGCTTTGCTTGTGGTTCTCGTACTAGTTCTGGGCATCTTTGCTCTTTCTGCATCGTTCGAAAGACCCTGAAGCGCCTGGATGTTAGATTCAGCCTCCGTTTGCCAAAGAAGCTTCCCTGAATCCAAGGAAAACAACCGCAGGCGCACGTCGTCGTTGACTAGCGCGTGCCTCAGACTCCAGGCCAAATAGGGGTATTGGGTAGCTTCTGACAATTTCGCATATGAATTCGGAACGTTTTCTGCAGGATCGCTTGCCAGTGTCCAAGGCCAGGCCCCTACGGGTGCAATTCGTGTGTTTGTACCACGACCAGCCCAGGAGGCTGACCGCAAAACTTGGTGCCACTCTTCGCCCAAGTTCATCAAGCTTACTTGAAGTATGCTGCCTGAACCTGAAAACCAATCGTGCTGCCGCGGGGAACGGGGGTGGGCTTTCCTCGTCCACCTGAAAACATGAAACTGTGAAGGCCATGTTGAGATCTGAAGCCCCAACTCACAACTAGTGACTAGTGGCTAACGGTTAACGGGCATGTGGCGATCGAAGATGCTCATCGACTGGGCAACAAACAGCAAAGCTACCAACACACTGCTTGGATCCAAGCGATGTCCAGTCCGCTGACAATGATCTCACCCCACAGTTGCCAAAACCTGGTGGAACATACACGATCTGCAGCCCTGCAGGAACATCAGCCAGCAGACGGCCTGTGATATGCTGTCCCGATGCCAAATCCCAAAGGGCCACCGTCGCCCTGGAGGTCATCGGTAGGATGCTGCAGCCTGCGCTGCAACCAGGAGCCATGTTCAACAATTTCTGGGTTCCGCTACCAAGTCGCCGACAGGAAGCGAAGGCTGCACAGCCGCTGATTGCGAGCTTGGCATGCCAATTGAACTCCACCTATACTTGAATCAAACAGAGCTACCAAATCGCATCGGCAGCTTGGCCTCCTGCACTGCATTCTCTGATGGTTTTGAACATCTAAGTCAAGGGCGCATCGGAGCATATGAGTTGACGCATCTGTGAGCGCGCGCAGGCATACCCCACGATCAAGATCCCACAGCCTTCAGGGGTAGCGCATCCCGGACGAAGGAATTGAGGAAACTACGATGGGGAGGTTCAGCCTCTATTGCTGTGAGATGACGAGCGAAATGAAAACATTGCCATGGGAAAACTACCCTGCCGATGCTCATGGCATTTGTTGCAAAGCGGCTGGCAAAACGTATTGCGCTGGTGTCTTCCTTGCTTGTGACACGGAGGCGCCAAAAAACTGCGGCGTCGTCCTAGCTCTTCTCAAGTCTTTACACTTCGCAAAGCGTGAAAACACGCGCGAAACTCGCACCCTCCCCCTCAATCGCCGCTCGACCTGTTGCCTTGCATGCGGTGCTTGCACATCTCCCGTCGCATGGTCTGGTAGCCTTGCCTCTGAACACCGTCTCCGCTGTAGTACGTGACACCCTCCCATTATCTCAGCATGTGGCCAGCCCAAGTGGAGTCCGAGTACACGTCCAGGCGCGGCTTGCCTGAGCAAGTTGGGTCGCCCGCACGTACCGTGCCAACGCAAGCAGCATCAAGGTCACGATGAAGGTCACGCTTGTGCGGTTGTGGATCTTGGGGCCTCGAGGTGACACTAAGGCGTCCGTACTGCCGATCAGCACGCAAAGCTCTTGCCCTCAGCCTTCGTCTATTCGGCATCGCGTAGGCCATGGCCACTGTTTCCATGCGTCGTCGACACCAGTGCCCGCCTCCTCACCGCGAGGACCCTGAAAACAATGTGAGCCTTCCTTGCTGGCCGACCTCAAGTCCTTCCCCGTGACTTTGCTTTCGCGGCCGCTGCAACCAAGATCGCACCAGATTAATCCGAGCCCAGGTACATTTTTGAACACGCAAGCGCAACACATGGCACGTACCTTTCATCTTTTCGAAGCTGGGGCAGGAGTCCTAGACCCCGACCGGAGCGGAAAGACGAGGGGCAAAGAAGGAAGGATGGGCCATCCTTTCCTGGCTCAAGGATCTGGGGCCTTCAGGGATGGCGGAGGGCAAGCCAAAAGATGCCCAAGAATTTTGCCAGACTTGGCTCGAGATCATGTCCACTGTGGGATGGCTGCGCAAGACAGGAACGATGCGCGATCTTTGCCAAATGGCGTTTTCACAAGCACTAAGAAAACGCCTTGAAAGCCTGGAGCTTTTCATGGCTGATGAGCCAGCTTGGCTCCAGCTCGAAACATGCACGGTTGGGAGGAGCCGAAGGACGCCGGACTGCTGGAGCAAGGGCCCTGCTCGAGACCATGGATTGGATCCCGCGGTTGTCTTGCAGCGTCTTGCAGACTCCGATTCTCGGCCGGAAGCGGGAGGTCTGGACCACTCTACAACTCTTCCTGGCCTCGATTCTCGGCCCGAATGAGGAGCCAACAAAGAGGGTCCTTGTCCACAACCCGGCCATGTGCAGAACCTCTCTGCATACAAGTTCGCATGGCATGACTTCCCGTGCTGGTACGGCTGATTGTTCGGCACAAGCCTGAACAACCAACGAAGTTCCGACGGGATGATGAGAAGTGACGAGCGCTGAGTGAGTTGTGCTCCCTCTTCGCTCGAAAGCAAACGTTCACTGCATGCCATTAACCTCCATGAGCCACCTCCATTTCTTCTCCACTGTCTATTGTCCTCCGTGCGAAAGTACTTTGGGATCGAAACGTTCACGACCTCTCTTGGCAAGGCCTGGGTGGTCACCTGAACGTACAAGCCTTCCTCGACGGGGCATGTTTCAGCACGATCGCCCAGGTTCCAGTTCGCCTGGTGCCGTCCTATCTCCTCAACGTTGTGCCGAACAGGACCCGCAACCACATCTCCAGTCATTTTCTTCAGCACCAGGACATAATGACTCAGACGAGTGGTTGGCTTTCCTCCTCTTCGGGCACTGGACCGAGAAGCATGTTGCCGGGGAGTTTATGCCCTACATTCCCGAGAAGCTGAGCAGACTGGACAGGACGAAATCGTCAGCCGAGATATTGCTCATAGCCAAAATGGCCACGATCGAGCACAAGCATGCGCATTGCGTGAACATCCCCATCCCAAGCCAAACTTGTTGGTGGTGGATCGCATATGTCTGAGAGATTGGAGCGTCATTCGGTCTAGCTGCAGCTTGGCGCATTTTGCCATAGCAGGTTTGACGACCCAAGCTCTGATCAACTTCGGGATGCTTTGGGGTTTTGAGGGTTCCAGGCCTCGAAGACCGGACTAAAAACTCATTCTTTGTGTGACATGCGGGACGATGGATGTTTCAGGCCCGGCTGTGGTGTTTGTGGGGTAGGCGTTGTGGGGCGCACTCAGGCCAGCCTCAGCGTGGAGGCATGACCGCTTAGCATAATCCGTGCTGTCCAGTCCTCCAGGTTGATTCTCAACTTGTGCAAGTTGTGCAAACGATGGGTCTTGGGCCCCGGCAATAGACAAGCAAGTGATGGTCTCGCCAACAGGCAGAAACCGGCAACAACTACCAGTGCGGAGATTCCAGACCAAGAAATCTCCATCGGAACCTGGGCTGGCCGCCGCTTTTTTGCATAAAGCTGTCTTCAGTGTTGATAATTGTTGATACCTGCCAAGGAACCGCCGGTCACTGCACAGGGCTGCGGCGATCGGAGAAGAGTGATCCTCAAATGTCTTTTTTCTCTTACGCCCGCATTTCACAATCGTGTTTGCCGTGTTGGTACGTCAGATGCAACAACCATCAGTGCAGGTGTCTCTACATGGCCGTCGTTCTGAAACTCGATGAGAAGGTCCTCGTCCTCTAACACCTGAAGAGAAAACACACAAGACATCGTGAGGGTTGCCTCCCCTGCAGAAATTCCATGCCATCTGAGAGTCGTGCGCGGCCGTTGCAAACCAAATGCGCATCATAATTTGGAATGCTTCTTGCTTCTTGGAGTTGGCGTCGCACTGTTGCTACCTTGCACGTGTACCCTTATACAATACATGTGGCTTGTTGCGTTTTTTACCAACGCCCATCCGCTTCTGCACAGGACCGCCCCGTGCCTGACTGTCATTCGACAACTGGAACACACCGAGTACCTGCTCAGGCCGCGTCCCTGGATGACGTCTTGAGGGTTGTGAGGTTGTCAGGGTGTACCTCTGCCGCGAGATCGCTGACTGATACTTGAAGGGATCCGTTGCAGTTCGTCCCAGGGCCGATGGCCAGGTCCATCAAAAGTGGATGAGTCCATTCGAGTTGGAAGATTCACCACATGTCAGGGTGTCTGCAGACGGAGCTTTTCTGTGAAAACGCCATTGGTGCCTGTGCTGCTCTGAACGTTCCCGATGAACATGACTTGGCGGCAGCTTGATATGATTTAAGCTTGGGCCTAGTGATGCAGTTGAATCGCACTCCCACCCTATGCTGGGTCAGTGCATGCAGGTGAAGCTGACAACTGAGCGGCGCATCTTTTTTCTAAGGACATAAACGTTGGATCATCGACGCAAGGAGGATAGCTTTTGCACCCTCCGCGCTATTCAAGCGCGAATCCCTGTTGCAACCTACCCTACAAAGTTCGTAAACTCTCACAACTTCAGTCTGTTGGCGATGGCCTTGACAAATCTCAGATTTCAGTACTTCACTACTTCTACACAAGAAGCAGAACAGGTCCTTTGGAACCTGCGATCGGCCATGCGACCAAGACATTCTTGGGAGCCTGGCTTCGTAGGCCTCCGTGATTTGCTGGAACCTCAGCATGATACACAAACAGAAATGATCAGAAATGAGGTGAAGCCGGCAGCGTCATGACCTGCGTGGGCAGGCGGGCCTCCGGGTGGCCTCCTCCACGTTCTCCGGGTGCTTGTCGGGATGGCAATCCCTAGCCAATCGGCGATAATGCCGCCTTCGCAGGAGGACAGTGCGTAGCTTTGCCGAAAGCTGTGCTTCTTGTCCAGTCCGCCCTTTAGCTAGAAACCGGGAGTAGCGTGAAAAATCATACTCTACACCTCCAAATACCTCAGTATCTAATTTTGTGTGACATAACATGCCACGCCCAAGTTCGCTTTCTCTTCATCACAAAGCCCCCAGGATGCACCCCAACATATTTTACATACCGAAACGAACCCAGAAAGCTGGTAAGCGGCGAGCTCAATACAAGCAACGGGCTGAGGCAAGATGTGCGCGTTTCCTTTAGGGCTACATTGTACCTCTGGTGCCTCTTTCTTGCCAAGTTTAAGAAAGGACGCAACAATTGATTCAGGTCATTGCGGGGGGGGGGGGGGAGAGTGTGCACATGCAGAGAAGCTGCTGCAGTTTCTGGCTGATGTTGTGGTGTCAAGTGATCGGCACATGTGTTCTGGAAGATACAGTGTCTCAAAGGGCCAGACGGGTAAAGGCGGCGCTGATGCCAGTTTGTACAATGATCCGAAAGAGGCCAATACTTCATAACATTTCGTTCTCGTTTTGGATTTCAGGGCCCCAGGCCTCCCCAAATTAAAAAGATGTGAGGTGGGTGAACATCCTGTGGACCAAAGCATGCCGAATGATGTAATGTAGCTAAATCAACATGCCTCAACAGGCTTCAACCCAATTGCCTCTGGAGATAGGCTCGCAGCTCAAGGCAAGTGTCACACAACAGACAGGACCTGCAAAAATGCTACCAGCGTGGACTTGGTTTGTCATCTGGCTTGAAGCATTTCGGAGCTGCAGCGATCCTTCTAACTGGTGGCAGAGGCAGCTGCCCGGCGCTTCGCATGCAGCTGTGTATCAGAGGCTGGGCCAGGCAAACACGGGTCAGCTGTAAGAAGCGGTGTGTTCGGCAGTCGGTGAAATCGTGCCGTCGTGCAGTCTGCGCCGAACCTGCGAAAGATGCTAGACCTGTGGGCAATCGTCGTAGTTTATTGACCGGAACAGCACGTGCTTGCCTGAGTAAGGTCGAGGTTTCTTCGGGTGAGCATGGACATTTGACACGTTTAAGGCATTCATGCTTCGGTTGTACGACATCGGGCATGCAGCGTTGCAGCCGCTCAACGCACCCGACTGTAATGGAAGACACAGCAAAACGGCACGCCTGATGATTTCAGGTGGCGTCGTCTCGGCCTTGCACGGGTTGAGAAGCACACAAACTTACTTCACCTGTTGCAGACCCAAAGGCAAGCAGCACCCAATGGCAGTCAACCTTGTTTTCACATGGTGGCCCGTACATCTCGTACGACGCTCCCGTGACGGAGTTTCGCGACGTTCTACATCCGCATGCTCGGCCAGCCAGGGTTCTTCGCGTGCAGCGGGAGCGCCAAGTGAACGCCCACCGAGTTGTCCGAAGCGCATTCCTTGTGTTCAGCATTGTCTAGCTGTAGTGATCTTCACCTGCCAGACCGAAGACTTCTCGAGCCAGAGGCTTCGCTGGTCTTCTTCCGAACGAGCTGCCTGAGACGCTTGCGCACACGAGGATTCAGCCAAGGAGATGCCATCATTACTTGCCCAGCATCTCCTCCTGTCAGGGATGCTCTTACTCAAGAGCAGCAGACACTAAGACTAGCTGCAAGACTCTGTAAGACGAATAAGTCTACATCAGCTACAGCTACAGTGGCTGCACGGTTCCCTGCTTCGCCTCGCTCGTCAGGGTCCGAGCTGAGCAGCTGCTGGCAAAGATTTCTTGCTTTCGGCAGGGCCCGCCAAGGGCTCTCCGTCCAGTCAATCCCTTCCACCTCTCAACGAACATTTATCGGAGGCAGTCTGAAGATTCTGAAGCAGACTCACCGTCAAACCCTTAGAGCTGCGTCGTGTGCAGATCCCAACTGAGGACAGAGCCACATGGGCCACAGACTTTGCAATCTCTTGCCGTGTGCCAGCATCCACTTCGTCGAGTGCTCGTCCACGGAGCACCTTGTGTTGCCATGCAGTCCAAGTGTCGCTGGACTGCGGCTTGAGCCCCCGACCTGGAAGACGGCTTCGTGGAAAGGGCATCCACAGCCGATCATCTGGTACAGCATGACTCCAACCTGAGGGCAAGAAGCAGAAAAGGGCTGGAGTGTGCCGATGATATTCCAATGCTTTACAATGCTTTCCCAGTGGCTGCGAACAGATCGCCTGCTTGGGTTGACGGGCCGACATACTCTTCTGGAGCCATGTATCCGGGAGTACCGCAGATCTTCGTTTCTTCAGGTGCCTCTGACGCAGTGTCTAAATCAATGATGCGAGCATGTGCCACCAGTTGGTGTCTTGTCCACGCCGTCTTGAACTGGGTCGGGCATCTCCACCTCAGCACTGACCTCTTCACTGAAAGCCAAGCCTGTGGATGTTTCGCGTGCTTCGACAGAAGCTCCTGGTAGTCTTGCCACTGCAGAAGGATGTTTTCAGGCTTGATGTCTCCATGAACAAACCCGTTCGAATGCAAATGAGCCAGCCCTCGGAAAAGGCTCCGAAACACCCGCTTGATCCACTGCTCCGTTGTCGAGGCGTCGGACACAATGGCTTGAAAAAGGGAGCTGCCAGCAAAGACAACGTCAAACTCAGCATAGTGGCACGTGTCATCTTCGAGCAAGCGTTCTGGCTGTATAACATTGGGGTGGTGAGGCATGTGCATCAGTTTCTCTTGGTTCTCCATGATCGCCTGCAGTTCGCCCTTGCCAAAGCCAGCTTTGTACCAAAGCTTCACGATACACGGTCGGCGGTGCTCGAAATCTTCACAGAAATACACTCGCCTACCATTACCTTCATGTAGTAGTTCGAGCATTGTGTAGTGGTCTCTGATCGTTTTGGGAAATTGAATGCGAAGGATGCCCTCGGCAGTGTCCCTTTCGACAGGAGCCCCTAAGGCCTCTTCCTCCTCCGATGATTCCGACGACGACTCCAGAACTCCACCGTTTCGTGCCATCATGAGATCAAATGCTCTTTGTGCGGCTTCTTTCTCTGATTCCAGTACCTCCTCTTCTTCTTCCTCTTCCACCTCATAGTGGAACGTGTTTTCGTCAGGACGATTCTCAATGCCGACATCGCCATCTCCGTCAAGGTCCACTCCAATCTGACGTTCCAGGAAGTTGATGATTTTGACGCTGGCTCTTCGAGCAGCCATCCTGCCAACACCAGATTACAACAAGGGCCGTGGGTGCACCTTGATGAACAAACCCCCCTCCCCTTCCCCCGGAGACTGCCAGTTCATGTGTTTTTGGATGGTTTTCCTCGGCGCTTTAGGGCCTTTAGGGTTTAGGGTTTCGACAGGCAAGGCTTCGGCCCGTTCCACGACACGTACAGCACTTTGGCTTCTTTTCTATTTGGAACGTCGAGGGGCTCTCCATCCACTGCGGTTTGAAGTTTTGGGAAGTGGAGACATACTGCGGCTCCTATCGAACAATGCCGCGGTCAGTGCTCACTATGGAGCTCTGACGAGTGCGACGGAAGCAGCTTGAAGCCATTGCTTGCATCATACAGCCGAAGAGTACACGCATCTTCTTGAAAGAGCAGGAGTCCACAATAGGTCTATATGGGCACCAAGATTCGTGCAGTCCTACACGTTCCATGATGTCCCACCTCCCCCTCCCCGAAAGTGAGGATCGTTGCTGAGGGGGCAAAACGCAAGGAAGCGGTGGCCAAAAGTGAAGCTGCACGTGCTCATGCGAGCTAAGTGCCAGACCAAATCAAGCGCCTGGAAATGCACCTTCAAATCTGGGTATGTCCGAGGGCCTCAGCAGTCTCTGACCACATCACATTCAATGCTCTGCAGAGGGAAAGAGAGAAAAGAGAGAGAGAGAGAGAGAGAGAGAGAGAGAGAGAGGGAGGGAGGGAGGGAGGGAGGGAGGGAGGGAGAGAGAGAGGGGGAGGGAGCGCACCTTGAGGCTTCGGGGTTGTCTTGGCCTCTTCAGTCTCGGTCGCTTTTCCAAACCTGGGAAGTCTGCGCCCAAGTGTGCCCAGCAGTTGCCGCTTTACCGTCTGTCAAGATACTTAAGATAGGGAGATGGAGGGGCAAGGGCCCGCTCATGATGTTCCTTGGGGTTGCTAAGCCTCGTGCCAGGCTGGCCTTTTGCCGCGTGGCCTGCAAAAAGAGTCGGCGCGGGCTGTACACCAGCTGAATGCCGTGTACTGTGGGCGAAGCCAGATGTCGCCGTTGCTGCCAAAGTACACCTCTGCAAGCTGCAACCAGTGCTCCATAGTGCTGCTGCCTACCAAGCAAATGTCATCTCTGAGACGTCTGCATCCAATTCTTGGTCCGTCCACATCTCGGCTTCTGGAGGCAGCAGCGCTACGAAGCCCGGATATCTCCCAAACCTCGTGCTACGAATCGTTGCAAAAGTCTCCGAGTCCAGTGTCAGCATCTGGACAAACGTACAACTTATAAGGATGTTGCCATGTCTGTATCCTGGCACTCCATCCATTCGGACCTTCTCCAGCACATCTTGCTTCCGTCGCCTTGGCTGAACAACAGAAACATGAGGTGACGAAAAGTGTGGGAGGCAGATATGATAATGAGCCATCTCTCGCAGCCTGGGCAAGTTCTCCCAGAACGTGAACATGCTTCGAGCGTACCTTCGACGGCTGCGCCGGCGGGTCAGTTCTTGTGTAGTCCACCTTAGGACACAGGGCTAGCCAACGCTAAAACTAGTTGCAGGGCCACGCAGAACATATCAAGCTTCTGGCCCTTCTTGCAGGGTTTGGCCGGACAGGCGTCGGTGCTTTTGCAGGGCTTTGGGCTGGTCTCGCAGGCATCGCCTTGGACCTTCGTCAAGAATTCTGAAGTCTGAGCGCGAGCTGGTAATGCTTACTGCAAGTCACCATCCTTGTTTGCGTCCGAAAGCCTCCGAATTGTGCCGCCGGGATTTGTTCGTGATGCAAATATTCGAAGACCGCACCCTCATTCATATTTAAGTCTACTTAGAGCTTTATATTCAGAGGCCACGCCCTAAGATCTCCTCTTCATATTGAAACCCAATCAGAAATTTGCATCCAAAGGCCGCGCCCAAGAAATCCTGCTCTGTGCCTGTTCGCCATTAAACCTCAGCTTAATTGTGTATTATGAAGCTACATCCTATGACATCCTCCCCTGGGTCTTGCTCATGACTGAAATAAAGAAAAACTATGATATTCAGAGACCACACCCCACGACATCCTCCATTAAGCCACTCATTCATAATTAAACCCATTTCGAATTCTATAGGACAGGCCACACCCTATGAAATCCTCCTTTGGCCCCTACTCGTAGTAAAATTTGACTGCAACATTTTGCAGCCGCACCCTTACAGATCCTCAGGCTTTAGTTGTAACTCATGTAATACAACAACCTGCCAGGTTTCAACCAACGATGCGTACACAGCCGTAACAAAAACTGGAAAAACCAACCACAATTGACTTAAGCAACATGGTCTGTGTCACAGAATTGTATATTACGAGGCCACGCCCGAAGACATCCTCTAAGCATCATGTATGTTTAAACCAATAAGGTTTTTACATTACAAGACAGTAACCCTAAGAAATCCTCATCTGGGCCTCATTGGTACTTGTAACAAGATTGAAGCAAGGACGGGGAGAATGCGCAGCTGGCTTCCCAAACTACCCCTGGAAGCCTGAAGTGGGGCTTGGAACTCGTGCAGTCGCACAGCAAAGCCCAAAACCAAACCCCCCAAACTCCAACAGAAAAAGCAAAGAAGCCGAGGAGGCCGACTTTAGGGATTTTGGGTTTTCTCGGGGTTTTTGTTCTCAATTTTGGTCAAAATCCAGCAAGCCCATGGCTTAAACATCCGATGCTTTTTAGTTCGTGAATCCCTACAGAGTTTTTGGGTTTCCGGCTAAAACCAAAACACCGTGTTTGTTTGTTGTTGGTGTTTCGATTCCCTGTGACTTAAAAAACCAACGAAACATGTAGCTCCAAGCTTTGACGTTTTCCGAACTCCACGTGGAGAAGCCGAATCCGAAACAAACTGTGTGGATACATAGGGGTGTGCAGCACATCAGCTACAGGTACGTACAAGTTGTTAGCCGTTCACGCTGTTGCGTGCACAAGTCTTCCCTGTGCATGTGGTGGGATGGACGCCTGTTGTCAGGCTTTGCTGCGCTGCAGAGCTGAGGATGCAACTTCGTCCGGGGCGGTCCCTGACAGCTTGGGGGGCTATCAACGCAACAGTGGCACAATGATTTGAAAGATTTGCGAACAGGGGTGCAGCAATCCGCCGTGGCCTTGGAGGAAGCCTTCGGAAGCCGAACGGGAGGACATCTGGGCACAAGGGCCAGGAAGCAGTGCATTCTCTGTAGCGACAAGTACTGTAGCACTACTGTAGCACCGTAGCCATAAGACCCTGGCGGAGATGGATTCTCAGAAACTTTACCTTAAGGCAGATGTCATGTAATAGTTGACCGGCTCAAACGCTTCGAGCTGTGCCAAATATCTCGGGCCGCATCTGCGTGATGCGGTTTCCAACTTTGTTGGGGCCTTAGCTAACAATGTATAGAACGGGGAACAGCTGAGCATGGCTGAGGTTGCAATTGCCATCGCATTGAGTCACGTAGCAGCTGGTGTTCGTGGTGAGCGCGTGAGGCGATCAACAATGTCACCTCACTTGTACAAGCCAGCGCGGCATCACACCAGGTGAAGCGAATTGCTTGATTTCAAGTCCCCGGGCTCTTCTCCACGCAGCCACGCACGTCCACCTGGAACTGTAGCTGTTCCATGCTTTTGCTGCATCGTCTATTTCTATTTGGTTCAAAGAAGTTCGCATGCTGGAAACAGCTGCCACGTCCCGATGAAAGACGATGACAGTTGGGCCATGTTGGCCCGTGTTGGCCCTAAGGGCGGCTTGAGCCGAGGCATTGACGCCGCGTGATCTTGCCAGCTCGAGGAGTTCCTGCACTAAGAGGAGACAAAAGGGAGACAGCATGAATCAGTCTGAATCAGTATGAGAAGATGTGAGATGCCCTCCTTCGTCGAAAACCTCAGCAGTGGGTTGGACTCAGCACCTCGGAATCGCGTGCATCCTGCGATGCATCAAGCCATGTTTGCAGATGTCTTGCGGGGACGCCTGCGAAAGGGCACATGTCACGGATTGCCTGAGTTCTGCACCTGGTCTCTCGCATGGCTCAGGATCTTGAGACACTGCCTCGCCCTGTGGTGGACTTGCTTGTGCCGGCCTCTCTGGTAGGTCCGGCTTTGCTTCTGCCGTCTGTTTAGGTGCCGTGGCTGGCTCTGAGAGAGGCGGCTCTGCCTGAGCAGCTTTGCCCAGCGGCAGCTACAAGTGATTTCAACACAACACACGGGGACAGATTTGGTCACTTTCTTTGCATACGGTTTACGTGGCTGACCGGGGGCACCAGGCCTCGATCTCATCAAGATCATCGAAGTCAAACATACTGCCGCCGCTGGAAGTTCCTCAGGAAGGTCTCTTTGGTTCTCTTTCGCCACCCAGTTCGGGCAACTTGAGGCAAGCATAGCAGGCCATGGACGCGCCCAGTGCGCATCTTCAATCAAAACGTATGGATGGAGCTTGTCTTCCATAGTGGGAAAAAGTGGGAAACTAAGACTAAGAGTCGCACGACGGGAGGGGTTACCGGCGGGATCATGGTCCTGCATGCGTTGTCAGTCCTCTTCCCCCCCCCCCCCCCCCTTTGCCCTAGATTCCCTAGAAATGTGATCACGTGACTTTGCATTCTGGGAAGCCATTGCTCCTGCGAATCTTGCATGGGGTCGGTTTTCTCTGCGAACTCTTTGCTTGGTCCAGCTGCGGCGTCGAAGGCTGATGTTCCGTCACTGTCGAGCTCCGTGTTGCTGCTGGTTTGGGGCCCTTCGTTGTCTGGACCGTCCTGGAGCCGTGAAGACGATTCTTGGCCTTCGCTCGATCCTCCAGCCTTGGCCTCGCATGCATCGCATGTGCTTGCCTCGTTGTCGCCATCAGCTTCCTTGTCTGTCACTGTAGAGTGCACATGCTCTGACTGTGGCTTCGCTGGGTCCGCTGGGTCCGCTGGGTCTGCTGGGTTCTCAACTGCGTTCTCAACGATCTCGGACTCTCCACTGACCGAACGGGCCAGCTTTTCGGGCTCATCATGAGACTCAGCCTCGGCGGTCCCTGTCGACCCGAACATGTGCCCCTGATGCAGATCTGGGAAGAAATCCGTGTCTGACGGTTCTTCTGCGCAGCTTCCGTCGTCAGACCCTATGTTGAACATCTCGGGCTCTTGTTTGAAGCTGGTTGCCATTGCTGGATTCTGATGTACGCTATCAGGGACCGTTGGTTGACTTGCAGGCGGAAGGCTTTCAGCATCCTGCTGACAAGGTGGTGGGGTTTGGCTGGGGCCGGTAGGGGAGGCAGCCGTTAACGTTGCCGATTTTGACCTCGTTCACAGAATACACAGAAACACTAGCGTGGCCTCTAAGCGGACTCTTGCTGCTGTAAGCCTCCGGCAAAGCCTGCTTTAGCCTCGAAATCAGAACTCCCTTCGAGTCTCCCGGGCCAACCTTGCCAAAGCCAGGTTGGATGTGCGGAGGGTGATAGACAAAAGGATTTGCCTCCAGGCCCTCAGCCATGCACCTGTCAAGCCATCTTTTCCCTGTCTTCAGCTTCCCTGAGCTTCCCCAACAAAGCGCCTGGTTTCGAGCTCTGAGAGGGACAATCGGAAAAGCTCGGATATGGATGCCTGAAGATCTGACATGCGCAACGCATCGCGACGCGTCGCAAGACCCTTCTGGATGCCATTCCGGCAATCTGAGCATCCAGCGCGTGGTCGCTGGGTGGCAAACTCAACTGGATCCCCACCTGCCTTGGTTTTTTGTGTAGCGTGACGCACACAATTTCGTAGTTCCGAGATGTTCTGAGTGCCTGCGCGAGTGGGCCTCGTAGAGATGAAGGTGAGCTCAACCTGAGATGGAGCAAGTCCATTCTTGAACTCCTACACGGGATGGGCTGCTTGGAGTACAACTCCTTCGGAGCTGTTGGTGCTGAACCCTCCTGGACTGCTGTGTTGGGCAAAATCCACACAAACGTTGGATATGACGCAAGCATGCGCAAGCTACCGCTACTCGCTTTGTTTGTGCTCCTTGCCACCTGCCAGCATCGAGCCCTCGGCGCTGTCCTGGCTAGTGCAGGACATGTCAGTCAAAGGCGGATACTTGTAGCATGCTCTTCAGCTTTGGACACGCACATGTCCTCTATTTATCGCAACTTATGCCAGCTTTGGCAATTTCACGTTTGGGGACTGTCATCGCCAAAGCTTGGGTCTTGCAACGGCAGTCGGTCGAACAGCGACTGTTCAATTGATTGTGCGCACATCCTCATGCCAAGCTACCGTTTCACTGGAGGCATCTGGAGGTCGCAGGAGAGGTGACTTAGTGTCAAGCCGCTATCCCCTGTGTCAGCTCCAGGCTTGCGCCGGGGTTTCTTGAAGCGCGCGCAGCTCACTACCGGCCCGTGTTTACCACTGTTGCTGTCGAGTTTTCAGGGATAGGTTTTGAAACGTTCTTAGCCTTAATGATGTTTTCTGCTCTTGAAAGTTCCTGCGAGCAAATGATTCCGAATTCAGATGACAAAACATGCTTGTGGTCATGCGGTGAGAGTCGTAAGAGTGGTCTGTCCATGGCTCCGGCATGTGCTGTAGATGGCTTTCATGTGAACTCCTGGCACATTGGCCTCACAACTGTGGAACCTAGCCATGAACCAAGCCACTTTGTCTTGGGGGCAGTTGTTGGTGAGGCCAGGGGCGGTGGGTATACGTAGGATGCAGATTGATGCAGTGTGAATTTGTTGTTTATGAACCCCTGGACGCAGCGACGCCGTGCCTCTTGGAAAGGGCAAGCTTTTGAAGACGAGGATGGGCTCTGCGACCTCGAAGCTCTTCAATCCAAGTGCAAAGATGGATACAAAGATGGAGTGCAGCACTTGTAGTCTCAGAACTTCCCCTTTTTAGCTCAGGATGAAGCTCCTTGGGAGCCGCCGATCCCTCCTGGAATACTGTGCAGAGGTTGCGGACGCAGTCCGAGCACACCGTTGATCACAGTTGGCCGCACTGGAATGCCGGACCTGGAAGTCATCCATGATAATTTCTTCTGCATCATCTTCGCTCCCGCTCGCTGCCAAGTCTTTCCCTCCGGTGTCCTGGCATGGAGGGTGTACAGTGTCATGTTCTCACTAGAGAGAAGTTCGGCTTAGGCTAGGTTTTGAACTTTGGTGGTCATGGTTGCTTTGCGCAACGACACTCGTTAAGGCTTTAAGGGGGACAACGTAGACAGCCGAGGGCAGTTCATGTCCTCTTCGAGGATAGGGTCACCCAATGACCATGGATTGAAAGTTGTCTTGGGCGTCGCTTTAGGCCTGAGCCACGCGTGCAAGCCGAAGTGCCAACAAAGCTCCTGGTCTGTGCCCTGCCTTTCTTCCGCTTTGAACGGAGACCTCGGTCAGGTTCACGTCGAGATCACTGAACTTTCTGTGATCTCGAGAGGCTTGAGCATGCCAGCTGTTAATCTTAGTAATCTTAGTCAAGTGACAGAGAAATCGGCGGGCCAACCGGTTCGGGCAACGCAGCCTCAAAAGGCAAACTGCTTTGAACGGTTGTCACCTCTGAATTGCAACAAACACCATGCACAACATGCTTGCCGATTGCTCCGACATGCCTCAAGTTTTCGACAAGAGAACGCCTGCACCGGCCAAATTCGGGCCTCTGAGTCTTGTGGAGCTTCTTGTTGGTAGCCGCCCACTACCTGGAAGAGTCTCGCCTCAGGGATTGGCAGGAGCTCCCAGATCAGATGCTTTACATTCTTAATTGCAAGGCTCCGGAATTGTATGTGCGCGTTGAGAAGCGGGCTTCTGATGCCTGGCAGACTTGGCAGCACACTGTCTGCATGCACTCACCACAATTTGTCGCGACAATCTCTTGCTACTCTTTGTTGGAATCTGTCTATTGTGTCCCGAAAGTCGATTCGTGCGAAAAAAAACTCGGGAGTCGAGAGAAATGCGCGCTTCGTGAGGCACAGAATGATGCATTACCATGCCAGAAACTCGATCGTCTGGTCCAGGACAGACATCAACTTGCTGATGACCTGCACCGGTTGAAGCCAGGGGTTTGCTTTTGTCGCACGCGTCTTGCAGTAATGCCTCGCACTTTGCGTATAGACCAGATGCATCAATGCCTCCATGATGTGCACTGTTGTGTTCACAGAGCGGAGCACAACATGTTGGAGTCAAGCTTTCAAAGGGATAAGCATCTAGCAACAGGTCAAAGAGTTCAGGGTCAGCAAGTGGTGGCGACTTGCCAACACGACAATTCACGCATACCAATTCTACGGCTTTTCAGAGACATCTTTCAAATCCAACACGAATTCGTGAGAGGGACTGCTGCGAGATCCGCGGGGAGGGCCCCGGCGCCCGGGGGGATGTCTTGGAGGTGCCGTGGACCGGCAAGTCCAACTTGGCTCTGTCTGGGAGAGGGCTTTATGGAGGCGTGTCTCGCCTGGGCTGCACACAAGTTGGAGGCAGGTCGCGGGTTAAAAGACTCTGGGAGGTGCGGCGCAGAGTCAGCCGATGTGGCGTGTGGCCTGCAAGTTGTGTAGCGCATGTTTGAATTTGAGAAACCTTTACGTAGGTTTGCTGTGCCCGTGTGCTGAAAGGCCGACCACAACATAAACCTTGAACCAAAGTCCGGAAGAGCACTCGTTGCGGTGCACTGTGATCATTTGGAGCAAGGCTGGTCAGGAAAGCTTGAGCTTGGAATCCGTATACCAGTCAAAGCTTGCTGACTGTCCTTGCTAGGCTCATGAAGGTTTCTCGAGTACTCAAAGTACATGCACGTTGACGGACTGTGCTGGGCGCATGGCCAAGCATCTTGCATTCTTTGACCAGGGTCCTCATGGGCACTACCTGTCAATGCAGGAGTTGCATCACGTTGCCGTGTGTCAACAACATCAAGCTACAGCCCAGGACAGTGCCCGAGCTCCTGCCTCCAACGAATATCCTGCACAATTGCAGAGTCAGGCCAACCAACTAAACTTCCGTTCATCGACGAATTGGGCACGAGCCTGCCTCCCCAAGCAACTGAACTTTTGAAGGACACCGGCTAAACATGGTAAACTCTCTGACAACATCCGCATCAAGAGCTGGTTGAAAATGGCAACAATGACTGCATCTACCGATCTGCCAAGGCTGCAGGCCAGACATGACGCAGCATTCTCCCATCCTCTGGGATGTTCTGGGCTTCCAAATCGCACGGTAAGAGCCCTACTATTGTGCTCCACTCTAGCACGTTTCTGATGCAATGCCCTGCCCCGCCTTGCACTTCTGCATCTCTGTACACGTGATTCTTGGCGTCAGCTTTGTAACATGGCTCTGAAAGATGGTTCATGTCACAGCCAGCTTCTAAGACTTCCTGCCAGGTGCTCTGTATTCGCTGCTGCTTAGGGAGGTGCTGAAGCCTGCTTTGGCTCTGTTCGCTGAGCTGTTCCTGCTCAGGCTCTCTTTGCCGCTTGTGCAGCTCTTCTTTGAGCTCTCTGAGCTCTTTGCCTTGGGAGCCTAGTTGCTCCTGGCTCGTCAGGTCTGTCTCCACCTCTACCACGTGCGGCTCTCCCGCCTCGCGACCTAGCTCACTCTCTTTTGAGGAGCCTGCATTATGGTCGTGGTCAGCCACCTTCTCCTCTGTTGTCAAGCACGGACCACCCTCCGGCTCCGGGCTCGCCTTCTGCGTGTTCTGCTGGGGAGGTGAGCCGGGCCGGACTTGGCCTGGCGCTCCTGGCCCTGGGTGCACAGGCACCTCTGGCATCTCTGGCTGTGTGTCACGCGCAAGCTTGTCTCCTCCAGCTGGTGCCTTAATCAACACACCATGTGGGGAGCGCAGGGAAGTGTCACAATGGAAAGTGCCCAAAATGTTAGTTTGAATTGCAGAACGTGTTCCAAATTTTCGTTTGCGGTTTGCTGATTGAAAACAGTGTGTTGTGTGTCTATCTTGTGTGCTACAAGTGGGGTTGTTAGATCTTAAGGGCAAGGTGGCACGCATAAAACGCGACGTGCTCCGGACATCAGGCAGCTCTCAGGCAGTACAACATTCAGGACAAAGAACCGGCAACTGTTACGGAATGTTGCTTGAAAAACAGGCCAGGAAGGGAGGCTCAAGCGGGCAGTGGGCAAAGGCGATTCAGGCGGCCAACAGTGCTGGAATTGGAATGTTGCCTGAATAAGCCCGGAGGCTGAAGCGGGCAACTGTAAGAGAATGTTGCCTCAATAAGCAGCTCAGACGAGCAACTGTACTGGAATGCCCGACAAACAACGTGTAGAAAACACCCACTCCTGCTTCTGAGGGCGGCGAACACCGGCTGCAGACCATATACTCGCAACCCTACTTCTGAGGGCGGCGCAACCCAAGCTATGCGAAACTTAGCCGGCATCGGACTCGTTACCCATTGGAAGGAGGCACAGGAAACTTGCAGCTGGACGGCAGCCCGAAACAAACAACCACGAAGGGAATGCTGCCTGGATAGCAGGCCACCGAAATGTTGCCTTGAATCAAGCAGGTCAGGGACTTTTCCGGAACGTTGCCTCATCAGCCGGCCGGCGCTATGCGGCGCTTTGATTTGCCACATGCATGATGCATGTGTGGCTGTTTTGCATGTATGATCTAGCACAAAATGTCGATGTTAAGGAATACCGCCTTTAAAAACAAACAAAACACCTTCGAATCAAACACACCGTTTCAACACTGTTCACCACCACGCAGAAACCACAGAAACTATGGAGAAAACACTTTTTTTGCAGATGAAAGACATCACTTTGGAACACAGCAAGCATCAATTTGAACACATTCTGCGCTTTCAAGTGACTGTGTTGGGGTGGGGGGGTTCCAAATCGACCCGTTCCCGCCGATTGTCTGACGCGATTGACTTCAGGTCTGGGTACGTTCTTGAGTCTGAGCTCTGCACACTTCGCTTCGCAGCCTGGAGCTTTTGGATGATGTCATCCTGTCAGCCAGGTGCTGCTTGCACTTCTGACGTACTGCGTTACGAAATGTTACGAACTTGCTTGGATACAACGGCTTGCAGCATGGCCCTCATTGGCACCGCAATCTTTGCTTTTGATTTTGGGGCTGTTCATGGCTGCTTTCAAAGTGCGGCCCTGGAAGTGTTGAACGCAAAGGCTCACATCGATGGGCTGGAGGGCTGTTGCCTTGTCGAAGCAGCCTCTCAAATCGACGCCTGCGCGTGGCCGGACAGTCGTCCGGCTCATTCCGTATTCTTGCATCCTCACACTTCAAGGTTGTCAGACGGTTTGCCTAGCAGCACTCCCTCTCGACGGAGTTCTCGCATAGTCTTGGCCTTGCCGGGGCTAGAGGCTAGAGAGGCAGGCAGGCCCCCTCTCGGCGCTGGCTCAATACAAAATGAAGTATATACTGAAGTATTGCCTGCCAAGTGGTGTCGCACTCGGCAGGATCAACTCCGTCCTTGGCAGCCATATCCACTTGAACAAGAAATGATAAGCTGTCACTTCTAATTCTCACTAACTCTCCTAGTCAGCCACTGTCAGCCACGTCTCTGCAGCTTGACGTCCGTTGGCTGCTGAATTTGCAGAACTTGCATCTGCTCTTGTTGACTTTGAGGATGCCTGTCGCAGGTTGCGGAGGTTGCCATGGGTTTGCCTGGCTTGTGACACCCTCATCCTGAGAGATCCATGAGACTCTGGCATCTTCTGGTTGTGGCTCCTGACAGAGTGTCCACGACTGGCCCCGTGGGTTGAGCCTCATAATTTTTGAGATGTCCTCGTCGCGTCCGGTATCGCCCGAGGCAGCATGGCTGGATGGCCTGACAAACATATTTGTAGACCCACGTGGCCTATAGAAGATTCGCCCATGTGGTGGGTGCGAATTTCCCAAGCCAAGTGCTTGGACTTTGTGTGTGGCGCAACTTCCTCCGCAGCAAGCAGCCTCGCAAAGCCACTTCGCAAAAGAGCGGCTTCAAGGATTCAAGCGTGCGGCTGGGCCTTTGGAGTATGGCTTCCTTCTCAAAGCAGCCGGTCAAGTCGATGCCTCTCGACCTAGTTCCGGGCTCAACATGCTAAATTGGCCAGCACGGCAGAAGTCAACCATCTGAAAGCTTATTCAGGAGGCCTGTCCTTTCCTTGGTTAAGGATGCAGCACGCATTCCTGTCGGAGTTGGCGTGCTGTCCAAGATGTCCAAACATCGCCTTCGTCTGCACATGCTAACAGCTACAGTAACATGGACAAAGTGGTCCGTACTCCGTACTGTCGGTTTGCACTTGCATCTGATGCCGGAACGTTCAGGACGGAACCCGAGGCGCTGGGCATTCTTCAGTTATTGCGCTCAAGCAGGCCGCTCTCAGCGGGCATTGTGAATGGAACAGACTTATCCTGTTGCTTCTGTGCATGCTGTGCTGAAGCGTACCTCCTTCGGCTGCAGGGTTGGGAAAGGGTCGCTGTGCTGAATGCGTGGTAGACAGTTCACATGTGGTAAACTTGTTGGTCATGGATGCCTGGCTCTTGCCAGCTTGAGCCTGTTCAATACGGTATCATTGCACTGCAACATTTGTGCCGCCTGGATGCTTTGGCACCAGCAACGAGTGCAACATGTTTCTCTCATGCAGATGCGGGACTTGCAGGTGGACACACACACACACACACACACACGCGGACGCTTTCTGGCAGTGCAAGAGCCGTCGCAATGACTACCGGGTGGAAACTGTAAACCGGCTGCGGAGCCGCAGCAATGAGTACAGGATCCTTTGCAAACAAGCCCGCTATCTCGGCGGCTGCAACCAGCCTCGACTGCAAATTGCAAGACTCTTTGCGAGAGAGTGCTGCTCCCGAACGTGGAATCGCAAATCGATGTTTGGAGAACCTGAACCCTGGCACGGCCAAGACATGTCGCTGCAGCATGGCACCCCCTGACTTTCCAAAACCATGGCGCGCTGTGGCAGATTATGGCAGGTGTGATTCACCTCAGCAGCTTATTAAGGGTCCGGCCCCATCCATTGGGGTCTTCCCTGCCAGCCTGCATTCTGTGATTCTTCCCGCCCTGCACATCTACCGGGCACGATGGTCTAATGCTGTTTGTCAGGAGTTCTCTGCAGCTCGGTTGTTTTCCCTGACGTCTGAGTTCCAGCCAGCATCCTTCTTTCAAGCACACCTTGAGCACCCCTTGCTTTAGCAAGGTGCTATCTGCAAAGGAAAGGCTGGCAATAGGCAAGGGAAAAAGGAACGGGCCAGCACCTGCCAAACGAAGCTAAATTGAAGGCCAAGATACCCTGGGATCTGAAGCAAGATGCCCACGGCTGTGCAGAGTGTACTCAGGAGTACTCATGTGTATTCGTGGCGTATTGCTCCGGGCAAGGTCCCACACTCACGTTCGGGAAGGCCCTGGCTTGCCAGCAGTTGGAAGATAGCTTACAGTGCAAAGCTTCTCTGCTTCGCAGACTCGGTAATGTAGCCACCTAATGCCGGAAACGTGACGCCAAGCTGATCATCAGCTTGCTCAATCGAATTTCCCAACGCTAGCTTTGATTTGCCATGATTTGCCGCATGTGCGTTTGTGGGCTTTCTGTGCCCAACCTTGCAAAAGGAAGCGCTTCTCATGTGCGCGTTCGAAGGTGCGCCTACAATCTACATGCAGTGCATTCGATCGTCTTCAAAGCCTTCAGAGTACTCTGTGTACGGCAAGCTGCATCGGCACGAGCTGAACAGAGACCACCTAGACCAGCAAGCATGCAGCAGCTTCCCCATGTAAGTGGTCTGCAATTGCGGGGCAGCAGTCGCTGCTATGCCATTGCTGAATCAAGCCTGTCGAAATCTTCGCGAACAGGTTGAGCTCTCACGAAAACGTGCTCGTCCAGCCGTGACCTGCCCTGACAAGAGTTGCAAGAATCTGGAAGGAATAGCTGCGACATGTATATATATATATATATATATATATACATTCTGCATATATATAAATATAAATATATATATATATATATATATAAACATATAAACATATAAACATATAAACATATAAACATATAAACATATAAACATATAAACATATAAACATATAAATATATAAATATATACATATAGAAATATAGAAATATAGAAACATAGAAACATAGAAACATAGAAACATAGAAACATAGAAACATAGAAACATAGAAACATAGAAATATAGAAATATAGAAATATCGAAATATAGAAATATAGAAATATAGAAATATAGAAATATAGAAATATAGAAATATAGAAATATAGAAATATAGAAATATAGAAATATAGAAATATAGAAATATAGAAATATAGAAATATAGAAATAAACAAATAAATATAAATATAAATATAAATATAAATATAAATATATATATATATATATGTGCTACCCCCCCCCCCCCCTCAAAGATCCACCATTTTAGAGACTTGCAATAGACAACGCAGTTCCCGTAGCGTTTTCTCGTTTCTCCTGACGAGACGTACAACCACCTGAAACATCCTGAAAAGCACAAATATATCAGTAAAGTATCTAAACAAAAACCTTATGGCGTACGTACCCCTTTCACTAGTCTTTCACTCAAAACCACCCTAAACCGTCGCTATATTAAGATATAACAGCACACAGCCACCTGAAGAAGAATGCAACCGTAAAGTATCAAAAAAACTTCTGGCGGTCTCAGGGAATAGTGAAAAGATTTTTGCTCACAGTATTCTCGCGTCCCCGGCACTTACAGCAGATGATGTTTTTGCATCACCTTATGCCTTCTTTATTAAATGTGCTTGATATACAATACTTGTACCCTATACACATACATGATGTGGGTACTTCTTCTACTTTCTCTTTGGAGCGGCATCCCAATTCACCAGCCGTTCCGACAGGACATCCAAAGGAAAGGTTGAGATCTCAAGGATACTTTTCTGCTTCCGCAAGTTTGGCAGACGTCGAGGGGCATTCGTCAGGAACTCTTCCCGGCCCTGCCACACCACTCGAGCATGCAGCTAGTCACCAGGCACACGCAACAGCATGACATCTAGCGCATGTCACAGGTCAGCAACCGCGCTCTCCAATACTGGGCACGACGTTCCGCCATCCACGCACACTCTCGAGCCAAACCAACTGCATGCTGCCCTCACGCACCCGCACGGCAACTGTCACCGAGCCCGCCACGGTGCCCTGTACACACCGCCGGCTCCACATCTGCTGGGAGGGAGCGCAGACAACAACATTGGCACCAACTTCACGCGTGCGCACATGCCACCAACTTTGCCACGCCGACATCTTCGCCATCCACTCCACACGATCATGTGCCAATTGCACCGGATCAAGGTCTTGCGTCTTCAACCACCGCATCGCCACACGGATTGCTGAATTATCAGGCCCTGTGCGCGCCCGAGGGCAGCCATACTCGCGTGCCCCAGTGTGGCACTGCGGATCGTCAAGGGCCAGGCGCCTGGGAATGTCTGTGTGCTGATGCCTCAAGCAATGCCCTAACCACTTCCACTGTTGCTGGACAACCTGCCCATCCCACAAGCATCCAAAATACACCAAGCAGGTTTAGGGATTTAAGTCTCAAACCCTTCAGGGTTATAAGGTTCTACTCCTATAGACAATGCCTAAATACCTTAAACCCGAAACCTGTAAACCCTCTAGGGTCTAAACCCTATAGACGTCTTTAGAGATAAACCCTGAAAAGACCCGAAACCTTTCAACGTTATAGGGTTTAATGGTTCACAAACCTAAGGTCTGGACATGTATACCTTCAGCTCCTATGGGGGTTAAAACCTTTGAGCCTTTTTGGGCCCTATAGGGCTTTAGGGCTCAGACCCTAAACTGGCTAAGGTTTAAATGCCTCAACCTTCAACCTAAATGGGCATAGGTTCAAGTGCCTAAATCACAGGGTTATAAGGTTTCTACTCCTTGGTACTGCTTAAACCTTAAGCCAATAGGGTTTAAACCCTATAAGGCTAACTCCGTGACGGTTTTAGAGAAAAACACTGCAAAAAACTCAAAACCTTTACAAACCTAAGGTCTGGGCATGTAGACCTTCAGCGCCTATAGGGTTAGAACCTTTGAGCCTTTTTGGGCCCTATAGGGCTTTAGGGTTCAAACCCCAAACGGTTTAAATGCCTCAACCTTAAACCCTAAGGTTTGGACTTTATGGGCTTAGGTTGTCATGCTTATAAGTCTTAAACCCTAAACCTTTAAACATTAAACCTATAGGGTTCAAAGCTTAAAGGTTTAGGTTTAATTGCCGACTTATGTGCAAATGCCTAAATCTTAAACCCCAAACCTTTAAACCTTAACCATATAGGGTTTAAAAGTTAAGGGTTGGTTTAATTGCTTAACCCACAAGGGTTTCGGGGTAAACCCTTAAACCAATAGGTTTTAGAGAATAAGGCCGCAGTGGAGCTGAGGGAAGGGGAGGGCGGGGCCAGTGAATCCTAGAGCCAGAGTATGGAGAGGAAATGAGTCCGCGACTCCCAGATTTTAGTACGGATTGTTGAAGATAGTGGCTTAGGGTGTTCCTGCATTTAAGCTTGCATTTCGAAATCTACGTTAAATGCGGGCAGACCCCAGGAACCAAGAACCAAGAACCAAGATGCTCAGGAGTCTTGATTCGTGGCTCTTGGTTCCTGGCGCTGGGCTGCATTTAAAACTGCATTTAAAAATTTAAGATAAATGCAGACCAGCCCCAGGAAACAAGAACCAAGAACCAAGATGCTCAGAACTCTTGATTCTGGAATCTTGGTTCCTGGGGCTGGCATTTAAACACTTGATTTTGGAATCTTGGTTCCTGGGGGTGGTCTGCATTTAACTAAAATTTTTAATTTTAAATGCAGCCCAGCCCCAGGAACCAAGATTCCAGAATCAAGAGTTCTGAATCATCTTGGTTCTTGGTTCTTGGTTCCTGGGGCTGGTCTGCATGTAACTTAATTTTTGAAATGCAGTTTTAAATGCCAAGCCCAGGAAGCAAGATTCCAGAATCAAGAGTTCTGAGCATCTTGGTTCTTGGTTCCTGGGGCTGGTCTGCATTTAACTTAGATTTTTAAACGCAGTTTTAAATTTCACAGGGTCGTGTCCGCATTTAACTTAAATTTTTAAATGCGGGTTAAATTCGTGCGGCCTCGGTCAAGTAAATTCAGGTAATGGTGTCGTGTGTCGTGGAAAAGTTCAGTCGCACATCAACAACACACCAACAGCACATCACCAGAGGGAAAAACAGGGAAAACAGGGTGGATCTTTGGGGGGGTACCAAATATAGAAATATATAAATATATAAATATATCAATACATAAATATATAAATACATAAATATATAAATGTATAGATATATGCAAATGAAGGAAGGCCTCGGAACCGGCTGTTGTGGAAGACAGGTCTGTGCCAGGTGTGTACGCATCATCTGGCTCAAGCACTTTGGTGCCCACCTGCACGACAGCCAGTACATGAAGCACGTCAAGTTCGATTGCGAACAGGCGCCGCCCAACTGATAACTGCGCACACTCGAAAGTAGAATCATATCGCGCGCTTGCTTGGCCCTCAGCTCCGTACCCATAACATGTTGATTTTGCAACTTGAGAGCAGTCACTCACAGCGATGCAGTTCCTCAAGGTTAGTGCACGCCCCTCCCCCTCCCCCCAGAAAGGGCTGAAGGGGGTGGGGACCCTGCTATTTCGATACTTTTTGAGGGGGAAAGTCGCTAGGCTCAGAAAGGCTTTCGGACAGAAACCCGCTTTTAGCTCGAGCCGGCGTGTGGGGCTGCTTGGTGTCTGTGTGTGTTGCAACCTTAACCCTGACTGTATGTTTTACGGCCAAGCTGAGTTTGTAAAGTGTGACCCGGCGTGGCATGCCCAGCGTGGCTAGGCACAGCCCACGTGTGACAGCTTGCCCTCTTTAGCGTCTGTTCCTGAACCACGACGGCGGGTGAAATTCGCAAGACCTCACAGACACGAGGGGGGACAAGCTATGGCATGTGGGCTGTGCCTATCCACCCCAAATAAACGCCCTCCTACGAGGAAAAGCTGGAAAGGGCGGGAAGAGCAACACCATGCCCTTCGTAATCCATCCCAACACCTGCGGCTTCCCCACCTAATTACTTCTCATTGCCCGCCTCTCTGAAGAGCATTGGTGTCAATTCAAAGAGAGAAGAGAAAGGGAGTCCGAGAAAATTGATAAAACTTCGAGGTTCGGAAATATTCCACAACCCCTCCACTTCCTATTTCTGATTGCGCAGGGAAGGGCAGAGCCTTGGTGGAGTCCTAGAGCCAAGGAGAAGAGAGGGCCCTGTCCTTCCCCGCCTATTTCTCACTTGCTCTGGCAGAGCCCAGAACCTTGCTGGACTCCTATAGAGTCAGAGGGGGGGGGGACTGTAGCGTGCCCGAGGCGCAGCCCCTCGCAATTTGTGTAAGGTTTAGGAACAGTGCTGTGCCTGCGTTCTGTGCTTGTTCTGAGGCTGTAGTTGAGCTTTAGCAAGTCCATGGGGTTTTGGCCGGTTTTGGGTTTACAGGGTTTTGGATTGGTAGGGATTATGGTATACAGGGTTGTGGGTTTGGGTTGAATGCAGGCTTGGGCGCAGCATGATGCAGGGGTTGTATGCGGCGCGAGCATTCAATACATGTCTGTTGTGTGGAAAGCTTCTTTGCGGTTCGAATCTATTCGGAAGCTAGGACAGCAGATGCATGGCGAGTGGCGGTGGGTGGGGAGTGTGGAGAGGTAGAGAGCGCTGTAAAAACTCATATCCGAACAATGCCGCAAAGCCCTCCGCCCCTGCCCCCAAAAAACATAATTATAGTTCCGATCTCCAAACCATTCCAAACCCTTCTCGTTTCGCCAAGTGTGAGAAATTTGTACTCCTTACGGGGACATCAAGAGGGTCACGAAAGCTCGTCAAACTATGCAAGGCACGCGCTTCGCAAAACAAGGCTTGAGCGAGCCCATGCCAAATCACGCCTGTGTGTTTGGGAACGGCGAATTCTGTTTGAGGTGTGCCACCCTCCACCCTCACACTGCTCGGCGGGCACAGGCTCTACCGCAAAAGCGCCTCTTCCATCTCATATCTTCCACTGCTCCTGTCAAGAGTCTGGGCTTGACGATTTCTCCGGCAGTGAGGTCCAGTGCCCAGCCTTGTGACATCCTCCACCTTGTGTTGCGGCACTTCTAGGTAGCAAGATGCTATAAGATGCTGCGCGACTGCAAGAGGTGTCAAATTCTGGCACCGCTGGCCTGCGTATGGATGGCAGGAGCCCGCGCTTGTTCAACAAGCAAGCCAGTAGATGCAGCAGACTGCGCAGTGCGTGCTTGCACCTCACGGAATACGTTCAGAGATGGGTGTCGCTACTAGGAATCCGCAGTATGCTATGGTGTCCTGCCTGGACTTTCGCAGCGGCGGCCTGAACCAGTTCTGCTTCGTGAAGCTTCTTTTCCTTTGGAACGACCAGTGAACATGCTTCTCGGTCAAGCCATGTCAAGCCTCTTTGCCCTACAATGACCTGCAAAGCGTGCTAGTGCTTGTTCTCTTTGCATGCTAGTCAGCTCACAATACATACCACAAGGACATGTGCCAATTGCCTGCACAACAAACGTTCACACAGGAGCTAAACGTCAGGTCATGTGGCGGCATCTGTCTCCACAGGTGGGATGAGCCTCTGGGCTTCGTAGAGGAGCATAAAGGGCTCCTCCCTCTGCACGTCCGAGAATGGTACGGATCTGATTTCATCATCGTCTGCGAGGTACCACTGTTCATGCTGACCTCGACCGGCCCTGACGAAAGCAAAGTAGTGGCCACCATTTACTCCCATGGAGCGGTACACTATCATGGCAAAGAGCAGGTAGCGTACCTTTCGCTTCGTGTTGGACGTAGTTCCATCATACTGTATGATGAGATCCTTGTCGACTGTGAGCTGAGGACCGCGACCTTGCTGAACCCGGCTGATGTGGACCAGCAATATGTTCGGAGGCCGCGCAATGCCAGCCTGCCTAACACAGCCCGTCCGAGAACATTTCTCACACTTCCATTCGCTGATGTGTTCTTCCTGGGTATAGCTCGACAGGAGGTCCTTCACACCGACGATGTTCTTCCTCCCCATGATTCCGTCGGGAAAGGAATTGCATGTAACGCAGAAGCAATACTCTGCACGGCTGGATGAGGATGTGTCGTTGCAAGTCTTGCATTTGACTGACCTGGGATGGGTACAATGATGCATCTCATGACCTGTACACTCGGTCCGATCTTCGGCTAAACTAAGCCCAGGTCTGATTCAACATCATTCCGAAGATGTGGCCTGGGCATGGCGAGACAAGGGTCAAGGCGATGCTTCAACTGACGCGGAGGCAACAAAATACGAAAGTGGCCGTCAGTAGCTCTCAGTAGCTGTAGGCCACGGACCTATCAAGCTGCTTTGCTCAAGTTGCTCTTTCTCCGTGACGGAAAGGCCTTCCAGCGTGCGCTCGTTGCTCCGCATGAATGCCACTGACAACACCAAACACCTCCTGTGTGAGCAAACCCCTTGCGTTGCGCACACAAAACAACTTGAAAAACACAAGCATGCCTACGGCCTACGGCGCGTGCAGAAGTCCTATATAATTAAACGACAGTCCAATCTCGGCAATATGCGGCAAGGCTCGACGGGCGGACTGCTGTAGAAATTGCCATGAACTCTGTGCCAATGCAGTTGCTAACCATACACAACGTCTGCTTTCAGCTTTGTAGCGGCAGATCTGATGCGAACCACCACGCAGTGTATGAAGATTTGCATGGATTGCAGCCCTGAACACCTGGCCTTTTGCAGAAATGCAGCCTTCCAGGAGCTTGGAGATAATTAGCACGAATGCCTCATGGGCATCGGCTTGTTCACCATGTTGAAACTCGCCTGGCCGGCACGTCGGCGGATGCTGTCGGGTGGTTTTGCGCAGTTCACTCAGTTCACAAGTGCACAAGACATCTGCCTACTAGCTTGCGCCAAGGTGCCATTGGTGGATGCTGACTGCATCAATGACGCCATTTGAGTCGCCGCCACACAAGCTTTCGAGGAGCGTGCTGAATCAAGTTCTTTGAAAAGTTGGCGCAATGCCACTAGCCACTCGTCCTTCACCACGGCACCTTGTCCAGATGGGCATGCTGCATGCTATTGCATGCTAGGCTGATCGTGAATTAGTCTGAATAGGTATTGCATCTGTAGCGGCGTCTGAGGGCACGGCTTTCGAAAGCAAGCGCAAGGCTTCTCCGCAGCATTGGGGTGTAGTACAAACATTGCAAGATTGCGTTCAAAAAACATACATTCCGAACATTCCGCAGGCCGACTGGCACGAGGTTGACCTGGGCAAGCGACAGTCAAACGGCGATTTTCTGTAAATCTCGGTTTGAGCGCTTGGCAGCTTCAGGAATCGTGTCGTTGAGTCCATTCTGTGCCAACCAATCCTGCGCAACCGCGTGCAAGGGACTCATAGCGCAAGAGGCACTATCCGTACCGGCCTTGTACACTCGACCACAGAGCGCCGTCTCACCAGGGATGACCCTTAAAGAATGACGCCACTGCATGCCAATGCATTTTTATCACGCCGTTTCATGCTGGCAAGGTGCAAATTGCCCATGGCGGCACATCAGTGGAGAAGGCTCACATGTGAGGAAGCAGCAAGCCCCACAGAGATCGAACCTATTACAGTTGTGAAACTTACATGCTCAGCATACCCCCGAGATTTGCAATTGTACGGACACTTGACAGTTAACGTGCTGCTGCGAGCCACAAAGAAGGGGCATCGGGCACACTGACGTACTTGCCAAAACATGCCTACAGTAGCCTTCAGAGCATCGCCTACATGAGTACAAAAAACATCCGGGCAGCTATGCGATATTCTGGTCATGTCAGAACACTTCAGGATCGAGGCTCCCGCAAAGCGACTTGGAGGGAGCTGCGGCTTCGCTTTTGGCTTGGGCGGCTTGGGCGGGTCCTGCTTCTTTTGTGCAGGTCCTCGCAGCTTGACTCGATCAGATCAATGAGCCTTGCAAGCCCGCAGTTGAGGCATTGAGGCTGCCGCGAGCTTGGGCTGGCTGTGTTGATGTCGCAGGCGGCACCGCCGAACCTCAGCTGGATACTTTGAAACCTTCATACCCCTGCAGGTCCTAGGTTTCGGATTTCGGATCACGGTTCGTGATTCTAAGCCATCCTGGGCCCTAGCGTTCATAGCGCACAAGAGACAGTCGATTGCGAGCAGCCTCCAGGACACATCAAATGTGCCTGTTTGATCGTGAATACTTCGTGAATTCTGAATTCTCCGAGTGCTGTCATGCCTGCAGCTTTGCCTGGATGGCGGCGGATCTCGCCTGCCGCTCCTTGCCAACGCTAACCGCTCGGGGGCTGCGCTGACCGTTCAATGTCATGAGTTGCCCATCCTCGTAGGAATTTACTCCTTCCTGCTTCTCTTCCACGAAGTCATTGAAAGGCCTCGATAGTGTGCGGAGTGCGGCCTAGGGCCTAGGGACCCTGCAAGAAACACATGGGTTTGAGATTTGAGAGCTCGGGCTTGAGTGCACTTTCAGAGTTGATCGCGTCGCTGAAATTGCCGTCAGGCCTCGAGTCACCAAGAGCAACGAAATGCAGTGAATAACGGTGGTCGCCTGGGGTCGTGGCCGCCGACTTTTGGCCACGTGCAGGACTTTGGCAGCTGACTGCGTGGCATCCGGAGGCAGTTCTTCCTCGAAAGAGTCGTGGCAGGCTGTATATGTAAGGAGCAATTTACAACTGCAGGCTTCGGGGAGGCTTTGGTATCTCTTGAGATCTGCAGCACTGGGTTGGAGGAATCAGGTTGACAACGATTGATGCGAGACGGGCTCTATGTTCGTGCAATCCCAATGGATCCCACTGCATTGAACCGAGCTTCTAGGAGAGGCTTATGCCATCCAACACCTCTACAGGATACCCAGGCGCCATGAGGCTCCTCCCGCATGTTTTCAGCTGTCATTGAACACATTTTGTTGCTCCGTCCTCTTTATTTCCCCTGCTAGGACCTAGAAAAAAGAAGGACCCCCCCCCCCCCCGTCATTGTTGTTCGGGGATTCTAAGAAGCTGGGCCTCGCCTCGCCCCTAAACTCATACAATCCTACATTTTTTTCGGGAAGCTGGGTGAGGTTGGAGATGTATGGGTGCCTGATCACTTGATCGCACTCGGCGCATGTTCCCTGCTTACCACACAAAGCGTTGCCCGACCACTTTGGCAGCTTCGGTGCAAGCGTGGACCGCGGTCGTCGTATGGCAAAGGTATCAGAAACCTATCGGTCGAATGGCCTCGTGGTTGTCGATGGGGGAAGCCAATTGGTGCAATGGTCTGACGGTCAGTGGTCCAATGGTTGGGTGTCCTATGGAGCGGAGCCCATTGGTTAATGGACTAATCGTCCGGTGGTTGTCGCATTTCGGAAGAACCTGTGCAAGGATTTGTGCCTTTCTCCACGCGCAGTCCGCACGATTTCTGATGGATCCAGCAGGAGTATGTCAAGATAGTGCCTTGCAGGAGAGCAGCATGCTGGCAGTGTTTCATGGTCCGACAACTGCAAGCACGATATGGAGTTCTATAGAGCTGGCAGCGTTGAAGAATCAAGGAGATCCACGCGGAACGTACTCTTAGGTTGAGCGTGGCTGAGAAGCGCAGGGTTCCAGGAACATTCCTGGTGGAATACAGGCACTGTAGTAGAGTACATGTGCACGAGCCGCAGGTGGGGATGCCAATCCGACTATGTAAGCAACGTATGTCTACAAGTATCAAACTAGGCAACCTTATATCCTAACTGAACAAGATGAACCCCGCAGTAAACCCAGGTAAGATTTGTACATGTTCTTGTGAGACCTGCCGACCGACAACCACACACACGCCCGCACGCACGCCCGCCCGCCCGCCCGCACGCAAGCACGCACGCACCCACGCACCTACGCACCTACGCACACACGCACACACGCACACACGCACACACGCACACACGCGCACACGCGCACACGCGCACACGCGCACACGCGCACACGCACACACGCACACACGCGCACCCGCGCACCCGCACACGCACACCCGCGCACGCGCGCACGCGCGCACGCGCGCACGCCGCACACGCGCCACGCGCACACACGCCACGCACACAACGCACACACGCACACACGCACACACGCACACACACGCACACACGCACACACGCACAACACGCACACACGCACACACGCCACACGCGCACACAAGCCCGCACACCCGCCACACGCCCCGCCGCCACCCGCACACCCGCACACCCGCCACCGCCACCCGCCACACCCGCACACCCGCACACCCGCACACCCGCACACCCGCACACACGCACACACACGCACACAAGCACGCAGCACGCACACGCACGCGCACGCGCACGCGCAGCGCACGCGACAACGCGCACGCACGCGCACGCGCACGCGCACGCGAAAGCGCACGCGCGCACGCGCAAGCCACACACACACACACACACACACACACACACACACACACACACACACACACACACACCACACACACACACACGCGCACGCGCACGCACGCACGCACGCACCCAGCACCACACGCACCCACACGCACCACGCACCCCACACACGCACCCACACCCGCACCCACACCCACACCCACCCACACCCCACACAACCCAACCCACACCCGCACCCCACACCCGCACCCACACCGCACCACACCCGCACACCCACACACCACACACCCACACACCCACACACCCACACACACACACACCCACACACACACACACACACACACCCACACACACACACACACACACACACACACACACACACCACACACCCACCACACCACGCACACGCACACGCACACGCGCACACACCCAGCACCACACACGCACACGCACACGCACACGCACACGCACACGCAACGCGCACACGCACACGCGCACACGCACACGCGCACACGCACACACCCACCCACACCCACACCCACCCACACCCCCACCACCCCACACCCCACACCCACACCACACCCACACCCACACCCACACCCACACCCACACCCACACCCCACACCCCACACCCACACCACCGCACCGACACCCACACACACCACACCCACACCCACACCGACACCCGCGCACACGCGCACACGCGCCCACGCGCCCACGCGCCCACCCGCCCACGCGCCCACGCGCCCACGCGCCCACGCGCCCACGCGCCCACACGCCCACACGCCCACACGCCCACACGCCCACACGCCCACACGCACACACGCACCACACGCACCACACGCACCACAGGCACACAGGCACACAGGCACACACGCACATGCGCACACGCGCACATGCGCACACACACGCACATGCGCACACACGCACCCGCGGGCGCCCGCGCGCGCTTGAAAACACACAGGGACATTGCGGCAAACTCCTAGGCTTTGTGTAAACAAGGGACAATGTCTTGCACTGGACGGTTGTTATGCAGGAGTTGTTCCTTAGTTTCTCAGGGTGGTTTTTTTTGTTTCTCACCGAGCTAGCAAACAAGCCAGGTCTTCGGAGGGGAGTGGAGGTTCCGGGTAGGCTCGATGCCCGGAAATGTCTGCGGGGAGGGGGCTGCTTGTGATAGACCTGGAATGTGTTCTGGATTAGATTTTTGGACGTTTCTGGGCTGGAGTAGTGCAGGACTCGAATTCCAAGTGAAGCCATTCTCGGAGATGTATAGTATGTCGGGTATGTCGGGTGTTCCTGATGCTGATGAAGCGGCGCACGAACAACTGCAGGGGAAGCTGTCTCAGGGGCAGGTCTGCGGAAGCTCCGCTCACATGTACCCCGGGAGATGGCAACATGTCGGGGGACAATGCCGGAGGTGAGACCTCCCTTCCTTTTTGATCTACACGTCACCCTGGTCTCGTGGCTTTTGACGAGTTTTGTTCATGGATATTTTGCTTTTGTGTGGCATGTTTATGGCATGCCAAAGCAACACAGGCCATGCGACCATAACCCCTCCCCACGACCGAGCTAGCACATGCAACAAGTACGGCTCGCAAGCGAGTTGACCAACATATCGGAAGCATCCTTCCTCGCAAGCGATCTGAACGAAGTGTTAGAGGCATCCTTCATCATTCAGTGTCGAGGTGTGTTTGTGGTTCGTAGCTTTCAGATACGCTGAGCTTACAACTCATGATCGTAGTTTTGTACATTTTGTATTTCTGACAGGTTTTAGGTTCAACATGGTTCAGCATGGCCTCAGGTTTGGGGCTCGTCAGCTCTTGAACCGACCCCCACGATACATACTTTTGCCCCAGCGACTTTAAGCGTGGGGATGTTTAGGGGCTCTGCAGCAGCTCTTTTGGTAATTGCCGATCGAGTGCACGAGACAGGCCAACAATGGTTAGCACTATGCAGATTGGCCCCCCGTCCTCCAAGTTCTCCACCTCACCCAATTCTTCATAGTTCTGCCTCTGGTCTCTGCACATTCGTTTCCCAAGCAATGCCCATGAGACGCGCTCCGGTCTCTGGCCTCACTTGAATCGCCGCCGTTTCTGCCTTTTCCCGCTCCTCATCAGCGGCAAGCACTCCCAACCTGTTCGGTGGAAATCAGCACAGCATGCTTTGCCGCAAGGCCAGATGCAGTGTGAAAGCTTGCTCGATACAGGCTCGGGCACGGTGTTCAAGTCCCCGGGTTCAGCTCCAGATGCCCATCCTTGCGCTCGCGTTCTGTGCTCGAACCTGATTCCTCAAGCCTATGCCAGCCTTCCCGCTGCTTTCTGTCGATGTCCGCCAGCACATCATCGAGAGAAACAGGCTGGCACAGGACGAATTTCCATTTGATAGCGGTCTGATTCGCCGCGCAGCATGCGGAGGCAGGCCTCCGGCTGTAGTTGTTCTTCCTCTGGTACGGGCCTCTGGTCCACCACCTTTCATATCTGCGATGCTTGTCCGAACCCAAAGATACCCAAAGCACCACAGCTTCCAAACCCTTTGACCTCGAATGGGTCACCTGGATCAGCATCATCTGCTGAGCCTACCGGGACACATCTGAGACCTGGATGTGAACATGACGTGGCCAGGCTGAAGCGACTGTTTTGTGCGTTGCAAGCCTTCCTCCGACTCACTCTCCTGCACTCTCTGGGTGCTTCTTCACGTATGCTACGCAGGGTGCACAAAGGCCAAAAACCCAATCACAGGATCGGAGCGCTCAAAAACGTAACATTACGTTTATAGCCTCATTCCATGCACTGCGGCGTGAGAGTCAATGCCGCCCTGGCAGGCAACTGCATGTCCTCTTCTTCTGTTGGCCCCTTAACTACCTGGGAGCAGCCACATATGCTAAGCGATGGAGTACCTGGCACACATCCATGCCATCTGTCAGGCCTCAAAATTAGGCATGCCGACGTCTGCTTGTCCATTTGATAGCCAGTCGAGTCCTGCACATGGCGGTTGAATTTTACTGGTAAGAAGGCTGTTTTGCAGCAATGAGGTCAGAACTTACCCAGCCGCTTGGGCCCAAAGCGTAACCTGCCATGCTTTGAGCTCAACAAGAAGGCTGCTCTTTTCACTCTTACAGGTGTGGAGGTAGCGGACCGCTTTCTGCCATTCGGCGAATTTTTTCGGACATCTTTGCTGCTTCACCTTACTTAGAAGGTATTTGCATAGATCTACTCGTGTTTGTGCGGGGCCATACGTAACCCCGGGAAGTCGCTGTTGGCCCCCGGCTGCGCAAACGCTCCTCCTTTCTTCGCTCCTCACGCGCTTGCGGCGTGGTGACTTATACTTGTCATGCCATGACAGAACTAAGGAGTAGTTCGGGTCCTTCTCTTGACGATAGAGCCTCTGCTCCTCCTGCCGCAGTGATTCAGTGTGTGAGCTGCTGTGCAAATGCAGCGCAGGTGTGGTGGGCCTCTTTTTGCATCATCCGCTTGGAGGTCTGCTTCCTTTCAGGCACATGCTACTTCTGCAGATAGTTGCAGTCGATGGATTGAAATCTGCACAATCTTGAGGCATGTGCTGCACCATTCGCCGCGTCTTTTCTTCCAATGCAATGGCATGACCTCAGCCCACCGTTGAAGCCTGCACATTAGGCGCCCACTCTCGGCAAAGTCCACTCTGCCTGTGCATGTGCAGGACAGACAAGGCCAGAACGATTGGCCCTTCGCCGACGCTCCTGTCAACTTTGTGAAGCTGAGCAGGTCGATCGCCAGCACACTTCGTGCCGGAGCATGCTCTCTGGCATACATACAACACAATATATATGTATATATATAGATATATATATATATATATACGTATATATATATATATATATACATATATAGTCATCTGGAAGGATTTACACATTGCATTTTGTCGAGTGATAGTAGGGGAAGCATATATGTACATATATATATATATATGTATATATATATATATATATATATTTATTTATTTATATTTATATTTATATTTATATTTATATGTATATGTATATGTATATGTATGTGTATTTTCTATATACTATGCCAGACTAACAAAATACGCGAAGGGGGTTAGGGCTACCTTATACCGATGTACCCAATTCCTATGGACACATGCCCACATCAATTCGATTCTTGCTGGGCATTCCCCTATGAGTCCTGTTGTGTAGTGGTGGACATCCCATGCACAAAGACGTTTGGAGGCGGATGCTCTGCAAATTCAGTTGTTGAAGGGAATTCCTCTGTACTCTCTCTCGATTTTCATTGGGGAAGTCCTACTCTTCCCTTCAAGGTTCCTTGAGAGGCAGATGCCCCCATCAACTCGGTTGTCGTAAGCGCAATGTCTCATGAACCCTATCGCGTGTGTCCCTCTCAATTCGCTTTTTGTCGGGCATTGCCTCAAGACGAACGTGCATCGTTTGGATCATTTATATAGAAGCAGATGCCCCATAAACGCGATTGTTTAAGAGAACTTCTCATAACCCTATCGTTTGTCATGGTGACTCACCTGCTCATTCTCACATCATTCCCCAAACAGTGCGGCATCATTAAGGCGTTCCAACGTGAAGAGTAAGAGAAAGTATCGGGAAAGATCGGCATCGGCAAGGTGCGCCCGCACGGCATGCCCGCCGCGGAGCGGCGTGCATTTTCTCAAGGCTCGCATGTTGGATTCGTTGGATGCATATCGCACTCGTAGACGCGGCCGTGGCCGCGTTCGCCGTCCTCGAAGCGGTACTCGCTATTTGAACGTGTGGGCTTTCGAAATGAAAAAAAACTGTCGTCGCCTTTGGGCATCCGGATTCCGACTGTCGGCTGCAAGTCACAGCCGACCGACTCTGGCCTGGATGCAACTTGCAGCCGGTCGATTGCGTCATCTCATCCGGCATCGGCCTGTCGGCAGCCGACTGCGCTTAAATACGCCCGATGGAAATCGGATCCGGTGGCAACCGTCGTGGAGAGCACAAGAAGTGTAGTGCTTGCAGGGACCACATTGCTGTTCTTCGAGTGCCAATTGCATGTTGTCTGGAGCGCTTGGAATGGTCTCGATGTATTTTGGACGTGCTCTTGGACCATCCGAGTGTTCTTTCGTTTCCCAATGGTCTTCTTTCTTCCTTGTGAGGCTTCAGGGGCCGAAGCCCCTGGCGCAGTCACTCTCTCTCTCTCTCTCTGCACACTTGCCCCCCCCCCCCCCCCCCGAAGGGAGGCTGCCCGGAAGGGCGCTCGAGGCGCTCGAGCTCGAGTCCCAGGTGTCATGGTCTCTTCTTCTTCTGTGCGCTGGAGGACCCTCCCCTGATAGACAGAGCCCCGGCCGCGATGGCCAAGCGGTTCGACGCCAAGACTGCTGGTATTCGGGCTCAACGGTTGTCAGGAGTACCCAAGGCTTTCAGCATAGTCTTTCTTTCCCTCTCCCTCTCTGTTTGGGGTCTATGCTGGCACGGTGTTGATGAGCAGAATATTTCTGAACAGCACTCCCTTCTCGGATTCCTCTGATTTCTGCTGTTTTTTCACGTGGCCTATCTTTTGCCATCGTGTGTCTGAATGGCTGTTTTGATACCCAAAATCACATGTTGTATTCATGGAAGGCAGAACTGGCAATGTCCAGATTTCAGGACATACTATGGTCTGCTCGTACGTTGCACGACTTCTTTTTTGGCCGTGTAGAGGAAGAGAAAGGCGGAGCCGTGCTGTCAGTTTCCCAGCCAGAATTTTCACAACATGTCTTCACCGCTTACAAACCACCCGCCGCAAACCAGAAAACTATCACACCTTGAGAGGGGGGTTTAGCCAATATGATAGAAAGATGGATGGATATAAACAATCGCCATTTATGCTGCAGCTATGGGTTATGGGGTCAGAGTCGCCTCAGACTCCTCAGCTGCCATGCGGTGCCGCTCCCACCTCGGCCAACCATCTGGACCCTGGACCCACACGCTTTACATCTCTTTCTGCTTGCCAGGTCTGTTGGCTTTCGGTTGTGTCGCTGCATCATCACTTGGATCCCGCACGCTTCACGCACAGCTTCCACTCGACGAATCTCGTCCTGGCAGTTGCGCGTCTTGGGTCTTGCGCTTACACTTTACACTTCTTGACATGTTTAAGTCTCCAGTCGCACTCGGCAGGCACCTGCACAGCTTTCTGAGCGGCCTCGTGCTTGGCTTGCCTGTGGCACGTGTAGTGACTGCGGAAAAATCATAAATCGACTGATCTCATTTAAGGATCCTGGCCTTTGTCTCTCCTCAAAAGCGGCAGCTTCCGCCTGCAAAGGCAGGCCCTTTAAATGATTAAGGATCATTGCCAAACACCAATTACCATCAATCACCTGTGCTTTCTGGCGATCTGTGTCCATTACGTCCACATCCAGTTGTGAAAGCAGTTCCTGGTTGCAGACGTGAGTGAGGTGAAGATCAAATTTTGTGGGATTCAACGGGGTGCCGGCAGAAAAGCGTGGCAAAGTCTCGGGCTCCTCGCAGCAGGGGCACCACATGCCGCCCCCCCATTATCATGACAACGACCTTAAACTGGAGTGACTACACGGCGAGCCTTCTCACCTAGACCTAAGATGGGGCTGGTACTTGACACTCACCACCGTACATACACCAGCATGCACCAGTGTTCCGGGGCCCCCTAAATCCCGAAAGTGTCTCTGTGTTGGTTCGCTGGACTGCGTCAGTTGCTGGAACTGGCTCCGGCCTGCGCGGCTTGACCAGATGTAGCCGTCAAGCTTGTATGAGGACTCCGATCATCATCATGGGTTGATGCGTCGCAGTCATGACCGCAGCTCAACGGTCTCCCATATCTTTGCGCAATGGAAGCAGAGGTGACAGTGCCGCTTTGTGCAGCACTTTCCATCTTGCTGGACCTGGGATGCTCGATGCGTTGAACCATGCAAAGGGGCTGGATGAGCAGGGCTGCTGAGGAGGAAGCTGGCTAGTATCGGAAGTACTGGTGCCAACCATTTGCGTGAAGCGCCCGCCCCTGGCCAGCACTGCACCAAGTGGATCAAGTCGAGATGAGACTTATCGTGCCGCGCTTGGACTCTGGCCTTCTCTTCGCACCTAAAGCGTGTTGCATGACTGCTGCGCTGTTGCAAGAGGCAAGCTTCGAATGAGCGGCTGAGACGGAAGCTCGGCGCACTTCCGCCTTCGACATACCCTGTTGTCACTGCCTCCTGCTCGTCCAGCACTGGCAGGTGCACGCAGTGCATCATGCGCCAGAAAACTGAACATCGAGCAGAAAATTGCACACAACCGAAGAATTCGGCAGACTCCTCCGCGCAGGACTCGCTGGGCTTGCTCCTTGTCGGCTCCTGGAGTTGCACTGAAAAAAAGGGCCGAAAACAAGTGAAAGCACCTTTCGAAGCGAATGAAAAGAAGCACTTCTTACTGACGCTCTGAGGCACCGCTTAGAACCTTGCATTCTGCACTGTGCTTTCTGCTTCTTGTTCTTCTTGCCTGTCCAGCTCGGCCTTGGGTGCTCAACTGGTGATGGCGACGGCCGAGTTCGGGTGCAGCAAGCACCCCGCGAGTAAGTCATCGAGGCTTGGCACTGCCATGCTTGCCTGTGCACTTCGTTCAACATCCAATTGCATCGTTACGAGCTGTCGACATGCATCGCAAGTGGCTCAATGCAAGTGCATATTGAGAAGGATTACTCACACAAATATGCAGAACACAAGTGCTCTAATGACTCTAGCGGCACTTTCTCCCTCAAAGCTCCCTCCGAGCCTTGAGGATCCTCGGACACGGTGTTATCATGTCGTATCGGTCAGCTGGCTTTGACGTGTTTGCAAATGTTTGCAAGCCATCCTGTCCTTTGCTATTCGCTTCGCGCAGCTTTGCCGTACCGTGACTTCATCTTTAACCTTCGGACAGGGAACGTTTTTGCTTTTGAGCGTTGCGTAGCTTGAACATCCTTGCCGTGCCGGGCTCGCGGTAGGGTTCACGGTGTGGATCACTTGTTCGGCCATTTGTTTAGGCTTTCCCATTGCAGCCATCGCTTCTTCCAAGTCTTCAGGCTTGCAACCTGTGCCTTCAACCATCACTCCTTGTGGGCGTTTTCTCGATCACGTCCTGCAAGCGTCCCAGACTTCGTTGACCTCCTGTCGTGATCTCGAATCGTCTTATTGCTTGGGTATCCTGGCAGGTTCGAGGACCCGGGAGAGATTGAACTTGTCCGTGCCAACCAGGCCACTCTCCAGCATCTTGAAGCAGGAAAGTCGAGTCGCAACATGTAACAATCAGCAGCCCGTTCAGTAACAAATCTTCCCATTCCAGAAGAAAGCATCCCTCTAGCAGAGTCCAGTTGGGCACCGGAACAAAACAAAATGAAAGGACTCAGCATCCCTACCTCGGACCCAGTTTTGGCCACGAAGGTTGCAGGAGCTGATCTTACGTTTGCGGACACAAGCGCTGGTCCGTCGCTTGTACACCACGGGCGCACTGGATGAGCCATCCGACATGCCTCCCCGCCAGGTGCGTCCCATTTCGCTGAACTTGGGGTTAAACATCGTACCCCCAAGTGAAGCCACCCTCACATAGAGTCAAATGGTGGGCCGGATAAGCGCAAAGCAGAGGTCCCCGTAAACACTCTGCAGCTGGAACGTTCGAGCCCGCATAAGGCGCGGGTCTGACGGCTTCAAGACTAGAACCTTCTGGCCTTCTGGACTTAAACCAAGCCGGGATTGGGTACATCAGGGCTTGAGACGCGCTTCTCAAATCTGGTGAACTTTGAGAGGGTTTGGCAATTTGGGTGAACGCTTTCACCGACTAGCTAGAGCGAACCTGGTCAGCCATGCGAAAAACCACGACTGATCTTGTTTTGAAATGAGCTCACCCTTCCTGCCTGTCCAAGCTTCGAACAACCCAGGCTTGAGGTTTATTGGCGGCGACCGTTGCTCTGTTTCTTCTTGTTCAGTCTTTGTTGATCAGCTGTTCACGCATGGCATCCGCATTCTCTCGGTGGTCAAACGAAGGAAAGGTTTCATGGTCTGTTGTGGCTCTGAAAGTGTACGGTTGTGTGTATGTAAATGTACAGAATGTAGAATGTAGAATGTGTAGAATGCGCGTAAGGCTTCTCTTGAAGGCTTCAGAGTCCAGGTTCAGGGCTAATTACCCCATAAGCAGATTATAAAAAAATGCGAGTGCGAGCAAAACCGATTTGTGGGCACAAGCTCTGAACCATGCACTAAGGCCAGCACGCCCAGCCAAATCACGCGAACGGCATCTAGAGCACGCGGCAAGTGGATTGATTCTCAATGCGCTCCGTACTCCACTCTTCCACAGCTACTCGCTAGTTGGAGTCCAGCTCTTCCGCTCTGACTTGTTGAAGGGCTGTGAGTATTCCGGTGCTTTACCGACTGAAAAGCTTTGGAAAGCCGGCGAAATGGGCCGAAAACGGCCATACCAGCGTCGCATATGGCATCGCATCATGAACAGCACTGAGAACAAGCAAATCTTGACTGTCTGTTCAATGAGTGACAGTGGCTTCAGGAGAAATCGAGCCGGTCGTTTTGCTCTGCGTGACATGTCTGCTGTTCCTGAGGAGCTACAAAAGGGCATCTCTCAGGCTCTGGTCGCAGAGAAATGTGACGCATAGAGTTCTTGAAGGCGCGCAGTCATGGCTTCCATCGACTTGCCAACTGCGCTGGAATGCGCCTCCTTGATCGAGGCACTCAAGTTCGGGGCTGAGGCCGCCTTGGGTGACAAAGCCAAGCCTGTCGGCCTCTGCCGACCATTCACCTTCACCACCACCTCGCCGTCCATGGCGTTGCCTTCGAACTCTGAGCTGTCCAGGTCACTGTACAGGGTCTCCACCCTGCTGGTCAAAGATTCCCACTCTCTCAAAGCGGTGATTGTATCACCCCATTTGTCCGAATCCGCTGGTTTGAAGTTCGACAAAACCTCCCTCCCAGAGTCACCGAGCTTGAGGCGGATCGTGCCTGCAGGAGGGAGCTCCGCAACTAACCAGCCATCCTGCTCTACTAGCTCACCCTGAAGGTTGTTTTCATGAAAGTAGAGCTTGCCGTCAGACTCTTTGACTTCATAGTAACCACCAATGTAGCGCCAGACTGCTACCAGATCCGCTGGTGCATCAGCGCTGCTCTCCAGCGCACTCTCTCCTGTCTCTGCACGTCTGGCTATGGTCATCATGGCTGCGCTGTCTGACCTTCTGTTGCTTGCGATTGGTTGCACAAAGCTCGCTGAGAGCTGCCAGACTGCAACGAGGGTGCACTGGCTAACAAGCGCCAACCTCCACAAACCTCTGCCGCCTCTCGCCATTCCAAAACTGCAGGCAGGATTGCCGAGAAAAGTCGAGGATGTGGATCTCGGCCGAGACGGCTGCAGATGCGTCATTTAGCGCATGTTGCCCTCTAATTGCGGTAAACAGCATCACACAAGAAGTCTTCGCAATGCTTGCGACAGTGAACGTTGTAGATCGCAGAATCTTGTTTTCCAACGTCGCAGCTGCTATCTGACATGTGCCCCCTGTTTGTCTGCGATGCAGCTCGCACCCCCCCTTTGCTGTACATCTGCATGTTTACTGCTTGCGGCAGTGCCCTCCCAAAAAGGCTCGGAACTTGATGTGGCTGAAGCCTTCGCACATCGAGTTGGACTCCCAACCGACTACAGTGTCCATGCCAGTCTAGGGTCTCAAGGAGTTCTGCATGAGACCCAGCCTTCTTGAACCAGTCACCATCTGCTCTTTGCTTGTTGGCCTGGCTCCTTAACAGGCTCCCGAACTAGTGCAAGCTGCTACATGACTTGATTTCACTGCTCCACGACGACACGACCGCAAATGGTCAGCGGCCGGAGACTGAGATGGTTGAGCCAGTAAACCAGTTGAGCTTCCAGCTAAGCTCTGCAGCGTGCAAACTGCTGACCTTGTCTTGCCCGCCGCTGATCAAATGTACTCTAGCTTTTCCGACTGCGATTGCGCTATTCTAGAATGGCAGACAGAGAAGTGCGAGAGCACCTTAAGGCGCTTGCTCGGACTTGCCTGAGTTTGGAACAATAAGTCAGGATGCTGGGCTGCTTTTGGCTGTCGCGGTGCCTGGAAAGGGATGTCACATGACCCTTTCGCTGTACTCGGTCATACGACGCCAGTATAACCACCCAAGTCAGGCTTGAAGGATAACACTTGGTAGTGGGCAGGCGCAGCAAAGAGGCTTCCTCACAAGCATAATGTAGTCTTACTTAAAGGGGGCACTTCATGATGACATTTGATGAGCTACATGCAATCCGATCGCGCGTTCTGCGATGCGCAAGTCGAAAATTAAGTGTTGGGCTTTGGCCGCAGCTAAGGCTGCTTTCCTACCCTTCTTTGAAGACACCTGTCATGTGGAGGCATGGGACTGTGAAATTCTCTGCTGTGCTCTGCTTCCCTTCTGCCTTGGCCACTGTTGGCACCGCACACTTGACCGGGCCCGGAGTTCGGGCATTCGACCTAGTGAGAACCCAGCGACTTCGTGAGAGCATTCCGACAACATCGGACAGCATAGCAATAGTAACGTGATGCAGCATGGTCATCAACACAACTTGCTGCTTCGATGGGCGCCTTGTGCACTGGCTATCATCCGGACCTGGGTCCAAGTGTTCCAGCAGACACTTCCGGTGCTCCAAGAACTCATGTCATGCACACCAGGAGTTGTGACCTGCTGGCAGTTTCCGAAGATCCCCATCAACGGAACCACCAACCTCATCCATCAATGGCAGGCGCTTTGGGCAGCAAGTGCGCGTTGTCTGTTGCGGGTTTCACCGTGCCTGTTTGGACGAAGTGTCTTCAACATCTCCATCCCTGAGCCCCGGGAAGCAGCTTCTGGACCCTTGGCCCTGGATGCACATGGATGCACACAGCAGGCTTGCACACGGCTTGCCTTGTATCTGGGGGCTCGGTCTGAGCCGACCCATCGAGCCGAGACTCGCAACTTGTCTCATGAGCTTTTGGCTGCGCTTCTCCGGACCTCACTTCACCGTGTTAGATCTGCTGCGGCTGAGAAGGCGTAGTAGCAGCCCAGCAGCCCTGCACATTGCATGTTACAAAGCACCCACATCTGAGGAGATCTCAGGTCCTCAACTTCACAAAGGCTCACAGACTCACCTGTGCAGCAGCAAGGGCAAGACGATTCTTTAGCAACATGAAAGGCATGGACTCGTTGTCACAGCCATCGCCTTGGGACTTGGGAGAGTCCGTGTCGCTGGAGGTGTCAACCTGATCCACCTGGGCAGTCTGGGGCTTGAAATCGGACTTTCAGAGCCGGGAAGCATTCCACGTGTCCAAGCTTGTGGCCCTTGAAGAAGACTTGCGCTTGAACGAGGCTGTCTGGATCCTGACAGAAATCGAGAATGAGACCATCGAGCCGAGAGCTGCACTGCTACCCATTGCGGTCACAATATGTCACAACATGTCACAATATGCCACAACATGTGGTTTTCCTCCTGTCTGCTGCAACAGATGGCATTCTGAGTGATCCGTCTTGTTGAACGATTGCGTAGCTCCTGAGCTCTCCCTCTTGCTTTGCCTTGCAACCCTAGAACCCGCAGAGGGCAGTGCGCGTCAGAGCATGCACGTCGCATCTCGTCCAGCCTAGACTGCGAGGACTGCAAGGACAGCAAGCGGCGATTCAGCTTCAAGCTGCAGCACTCGGAGCCGGACACTTGCTTGAACTCTGGGGCCACAATCAGATCCTTACCCCTAGCTGGAACCTGACCTCGGTTAAATGTAGAAACAGCACACAAGGCAGCCGCCCAGTCAAAGTCAAAAAACAATTTGTCGATGTGTCGGGGCACACCACGGGCAAAGCCACCGCCGTGTAAGTTTGCACCTGGCATAGCGCACCACAAGCTCATCGCTCTGATAGGTGAGGTAAACCTTTGCCCTTTTGCAACTCGCCCACCATTTGTTTCGTTCCATCATCTCGTTGAAGTCCAGATATGAACGTCGATCAAAGGCCTCGACTAGTCAGTGTCATGAGGTTCGAAGAACAATTCGTGAAGTTGGCCTCAAGGTGCTCACAGTTCGGCCCTCTCACTGGGCACCTCAAGAGTGTGAAGAGTGTGCGGAGTGCCTTCTTAATTGCACTTGAGAGTTGGTGTAGGCGCCATTCTAAGTGCTCGACTCTATGAGCTGTAACCTGCAGTGGGTTGACATCAACTGACATGGTCTCTGGAATGCTCGTCTATGCATTGAAAATGCTGATCCAAGGGCCCGTCGAAACTGGATCCTTTAAGCTGACTCGACGCTCCACCACTGTCATCTCGCCATCCTACACATTGGCACGCGGCAGTGTGTGCAGCGTGCAGCAAGGTTCTGATCTCCGACGGGCTGCTGTCACATCATCTTCTATCAGTATACAAGCACAATTCAGGCCATTTCAGAGGTCCCCTCCAGGAACTTTCGGCTTGAGACAAACCCCGTTTCCTTTTGCTATGTCCTGTCGGGGTTATTTTTGTTCTTGTTCCCTTCCTTATCGTTTTACAGTACTACGACTATTGTGTTGATTAGAGTGGTGGCTGCTTCTGGGGTTTTTATTGATTTGTAGTACAGGCTCAGTACTGGGATCGATGTTTCCATGAGCCGGCTGGATTTTCATCGATTTGTAGTACAGGCTTAGTACTGGAATCGATGTTTCGGAGAATCGGCTGGGTTTTCATTGATTTGTAATTGTAGTACAAGCTTAGTACTGGAATCGACGCTTCCGGGGCCGGCGGGGGCTTCATCATTTTGTAGCACAGGCTTAGGGCAAGCTTGCTACCGGAATCGACGTTTCCATGAGCCGACTGGATGTTGTTATTCTGCAGCTTCAGAGATGTTGTGGTCGCTATCACTCTTTTCCCCCCTTGTCGTTTTACAGGCTAAGATCAATTGTCCATGACAAACGGACGGGGCCAGAAGGTGGCTTGCTAGCAGGCTCACTAGTAGATGATCCAGTCGGTCAAAAACAAAATAAAACCGTGGCTAAGATTCACGTTTAAGTCACGCCCAGGCAACCATGGGTCAAAGGAATCCCACCCATCAGGGTCGTCCTCAGGGAAACTACAGTGAAACTACTGTGGTGATATTTATTCGGGGGATTTGTGTACAGCGTGTTGGGGAAGGAGAATCCTTTCACGAACTGGGCTCCCACGTGCCCTCCGGGCTCCTCAAGCCCGGAAGAAGAAGAAGCAGAAGAAGGAAACAAGGGGGGGGGGGGGGGGGGGGGCGGGGGCTGGCATTCGGAAGCCCAACAATCATCGACCCCGTGAATTGGGCTGCGCTGCTACTAGGCAGGGAGCATCCCCCCGGTGCACAGCACCCTCGGCACAGGTCAAAAGGTCAGGGTACTCAGCGACTCCCCTATTGCCTTCCTTCGTTGGCTCCTTCCTTTGCACTCAACCCAACAGAGTGGGTCAGCCCGAGGGGTGTGCGTCACTTGGTCAGTCTGACTGAAACATGTGCCCAAATGCAGAATGGAGCTCTCCTGGACCCTCCGCCCATCGTAGAACTAAGATTACGTCGTATCTACTCTTTCTTTCTTTCTTGGGGCCTGGGGTGCAAGCCCCCGCGCAGTCCGCAATCTACTCTATCAACCTTTCCCCACGCGAACAGACGCTACATCTGTACTGCGAGTATGGTCATTGCAAGTGAGTCGGCCTCAGACTCGCCCAGTAAGAGATGGCGGCACACAGAAGATGGCGGAGGCGGCTCAAGGGAGTCCTTCACTTCCTCACATCGCAAGTGGCCGCACGACATGATGAAGTGCAATACCTTTGTATGTAATGCACCCAAACAGTGTGGCTACACCTGCCGATGGGCCTGCTCACTCGCATAGAGTCGCCGCAGTCGCTTCCTTGTCGCGGGACGTTGCGGTGCTGCAGCGCCATTCCTGAACAACCTGCGAAGGTACACCAAAAGCCCACAAAAGCCCACCTTACCACATACAAGCTCGAGACTTCAAGGCCAAAGCGCCCGAGGCCTTTTGCTTCTTCACTGCTTGTCTTTGTCAAGGTGCAAAGGGCCAAGACGTGAACGCTCGTAAACGGATGCATGCTGATGCACGGCCATGTCTTTGCCTCCTGTGTGCGGCTGTCACAAAGCTTGGCACAAGACCACCACTCCCTCTGCCCAGTCTTGCAAAAGCCTCGCTGTCAGCACCAACTTGCCTTGCATATAGCATGTCCGGATCAAGGTGTCAAAAGCACTTGGTGCTTCGGGGAACCCTATATCCCTCAGCATGCGCTGCAGGAGCAGCAGCGCAACCTGCCACTGACCCTGTTGTGCACAAGACAGAGTTGCCGTACTGAAAGTGATCGCAGAGGGCTGGAACCTAAACGCGGCCTCTGCAAACAACTCCAGGGCCAAACGCCAGCGACGCCGACAGGCGCCCATGACACAACGGTAGCTCATTTCATTCGCAGCGACTTTGCGATTTGCCATTTCGCACAGCAGAGCAAGGGCCAGGTCCCACTTCATAGAGGTTTCGCAGCAGTGAACGGCCGAATTATAGAGAATAGTATCTGGAACCAGTGCTGCAAGCAAGCCCTGCCGCAGAAGGTGGAGTGCCGCCTCCCACTTCTCACAGCGATCGCAAGCTACAATCACTGCGCTCAAACCGATGGTGTCTGTGGGTACGCGGTGAATAGGCATGTCATGCCAGAGTGACACTGCGAATTGCCACTGGCTGCCTGCGGCACAGGCACTTATTCCAGCGTTAAAGCTGATGGAGTCTGGGGTTAGAATCTCCCTCATGGCGGCAAGGACTGATAATGCCATCTCCCAGTTGCCAGCCTTCTCGCATGCGCTAATAGCTGCACTGTAGCTGATATGATCGGCCGGGATTTTGTTGAGGACCATGCTTCTCAACAAGCCAATTGCTGACTGCCAGTGGCTGGCCTTCTCGCATGATGATATGGCGGCGCTCATCGATATCGTGTTGGGCTGAACTGATGCAATCTCCGACTCAAACAAAAGTTGTAATGCCAGAGTCCACTGGCCGCCGCGTGCACATGCATTGATGCTCGCCCCGAGCGTAACTTCATTTAAGTCCAAAGATCTGTCTTTCATCATGGCGCAAAGGAAAAGTGCACGATGCCACTGACCACCTCTTTCACATGCTGTGATTGCTGAGCTGTAGCTGTATTCATTCGGCTGAATGGTGAGCTTCCTCATGCACGTAAAGAAATGAAGCGAGAACTCCCACATACCACTCTTCGAACCTGCTGCAATGACGGCAGTGAAGTGGTACACGTTGGCCTCCACAGCCCTGACCCTCATGCATTCAAGGACACGCGCTGCTGTTTCAAAGTACTTGGATCTGCAAAGCTCACTGAGAGTTTTCGTTGCGAACTGTGGATTTGCAGCCCACTGTGCCAACTGCGGCCCCAGTGCTTGCAAAACATCCTGCATTGTCGGCTTGTCTAATGAATTCCTTCCACACTTCAGAAGGGCTTTCATGTCAGGCACTCTTCCTGATAGGTGCGACATGCGCAGCCTTCTGAAATGTCAACTTGAGTCACTTGAGTAGCTCATGGCAATGGTGTATGAGCACAGCTCGGAAGGTGGCATATTGAGCCAAAAGATGCAAAGGAGTGGCATTTTTTGAGTTAAGGCTTGAAGCATTGACATTCGCTGAGGCACAGGCTGTTGCAACTGCAAAGCCATGCCTTCCCCCAACCAGCTGGATCGTTCTTGCACCACTGACCAACATCATCAGGATCTCAGGCAGGGGCGGTAGCAGTAGGTGGCTTGTTTATGTCATGCTCCAAGAACACGCCAGCAGCTTCCGAGTTGAGACGTGGTCTTTGCGAGATTTACTTTTACCTGCGCTTGTGTTGTGTTATGCTTCTGGTTGTGCTTCTGCTGCCCTCACTCGATGCCGGTTTTGATGCGCCTGTATACCATTGTGTACCTCATATCTCATGATTTTCAGCTTGTATTGTTTTTGAGCATTGGCGGCCGTCACATGCAGTCACGCTTGGGGGGTACTTGGCATCTTCGAGCAGGTGCTCGTCCCGACACCAAAACTAGTGCGTCATTCCAGCAAAGAGCCAGAGCCAGAGAGAGAGAGAGAGAGCCAGAGCGAGAGCGAGAGCGAGAGCCAGAGCGAGAGAGAGAGAGAGAGAGGCGGAGGAAGAGTCCTTAACAAAGCATGTGCTCGGGAGAGCTCTCTCCTGGAAGCCCAAGGTGCTTGCTGCGGAGGCTCTTTGACGCTGACAGCTCTGAAGCACTGCTCCGACTCTGAGTCGTGTTTAGCTGTTTTGCTACGTGGTCATTGGTGAACAGGGTGGCGCCTTTGGCCCCCAGAGACCACGAAAGAGTTGAAGCATTTGTACATGGCTGGGGAGATCAGAGTTGATCTGCACTTCTGCAGCCTCCTTGCTTCTACCTCCTAGGACACGGTGAGTCCGAGTGACCTGTGCATGACCACCACGACCGACATCTGCTGGTTCGGTACTGGATTCCGTCGCCTTTACAGTGTCTTCATGAAAGAGTGCACCTCAAGCTGCCCCACGCAGTCCCCAAAACCAAGCAGAAAGCACAGCAAGATGATTCAAGATGCGTTTCGCAGGTAGAGTTCGCTCCGCTGACGAAAGATGTGTCTACATGAACAACGATGCGCCAAGCTTTGCGCCCACTTGGCATCTTCAAAGAGGTCCTCTCTCTTCTCAAGCCTGGGCAGAAGAGGGGTCTTGAGAATAGTGGCAGTGTTGTCAAGTCCTGCAAATCCCGCAGAGCGTGGGTGGCTGAGGTCTGAGCGTGGTGACTCGGTTCATGATCTGCGCAAAGCGGGCTCGTGCCAGGTGCGAGTTCAGGCAGGAAAAGGACTGGTTAACCAAGAAAAGGTAATCGGACGGGTTTGACACAGCTCTTCCAAAGCCTTGTTCAGCTCGGAAAGCTGGAGGCGATTCTGTGACAGCCTCGGAGTGCCGCTTACTGGACTGCTGAGTACACGGCATGCAATCGCCCGCAATATCGCATGGTCAATCTGACAAGAAATGTAGGGCGAGGACTCTTTCAGAAGCTCTGCGCCCCTCTGAATCAATGCAAGCATCACTTCAAACGTCTCTTTGCACCTAAGCTTCAAGCCACACCACCCGCTAGCCGTGCTGAAGTGGCATGGTAGAATCATGCAACCCACACAGACCCGTATGGCCCCTCTCAGGTTGACACAATGCGTCTGGAGCCTCCGAGATGCGCTCCAAGGCCTGAGAAACGAGCTGAGCAGATCTGAGCATCGTATCACCATTCTCACCGTATACCATTCTTCCACTTGAGCCAAGATCTTGAAGGCTCTTTGGGCACATCATGCCCCGTGCCGCAGCAAACAACCGTACACTTCGGGGGCCGGCCTCCCACTTCTTGACAATGGGATCCAAGTCTCTTGCGCAGAAGTTACCGTCGAGACGCGAGTAGTCCTCAGACCGGTGGTCGGAGATGAGGTGAGTTCGGGTATCTTTGTTGGATGTTGTCAAGACAACGAACTTGCCGCCTTCTTGATGGACTCCCTGGCAACGAAAGTGTGCTCAATGAGCAGGAGTGCCTAGCGATTGTTGGAGATCTCCTAAGGTCCTACGTCGCAAGGACAGCATTGCGCATGCGCCGGGACCTTTTCGATGATGGACTCTGGTGTGACCTGCGTGATACGACTCATGTTTGACGCCTTCCTCCTTTAACGCATGCACTTGTCGCCGGCCGCCTTCTCTTTCTTGGCTTTCTTTTTCTTCGGCTTGGCAATCGCGTGCAGCCCATCATCGCTGTCAACATCCTGCCCTTCGAGTGAAGTGACACTGACACTCGAGAACAGTGCCCTTGACACATTTCTTGTCAACGCTGTGTTGCTTCTGTTTGATTATCCGAGCCTGCTTCTTCAGCCTTCTCACGTCTGTCCTCCTGTTCCTTGCGGCTCCGTTGATGCGCTGATATATTCAAAAATGCCTGCAAATGCCTGCAAATCGGCAGGGCAGTGACCTAGCAAGCGGTCCTCCACCTTCTTCACCAACGCCTGCAAGTCAAATTGCCCTTCCATCTCTTCCTGCTCATCCACCTCGGAGTTAAAACTCTCAGAAAGTGCTCTCGCGAACACAAAGTTTTTATACACAGAGCACAACTGCTCAGCACATCAGGGGCCTCGTAGTGCTTGCGCTCGTGGTCAATTTCCACATCTTCCAAATCTGGATCAAGCTTCTCTTTGACCTGCCAGTGCAGCAGGCCACTGGCTGTCATCAATATGCAGTCTTCAGAAAATCTTCGGAGGACACGAAACGCCATCACTCTAGGCCAGCTGCCTGCCCAAACTTGGCCCGTTGATTTGTAACGGTGGGGTGCTTCCATGTGACTTTCTGAGTGGTCTGGTTCACGTAATAGTGCCGACCTCGAAGCTTCGCAATCACAACACGCGTGTGTCTGTTTTGCGCCATGTGAGCATATGCCAGACAAGGGTACTTTGCTGGACAGGACACCTAAATGTTCGTCCCAGTGCTCCTGCCAGCAGAAGGAAGGCAGAAGGGGAAGTAAACATCAGGCCTCAACCAGCATCGCTCACTGCTCCTGCCAGCCCTCTGGGACCTCCAGTCGAAGGTTGGGTGGCTTCACCTGACGAAGCCATGCGTGTGGATGTATGTTCCTGATGTCAGAGCGAAGTGTTGGGTGGTCCTTCTTGATATCGTTGTTGAGACTCAGGCGGACCTGCAGATGTTCAGAACGCTTCAATATGCTTCAATTGCAAATGCGAATGTAAGGGGTTGCAAGGGTGAAGCCTCGTACCTTTCCGAATCCTTGTCCCAGCAGACGACGATGGCCTGCAAAGGCCAGGTGCTGTGAGGCCCCCCCCCCCCCGGAACTTGGCGGTGCTTGGACGACCTTCAGGCCGTTCATCCATTTCGCCGTCTCGCTTTGCAAGCCGCGAACTTCTACCTCCAACTCTTGATTGGATTTGGGTGTGGACTCCGGAAGCTAATGCACTGGCTGGTGCGTTGACGGAATGCTTTAACCTCATTTGCGCATGGACCTTCGTGCCGTTCGGGATCTCACCTTCCGGCATGTCCTGTTTCTGCAGTGGTCAGTAAGATTGATGCTCAAAGCTTGCTGCTCCTCATCATGCCTTGCTTCAGAAACTATGTGCGCTTGGCCACTGCGTCCTTTGTTTCTTGCACCTCCTTTTCTTGCATGGCAGAATACATGAGGTTCTCTTCCTTCAGCTTGACGACCTGCAAACTCAAGCCGGAAAAACTGGCCTTTCTGCAACTGCTTTTTCACATCTCAGGCGCGAGCTACAGAATCATATCGTCCACCTTCGAACTTCACTTCATATCTGTCTGCCTGGCGCGTGCGAAGTGGCAGCTTGCCGCAGATTTGCCGAGAAGGCTGAGTGCCTCCGGGTGGTACTTCAAGACACGGACAATTTTGCCTGGGAAGTGCTCGTGTCACAGGTGCAAGCAGTCCGTGGCTCAAAGGGGGTGGCCGTTGTAATCAGTCTTGCTCTTCACGCCCACCACCTCCATTAACCTGACAATGCACTACCACCCTACAAACGAACGCATTTGCAAAACTCAATTGCTGGGTGCTCGAGCTCTCCCGTCTTGAACTTGGCATCTTTCTCGGTCTTCTTGGGGACATCAGTGCCTGATTCAAGCCGAGCGCCATGACGTCTGTGCTGGGAGATGCCCCTTCCAAATGACCCCGGTCTTGTGGGCAGTTTTCATATCTATGAAATGCACGCATAATGCTTCTATGAATTGGCCCACAAACAAAAATCGGAAAATGCGATAAAACTTATAGAAATTGTCTGGAGAAGCATGTCTGTGCTATGAAGTTGCCAGCGTGGGGCACGCGAGCAAGGCGGCTCTGTGGCCTCAAAACTCAACCGCTTTTTCCAAACCCACTAGTGTGTACGCCTTAAAGCCATCTAACGCATTTCAACGCTTTCACTGGTAGCTCGCTATCGTTCTCTGTGACGCCATCCCCCCCCTCCCCCTGGCTGGGCGTAGGGGCTCTGGAAGGAAGTCTGCGCTCCTCCTCCAACGGAAAATTTCAAAATCCAAAGCGCCCAGGGCGTACAGGGTTAAAGTGCCAGACAACATCCCAGAAGCGTGTGCTACGTGAAATGATCATGCCATTTTTTTTTCACGCCAGTTTTTTGAATTACGGGTATTCGAGAAAAGTGCTTTGACACCCACCAGTGTTGTTGGTAGCTTTAACGCAGGTGTTCTTCTCGCCCGGTCTCTTGTGGTCACCTCGCCCAGGCCTCCTACCTCAAAGAAGCCTGCCGAGAACCTCGCGCAGCATCACTGGAGCGCACGCCCGCAGAGAATCTCGGACAGAATCCATGGAACAAGTGTCCGTCAAAATGCTTGGCGTTGGGGGCATTATGATGCATTATGTAAGGGGACACCCGCAACGTTGCATGGTTTGCAGTTCCAATCAAGGGCTAGCCGCTAGCCTCTGTTCTCTGGGCTTCTGCCGATCATTTTTTTGGTTTTCTCTTGCCTTTTGTATAGCACGAGATGACAGAAGCACATCATTGCCTCACGAAAAAAGGCTTGCGTGGGCTACTGCTCGAGCAACGTCTCAAAACACTCTATGCTCTGTTCACAAAACCCTATCATGAAATGGCCAACGTGTGCCAACGTGGACCCTAGACGAAATACAAGAAACAAAAAGTCATGAAACAAAGCGCAATCCCCACTGAAAAAAGATCATCTTGTAAAGGCAACACCCATTTACGGACAGCCCAGGCTGGTCTTTTGTAAGTTCCATGTCAATAGGGCATGCGAAGAGCTCATGTTGAGCACCGTAAGATCATACTACACCAACGCCCGGTGGGTATGCGAACACATGGCCGTTCTTCAGGTCCTCCAGCCAACTAGGCATGCGTGGCAGAAAGCTGCCAGCAAACCCCTTCGGATGGCGCCGCGAAGCGGTGACAGTTCTGGCTCAGAATCCGCGAGCTCGGGGGAAAGCATGGGGTGATTCGGGTGGTGCTGTCTGTGCGATCCAGGCCTCCAGACAAACTGATGATGTGCCTCATTCATTTTTTCCTGCTGTCTTGTTGGAATGCTGTAGCCGGCATTATCCACATCTGGCTTATTCTAAATACTTCCTGGCCGTTTGGGCAGGGACGCTACAATATTACAAATATGTTCCACGAGGCTTCGCTACATTGCATCACCCTGCCCCAGAGGACTACTTATTCAAGGGTCTCCCCCATCAGACGCAGGCTGCCCTTGTCACCGCCTTGTCACCGCAGTCTGGACACAAGTCCACTTCACACGCAGTGCAATGGTAAAAATACGACCCTGAGACAACCAAATCCACTTCGCCGCAAGCATCGCAGGTTGGGGCCTCTTGCGTGTCTTCGTACGGCCCTCCATGGAGGTCACTGATCCAAACAGACAATTCTTGACCACAGGTGCAAACAGGGGTGCGAGGTTCATGAGGGTCACGAACACAGGACCGGCAACAACAGAAAAAAAACCAGCCAGCTGCCAATTCTTTTCTTCGGGCTGCCCGGCTTGGCTTCCGGGAAGCAGTTGTATCGATATAGCTGATAGTGAGATCATCACCAGGTGCTAGCCGCCGACACGCTGTCAAAGTAATCGTGATGCGCCCATCAAGCGAATCGATCTTGTATTCAGCAGCGGGGTTGCAGCTGTGATTGCACAATGCGGGTAGAAGAAAGATACCAAGCTGTCCCTCTCCGAGCTCAAACGCGTTGCACCGCCATATTTTGGCCAGTTCACAAAAATCTGACAGGAAGTTCTCCGCAACGCCGAAAGCACGCGCAATTGCCACAGCCGTGGCGTCTACCAACATGCGGTCACCTTCCGGAACTTCCAGCTCACTTATACCTGGTGCTCGCGCGGCTAGAATCTCAGGTCGGCTGAGCGCAAACAACCGTTTCTCACCGTGCGGCAACTTTGAAACGTCTGAAGCCGCTTGCGTGCTTTGAAACTGCATCGGCATAGAAGCCAAAGCGGCACAATAACAGGGCAGCGGCAGCAAAGCTGGATGAGGAAGTGTGGCACGAATGTTTTCAACTTCTTTGCAGCGTGCACCAGGACTGTAGACGAGCTGTGAATCACAGCAAAGTAGCTCGGATCCAACTTCAACAGCTTCCTGAACTCTGAGCCCTAAGCCAGCACTTGTCTGAGTCAGGCTAAGTCTGCGCTCCAAGCCAGCCTCTTGCAGCACTTCGTTGAAAAGCAACTCTCGCCAGTTGCAGTCGCCTTCACGTAAAATCCCCTGAGCCATGTGCCCGGCCAACAAGCATTGCCGACAGTTGGTAGATTTGGCGAAGATGGAAGACGAATGCAACGTATTTTCAAATATTCTGTACCCTTCCCCCCGGATCATAGATGAATGGGTGGGACATGTTTCTCCACGAGCTTGAGCCTTGGGTATAAGGACTGTTCGATGGGCTTGTTGTGTCCTGGGCTTGGACTCCTGATTGACTCATGATTTTACACATGTTGCAAGCGAGTCCGATCGTCCCCAATCTAATCATCAGTACGGCCCAGCCTTGGTACCCTGTGAACACGTTTGCCTTCGCATTTGCCTGTCGTATTGACTTGTGCTGACTATTGCGTACGTAGCACGATAGATGCACCTTGCCTGTTTGATCTCGCGGTCCTCTTTGACTTTCCTCGCATGCAAGGCCAGTGGTCGTGGATCCACCTGCGTGTGGCTGTGAGCTACATGGTTTAGTATGTCTAAGTGCAACTTCGTGACTGTGGAACTTGCCGACTGGGTTTGTTCGATAATGGGGGGGGGAGGTGTTGGGATCAGGGTATGTTTCGGGGGTATGTTTCGGGTTATGTTTCGCGGGTGTGCGACCCGTGCGCTCTTCTTAAACCTGAGCCCCGCCCCCAACAAACCCTACTTGTCATGGTCATGAGCTGAAATGAACAGCGTATGTTTAGCCCCCCTCTGGATGGGCCTCTCGTTCGCAGCAGTGGCGGCAAAACTTGTAGTACTCATAGCCTCGCATGATCTCGCAAACACATGGAACCAGATCAAGCCGTAAACATGAGGCTGTGAACAGCTGCGGTCTGCGGTGCATCGTGATGGGAGATCAACTCATCGCGGTTGCGTGCGAACCCACCGGCCTTCTCCACCTTCTTGCAAGAAACTCCACCCAGGCTTTCCCTTATTCTTTTCCTGCAGGACACACGTCATGTCTGTGGCAACTCAGAACGAGCAACAATGGCCTGAATAAGGTGCTCGAACACACCTGGGTCGTTTGACCTTGCTGGTCATCTCGTGCCATTGGTGCTGAAATGTGCTGAAGTTAGGTCGGGGTATCTGTTGCCATAGTCTCAACACATTGTGCATTGTAGCGCGTGGTTTTCGTGTGTGGAAGCTGAGGACAGCACTTGTGAATGTGCTTCGCCGTTTTTTCAATGGTCTCGACCATGGGATCGTCCTTTCATAAATGTTGTGTCGCATCGTGCGCCCAGGAATGTGAACATGGGCCTTCCCTCCCCACCATGGGCCTTGGGCAACGGCGGGGCTTGTTGGTCCACGGTGCCCATCCTGTTCCGATGTATGCGATGTTGAAACCGATGTTTTTGATGTCACAAGCCAGGCGCGAATCGAGGCATCCACTTTTTCTTCCGTCTTTGCGTTTCCCTGACCTCTTCTTGCCCCAGCCTGCCGAGCAGCCGAAGTCCAAACAACAAACTAACCAAATGCATCAAATGTGGCAGTTGTGCATGCCAGCCATCAAGTTGTAGGAATGCCTTGGGCAAAACAGGGCATAACACGAACACAAGCAAATGATTGCAACAGTACTGCAACTCAACTATTGACAGGGCCCGGCTTGTAATCCCAATCTTCGCGACGCTTGAAGTCGTAACTCCCGTCCCACCGGTACATTGTTGATTGATCAGCCTGGCAGCGCTGCCAAAACAAGTTCTGCCGGAACCACGTTGCAAAGAACTGTTGCAACAAAAAAAATGTCTTAGCCATAGGCCATGGTGTTGTCAGGACGATTGGCAAACTGTGGCGCTCTACAAAATGATTATTTGTGCCGTCGCGGGCCATATATGCCATCTCAAACAGAGCCCCTATATGAAATAGATGGAACTGCCATGCTCTTGGGTCCAAAAGTGCTGTGGAATGGCATACGCCTACACTACTCGCTTGCGTTTCATAAACTGCATGTACATATATATATATATATATATACACGATGTACAATTATTCCCTTGCCGTCGAGCCGAAATTTTATCACAAGGCATCATGGGAAGCGAGGGCTAGCCTGGGGTTCGACTTAACACACGTCAACTTTCTTCTTGTCCCTCCCGCCAGTCCACGAAGAAGCGGTGAGTGAAGTCAAGGTGACGCTTCACCTTTTCGCTCGTCATCCTTTTTGGGGTCCTTATCCGCCTGCATGGCATTTTCGCTCGGTCGCTCGTCTTCGCACGTTGCAGTTTCCCGGATATAATTTTTTCCACGCTCCTTCTTCAACGCAGCCGGAGTCTCCAGTCAATGTCAGGGCTCGGTGGGCGAGCGGGGACCACACCGGCATTAGTGGCCGGACGGCCTCACGCCGTCAGCGGCAGGCGGCTGGCGAGGGGAGGGGCGACCTCCCAGCGCTCGTCGGCAAGGACCTCGCTGCGATCCAGTGTCAGGCCATCGACGTTGAGCGCCCGCCGATCTCGAGCGCGAGCACGACGAGCCGACAGCGTGGGGAGTTGAGGAGCTCAGGGTAGGTCCGCTCCTTTGCTCGGCGGGCGGTGGAGGGCTGCTCCTTGTGTACGTCGTTGGTGGCGACGTGGCTGGCCCGTCGAGTCCAGAGGCGAGACCAGGGTAGTTTCAACTGCGAGCTGGACGCCGCCCCACGCAGGCAGGCCATTGGCAATGACCTCGATGCGCTTATCGTCCTGGCGTTGAGGTCGCGGAGCAGCACATTGGTGGCGACGGTTGCGCCCGCCTCGCGACAGACACGAGCGGCAGCCCGTTCAAGAGGTGCGCCCCGTGCACGCAAGTGGCCTGACCGGGAACATGCAGCATGATGGTCCCCGTAAACATCGAGCCGTCGCCGGCAGCGACAATGGCGGAGTCGAGAGGAGGAAGAGCCGCAGGCGCCAAGCAAAATGATGCGGAAGGCTGCAGAATAGGGGGTTCTACGTCTGTAGGGGCTCCCACCCCCCATTTTAGCTGCTGGAATGGGGGGTGACGGGCTGAGATGCAGGGGTGCAGCCCCATTTCCGGGAGCAGCCCCGGGGTGCAGGCTTTGTTAGCTGAAATTGGGGGGGGTCCGGGTTTCTCCTTTTGAAGCTCCACAAGTTTAGTCAAAAAGTCAGGCTCCTGCCGGTGTTTCACGCCAAAAAGCCGGCAACCAGGAAAATGGGTAAAACAGTCCCTGTGTTACACCCCAGGACATAGGAAAGTGTTTTCACAAGGGTGCCTCCAGGGGTTTGCGAAGCACCCTTAATTTTCTTGGGGGGGAATGGCGGGAGGAGACACCTCTAGACATTCTGAACCATTGCCAAGACAACACGATGAACAACCACACGCGCGTCATTCATGCATTACATCTTCACTTTGGGGCTCATTACGCTCTCTTAAAAGACGAAGAGAGCACTAATTCGCAGGTTTCTTGGCCCAATCACCTTGTGGATAACCCAGAACCGAAATCCCGAGAGCACACAAGGCCCAAAACATGCGACAATAATAGGAAAAACTCTCTACAATGAGTGACAGGGAGTGAACGTATTACGGGCCCTGAACAATATTACTATTGTTTTTATTTATTTATTTTTTTTCTGCGCGCCTTTTTCCCGCAATCTCGGCCCGCAGTAATAGTATTATTGTATTCACTCCCGGGCGACATTCTTACTATTGCTGTGTGCCGGGAGACGAGAGTGGGGAACGGGCAGAAGACTCACGCCAGTCGGCTGGCAAGGACAAGCCGGCGGCGCCCCCGCGCTTGGCCTCAGATCCAGCTGCGAGCTGGACTGGTATGTGCGAGCATGGCTGCAGAGGTCGCCGCTTTGGGTCGGTCAGTGCGCGCCACGTGGCCTCCGTGCCAGGCGCGAGTTCCCCAGCCGTCAGCACTTGGCGAACCCGGGAAAGCTCGCCCTGGCGGACTTTTGCGGCTCGCTTAGAGGCTGGGCGGATCTACCGCCCGCCATCGTAGGTGGCTCGCGGCCGGCGATGCGAACGGATTTGCCAAATGGGGCCGTCAACGAAACCTGATTTTGTAGAGTTCGCCACGGCCTCACACATATATTAGCTCGCAACACACCCGCAGTTGTCCCTCGTCTTGAAAGGACCGTAGTCTTGGCCGCACTCTTCGCGGGCCCTCACGGTTCTGCCCACACATGAGGATGTCGCGCTCCCCAGTGCGCACTTCCGGGTTCTCCTCCTTCGCCGGTTGCGCCTGCCGCTCCCGCTGGATGTGTTGGGTGACCACCGGACGGCGTGTGCCACTGCTACAGTAGCGTCCTTGCCTCGCGCGCCATCCCTCTTGAGCGCGTCCTCGCCGGGGTGTGTCGCGAGGCTGGCGCACGTGTGGCCAGAAACGTGCGGCTGGCCGACATGAACCTCGATGTGCCCATGCAGGACGCACGGCGGATTGAGGTTGTCTGCAACGGGCTGCCCCTGTGGCATGGGGAGCAGCTCGCAGTTGATGCCACGCTCGTCAGCCCCCTCGGCCGGGACGGCCAGCCCGCGCCGGCATCGTTCTTGCCCAGGCTACACGCCGCAAACAACGCCAAACTTATCCCGAGCTGGAGCGGGCGCGCCGCTGCCGCTAGGTGGTGTTCGGATGTGTTCGGGATGGAAGGCGGCAGGTGGGCTCCCGAAGCCGCATCCGCTTGCTGGCGAGAGCGCGCAGGTGAGGTGCCTGCCTCTCTCCGGACTGCTGCCCGGGCAGCGTGGGTCGTGAGATGGAGCGGCATCCTCGCTGTTGCAGCGCAGCGAGCCTTCGCAGCATCCCTCCTCGAGCTGCCTCCAGGTGGGGAGTGTAGTGCTCCTCGCCGACGCAGGCTGGCAGGCGACTGCCTGCCCACAGCCGCCTCCCCATGCGTGCTGTCCGAGGCCGAGGCGATTCCCGCAGCTGTCTGAGGCCCAAGCGCCGTGCACAGGGACCCGCGTGGATGTTGCGGAAAAAGGCCCGAAAAAAAAAAAAAAAAAGTGTTCGTCTTCGTGTGCTTGCGCGGATTATCGCACGTCTGTGCCACGATCATTTCTCCTGAGTTTACAGCCGGCATGCATCGACGCCACTTGTCAATCGCCAGTCGCCAGTTGGACAGCTGATTGCGAACCGTCCGCCGACTTCGATGGCGAGTACAAACAGCTGGCACCGGTGGCAGCGCAACAGCTCTGGGTAGGTGCGTTCGTTCGCACTCCGTGGGATGCGAAGTGCAGCCCCACGGCACTGCCGCTGGTGTCGGCGTGCAGCACCGCTCGCGTCGATGGCAAAAACAAGGTCGGGATCGACGGCCAGCTGCGCTCCGCCATGCTCCGCCCCAGCGCGGGAGCCCATTAGCGATGACCTCTATGCGGCGGGTCATAGTCGCGTGCAGGATGGATGTTGAGGTCTCGCACAAACACGTTGCGTGGCTCCGGCTTGACGGCAAGCCCGTGCGGCGGCCCGGTCAAGCGGCACGAGGGCACCCGCCCACCGAGCGGGTGGCGGCGGCGGCGACAAGCTGCAGCATCGAGAGGCAAGGGAAGGAGAGACGGGTCCTTGAACGATCGTGTGTCACGATCAGAACTGAAAGTGAAACAATATGTACATGATCAAACACAAACATCAAGGAATGCGACGTGAATCAACCATATCAAACCAGGAATTCCGACAGCAGTTACGCAAACATGACAATGTCAATACACTACTAACATTCAGACGCATACATACTGTGTGAAAGCGCCACTCAGGAAGCGCACTCACATCTCACACGCCGCAGCGGCAAGGCATACATGAGCCACAAATGCAACATTGCGTGCGATACCGCGTGTGGCATTGACATGGGGCTCCGTGCTGAACAACGTGTCCAGGGACAAAGTCAGTGGCAGAAGCACAAAATCAAGCAGGTTCACACCACGATGGCGCGCAGAGCGGCCATCCGAAAAGTCATGATGCCCACAACGAGCCAAACCCCAAACGCGAGCGTGAGCGGGGTCGATGGACTGCCCATAAGACGTGGTTGCCACCGCAAGTAATTTTGTAGGGATTCAGTGCTTTGAAGAACCGCTTGGTAGCGTGCATGGGAATGTAAGGCGGACAGCTACATTGTTGGGTGCACCGGGGCAAAGGCCAAACGAGTGCGGGTGTGAGATCCCCAAGGATGCCAACTCATCCTGAACGGAAGCTATCCAAGAAGACCTTTGTGAAACAGCATGATGCATGATTCGCCTGGTGACGCTCCGTGCAGGCATGCAGATTAAACGGGCCCACATACCTGCGGCATGTAGCACGCGTTCTGCCGACAAGTCCAAGCACCCCAGTTGTCCCTGAACAACAACAAAGGGGGCCCCATGCAGCCACATGAGCAAGCGGCGTTCCCATCTTAGCAGTCGGGTCTGTAGGCGTGCGAGCTATGCGCCATCTGGTACAAAGGCAAGGCCATACAGCGCACTGGGGCAAACGTAGGACCGGAAAATTCTGTGGGTAAAACTCACGGGCAGTAGCGCTGATGCAGTCCCGACGCAACTCGGAGAACAGGTGCCCACGTTCGGGTTCCGCTCGATCGAGCCGCCGCTCGTGTCTGCAGAGAGGCCGGGGCCACTGTCGCCACCAACGTGCTCGTGCGTGACCTCAACCTTGTTGTCCAGCGGCAAGACGAGCGGCGAGAAAAGGTCATCGCCAACGCCCAGTTCGCGGTCGATATCACGCATGTTTCCGCCTTGGACATCCTTGGACTCGGCAAATCAGGCTCGCCGTCAACAACGCCTCGCAGCCCACGCTGCCCTGTGCGCGGCCGGCAAGGCCAAAAAGCGGACAACCCCGATCCCCTCCGTTCCGCACGGCTCGTTGTGGTCGCGGGTGGTCGGGATTGAGCCCGGAGAGCATTCATGCGACTCCTCGCCCTGCTGAACTCCAGCGCCAGGGCCGCCTACGTCGCCCGCTGGTATGCGTAGCAGCCGCGCGCACGCTTGCCGCGAGTCTTTTCTCACTGCTCCTCGCCAATGTGGCCAATGTTGATGAGGAACCTTTTGGAGTTGAGCGATCTCCTTGGCGATGCCTCCTCCGAAGCAGTCCGTCTGCCATTCCCGAGCCGCTTGCCTCTCTGCACTCGTTTGAAGGGTCCTGGACCTACGTCCTCCCCACCCCTCCCGAGCCTGGACTCGTGTTGCACAGGGACCGCGGACCGTCACGCAGCCGGGAAAAGGAGCGAACAAAAAAAAAATTGAGCACGAACTCAGGGCCATTTCTCCGAGGCCCCACGCGCGTCCAGGCGTAGTAGATGGCAGGAAGTGGGCAGCATCTCAAAACCGAAGCCAGCCCATGGACAAACGCATACGCAAAACATCTTTCCGAGCAAGTGCGCGGGCAGGTGCTCAGTGTGTGAGGGTGCAGCGAGCGCTCGCGCGCAGGGCAATGCTTGGCCGCATTGCTGGAGGATTTGTTGTGCATGTTTTACGTTTGCAGGATGAGGAGTCCGGGTCGGCGATCGGCAGTTCCAGCAGAGTGGCTTCGTGCGCCTTCAGCGCCGCCAGCGAGACAAGGATGTTTACGTTGTGACCACACCAGCGTGTGCGCCGGAAGCACTCGACATCGTCACCTTGTCGATCCAAGAGCGGGTCGACGTCGCCGCCAAGAATCTCGGCAGGAACCGCGTCCACAACCGCGCCAGTGGTCCCGCGCACCGTGGCATCGTTGAACAAGGTTTGGACAGGGGACGCGCGCCCATCGGTTACCCTGCTTTTGTTGCATCGCACGCGGATTCGCGGCTGCGGGATGAGGAACGCTGCTCCGGAACTTCCCATGCCCCCCCCCCCCCCCGCTGCCGGACTTGCAAGGCAGGCGCGAAGCATGCACGGGTCATTCTCGCCATGGGCCGGAGGCATCCCACCAGCAGTAGGTGGACTCCTTCCCGTACCAGAGGCACAGGCTGTGCAACTGTTGAGCATGAATGCTGCAGAAATGGTGCCGCAGGCACTGCGGCCAGAGAACGACGCGATAGTGGTGTCAGCGTCGGTCGACGGTAGCAGCATGCCAGACAAAGCATCCGTGCCGACTGGTAGGGTCGAGTCGTCATCAAACGTGTCGGCATACTCGTTATGGGCGTGCGCGCAGGGTCGGAGGCTCACCACGTCATCATTAATCACGGGCGGTTTGCGCACGACCATGCTGGTTTGCTTGAGCACGCGCGGCTGCCAGCAAGTCCTTTCAGGGTAGCAATGCTTTGCACATCCTAGCCTGTCAGCGACGCGCGCACGGAAGAGAAGCAAACGCGGCACAAGCAGGAAAGCTGATCTTTCCCCCGAAATCTCGTGGTCAACTGCATGGCCGTCTTATGGCCCGCTCGGCACGCCATGCTTGCGGCCGCTGGGTCGGCCAGCCCAGCACCGGTATTTATGCACTGGTCGAGCTCCGGTTCAGCCAATCACTCACCAGGACTTGCGCCTCGGACGGCGGGGATGCGTGCGAGATGTGCGAGTCATCCCCGTTTGACTCCCAGGCGGGGCAGGCAAGGCATGCCAACCGTCCGCGCCAGGCCTGGCTGCCTGGCGGCACACAGGCCGCCGGCGTTGCGAACAGCGGATTGCAGGCCCAACCTCCCAAGCGCCGTGGACAACCATCCGACTTCTCCCCCAAGACACAGTGCCCGGTCACGTGCCTCAGCATATACGGACAGATGACGTCGGGCGGAACATTGCGCAGTGCGTGGTTGGCATCCGCCTTCCCCCGGGCCGCTGTCTCAGCTACGGACGATTGCGCAGAGCGTGGTTGAACCACAAGAGCAAAAGGAGTCATGCACACGGGCCGTCAGGGAGATGCGGTAGGTGGTCCAGCAGGCAGGATGGGTGGCGGCTCTTGGAGTGCTATCCACGGAGGCATGTGACCAGCCCGGTGCGACCGGGGTGCCAGGGCTGGCAGCATCACGGTTCTCGCGCTTGTTCAACCCATTTCCGTGTTACCGAGTTGCTGCCGGCTCTCGCGCTGTTCCAGCGAGGCCGGGACGACCTTGCCACCAGACCGCATGCCGATTGCCTTGCGGCGGCGATTGCGCCTGCTGTTGCCTGTCGCGTCGGGCAGGTGCGGGGCCTCACAGTCGATGTCTATGGTGACCCGGTCTGCTGCCAGAATCCGGATAGTCCGCGAAGCAATCGGGCCGGACGGTCAGGTCGTTCCGCACCAGTGGCTTGCTCGCCGGGACCAAGCGTTGACGTAGACGATCGTTGGCGCCTCGAATTTGGGACGGCGTCACACAGCTCGGCGAAGCAATGCGCTGTGACGTGACTCTGGCCCTTGGCGATGGTGTTGCACGAGCGCCGCCAGCGTGCTGCCTACGCGGAGCTCGCATGCAAGATCGGGGTGCGCGGGAACAATGAGTCACTCCGACTCATTGTGCCACCCAGGGCTGGTTCAGGCGGTGGTGGGGTCTGCTGAGCGTGGCTGTGCAAACCACACTTGCTGCCTCTCTGCTGGGAGCTACCGCCCCCATCCCCGGACCCATGCAGGGCGCGCATGCCGGGCGTGCAGGCGCCGCCTCTGCAGGATCCTGCACCCATCTGCACCCGACTGTGCCCAGCTGCCTGCCCGCTCACTGAGCCGCTGCCACGCAATCACTGTAGTATGAGGGGCAGAGAGCCAGCATCTTGTGTTGATCGCAAGCTTGAAGCCGCCCAGGAGAGTTCTTTTGATTTTTCGATGTGAAGTCAACAACGATGGTAAAGCCCGCAGGAGGCGCGGTCCCGTGAGAATGTGGCCGGTACCGGGCTAAAGCAGTCATGAGGAAGGAGGCTCGAGGCGGAGCTCGGGACATTCAATTCGGCGGAGTCGTGAGCCGTGAGTGAGGACCGAGAACGCTCGGGACGGGGCATCCAGAGCGGTCAAGGTCTGTACGATATGTGTTCGAGGAAAACACCCTGTGTACCGAGCAGTGCCAACAACTTGGGGGTGACAGCGCAAGTTTTGCATCTCCCGGTCACGCTCTCTTGACAGTTGAACTCAACAGCGAATCAAGGGATTTCGCCGTCTGTGCTTTTCAAAGCCATTGCAGGTATGAATCGGTATGAAGCCTATAGGCAAAAGCATGTCAAGGTTGGCCTCGGCTCTCTGTAGGGTCCTCATGTTGGCAACATCAGGAGTGTTGCTCGGCTACTCTCGGTTTGGTACGCGTCTCGGATTGTTCGGATTGTTGCGAGCTGGTAGGCGTAGGCATGGGTTTCGGGCTTTCTTGGATTTGGGAAGCATTGGCCATGTGATATGATAGCTTCTTGCGCTTGCGACTCTGCTTGCGGATGTGCAGGTGCGACGAGGTGGTAGATACCACAGGATGGAGACAAGGCAGGCCAACTGCAGGCCACACATCATTGCTGGTTGCATTCTCTGCAACAGTGGGAAGTGACACATGTGTCCACAAAGTTGCCGATATTCCTAGCCCGTCAAAGAAGAAACACATACGCGGAGTGGCAGAACGACTCTAGGAAGTTTTTAAAGGCATACAGGATTGCGAACTTCAAGCCAAGACATAACATACCGTACAAATTCTGACGTGGGTGCTTTGGCCCAAACGATCTTGCGCCGCCGGAAATGGCTGGAAATTACATTGATGTACAGGATTGCGCTGTCAGTCAACATTATGATGACATTACAAGCCTCTGCCTGCTTGGAGAGTATAGCAGTAGAACCAAACTTTAAAACACAACATGTTGATGAATCTGACCCACGGCTTGCACATCGGAAAGGAATGTATTGCCGAGGAGCTGACTGCCCATGCAGGCAGGCACTATGCTGGCTGACCGCTTCTGCCCAGACTTTTTTTGATGCCATGGTTGAGATGACGCCCCCGGCCCCGGTGAGCAAGCGACAAACCCCGTCAACCTGCGAGTGGTTCAACCCTTGAGCTCATTGTGTCTTTTTACAGGTGAAACACTTGTCGGGCACACAGATGACTAGACGCTCAGAAGCTGGAAGCCCTGTCAACAGCCACCTGAGCACGAGAATGTTGATGTGTGTGAATGGGTGCAGTACGACGCAGTATGACTAGATAGTTGCCGTTTCAGTACTGCGTCTGCGCCTCAGCCTCCTCTTCCAGGAAGTGTGTCAAGGGCAGCTCACACCTGGCTTGAAGAGCGATGAAATGACGCCCTCAGAAAACATCTAGGCAGCCAGGCCATCTCTCTTCTGATCGCCCGTAAGCTCCATCCATTTCGGGCGTTTTATCGTCGGACTCGTCCAAATTGATCTGATGCCCTTCGGGGAGGACCAAGTCGTCTTCGGGCAACGCCTGAGCTCAACTTGAACTCCACTTGATGCGCTCTTGCTCGCGCCTCTCTCTCACTCTCTCGGCACGCATGGCCCCCCCCCAAGAAGGAGGAGGCCGCCCCGGAGGGCGCGCAAAGTCCAAACTTTCTTCTTTTTCTTTCTTTGGGTTGTTCTCTCTCTCTCTCTCTCTCTCTCTCTCTCTCTGTGTCTCGCACTCTTAGAATCTTGGATGTTCCAGGCAGGCCGGGCCTGAGCCTTCCAAGCGTCGTCGACGACCTGCAGGAGACCCACCTGCATTGGGAGAAAGCGTTGTGGGCATGGCTTGGGGCCTTGGGGCCTTGGGGCATGTAGCAAAGCCGTGTCATGGTCCATGGTTCCGAGAGGCCTTCCAGCGATGCCTGTGGCAGAAGACGCTGTCGGACACATGCACTTGCGACCTGAGTTGGCAAACGTGCGCTGCCTCGAGACGAGTTGCCCTGGCTTGGGACTCGGCATCGCGTGCAGCAAGGCAAGGCCAGATCGGTACTTGCCAGCCGAAAAATCCAAGGCCAAGCTGTGCTCAGGCAGAGCCATCGCAGCGCAGTCTCAGAAACATCGCACATGACGCCGACCGCGCTTGTCTGCTTTTGCAAGTCTTGTCACAGACGAGGGTTTTTCCCTCCTAAGCGCGCTGCGCTGCAAAAAGAGGGGCGGGGCTCAAGCCCCTGTAAGCTACTCCGCAAGAGGATCTATGCGCAATAGGATGCGGGAGTCTGGGCATTTGAGTCTTGAGGGCTTTCCAACTCGTCATCAATTTGGGATGATGTTCTGATGCCGAGGCCATGAACATGTCCCCGACTCAAAACATCTCAAAACTCTGTGGCATAGCTGAAAGCCTCGGCTGGACATGATGAAGCAGCCCTGAACAGTGATCGGAGAATGACAAAACGCCAAGAGCCGGGCACCTAGTCACCGTCTGAATCGCTACCGCTGGAATCGCTATCCTCCCCCTGGTCGCGTGCTCAAAAACCTTACTCTCTCTTTCTCTCTCACAAACACAAAACAAAAAAAACATGCGAGCGCATGCCCACACCCACCCACCCACCCACCCACCCACCCACCCACCCACCCACACATCAAAAAACCGCAAGCCGAGTGGCATCACTGAACGCCGACCAACGTGCAACTTAACTTAGCATTGTTAGATCGAATAAAATTGGGGCTGCACAGTGAAGATGTCAACAGGGCGAAGAGTGGCTGATCAGGCCATAAAATTTGCCAGTGTCTGCATTGCTGGTAGACTCTGGTTCCTGCTACCGCCCCCGGAAAAAGAACGAGGCAAGTCACACATGGTACCCAGAAACCAAGGCACCGATCATCCTGTCTCTCAAACTAGCCAGTGCACAAAGAACAATGGACCGAGGTCTCCAGTGCTAAATTTCTGGATTCACACAGAATTCACACACAGACACACACTCTTCTGCACGCTCCTTCTTGTCGTCTTCATTATCGCTTTCGGCCTTCAGAGTGATGCACGGTACTTGTCTCCCCAAGCCGCGAATACATTGAACCACAATGAACCCAAGGGAGTCGTGGGCGAGTTGGGCAATCGGCCTTCTGCTGCTTGCCATCACTAAGCTTTTCAACTTTGTTTTTGCTCTTCTTGTCATCGTCCTCCTCCTCCTCGCTCTCATCGTCACCTCCGAGCCTGCAGAGAGAGAGGCGTAGAGGCACGGAATGTGACACACGGAACAAAAACTCGCAGTATTTTACGTGCTCGCTTCGTTTGAGGCCCAAACTCCCCCATGAACTGTTGAAACAGAGTCGGCTGCAAATCAAGATCCTGTCCGAAGTGGTTCAGCTGCACATTTTAGCATTCAGTTTGCGCCTGGGAAATTGCAAGCAACCGGCAACATTGGCGAAAGAAGCATGTCCTCATCCTCAGGATGAACAAAGATCTCTCGCTTCACCTGCTTGAGGCCCGAAACGCTTCCACTGACCATGCAGACGGTCGTCGCATGCTTGGTTCCCCCTCTGCCTCCTCCTCTGTTTTCACAACAAAGTTCAAATCGACCTGGATCTGTCTGTGATTGAAGATGACCGAGTCATACAGTACAAAGCGCAATGCACATCTGGCTGGCAGCCTTCTGGTCGATGCCCACGTATGAATCACAAAGCGCGTGCACGGTGAGACTGTGCTTGCCTGGTCGTGAGACCTGCGCTGATCAGCATCCTTCGACTGAGTGTGCATCTGTGTGCATAACTTGTGCATATTTCTGAGGCCTGAAAGCGCAGTTTGGCTTCAACCACCCTGTCCGTGTCGCGAATTCGCCTGATCCAGCAAGAGCAAAAGCACTAGTTAAGTCACTACATGTTCTTGAGTGTGCATGTGCTGTACGGGTGACGTGCACGAAGCTGAGAGCAAAGCTCGAAGCCCATAATTCTTGTGTTCGGGGCACCTTCCACCTTAGGCTACTGAGCTGCTGAGTAAACTGGCATATTCATGTGACTCATCAAGACTCTGCAAGCTGGGGAATCTGGCCAAGAAGATCCACCATTCTTCGAATTTAGGCTGCAAGGAGAGTTGAGAATTGCAAACAGCATGTGGCTGAATGTGCTTTCATGCCAATGTGGAATTCTGAGACATGCTCAACTGAAGTACGGGAATACGGGACGGGGAGTGAGGACGGCTCTGCCTCGGGGAAGAAGGGCGCATGCACCGGGCCCATGGCCTTCGAGCAATCTGTTGCGCCCAACAATGAAGAATTAGCTTTCCTAAAGCATCATGATGAATCATATGATATCGCACAAAAGGCACACACACAAGCGACACAAGCCGACTTGGCAAAATTTTCGCATGCCTCGCCCTCCTGAAGATTTTTCCGCCTCGGGACCATGCCGCAGAAGGGTCGCATTGTCACACACACGGTCAAGGATTTGAATAGCAAACGTGAGCGCACATGTGAACGCAGCTGAGGCAGTGTGCGTCAGCTGACAGGTGACGGTTGCAATGTCGCCAACGACAATCTCATTCTCGTCCTCCACCTAAGCTACGCGCTATACTATAGCTACACTGCCAGCCGACGAGCGAAACTTTCATGTGCAACGCCACACAAAGCGTGACTTGTAGCATGGCCTCTGTTTTGGCCTCCAGCTCCATGTTGCTGACATGTGCAGTAAACGCCTGTCCATGCTGTCCGTCTAGAGTCTACCCGACTTGGCCAAGTCAATAGATCCTTCCCAAACATGCGCCACCGGTGCCTCCACATCTGCAACTTGGTCAGGTGTCATAGTGGTGAGCCCCTGCACAAAAGCATCATTCAGCTGGTCAAGTGATACTGCTGTATATGCAGGCCTTCCTTTGATCGCGGTCTTTCTGCAAGTAGTCCAGCAGAGTCGACGTCTTGCCAAGGGCTCTGTTCTTCTAGTTGTTGTTCTTCTTCTTCTTCTTCTGCTGGGCTTGTGGGACTAGGCAAGGTGACCCAAGGGCTCTCTCTCTCTCTCTCTCTCTCTCTCTCTCTCCACACGCTAGGCCACCCAGAGGGGAGCCGCCCCGAAGGGCGCGAGAGTCCCACCCAAGGCCTCTCTCTCTCTTTCTCCTTTTGTTATTGTCTCCCTTTTTGTTGGCTATTTCTTGTGGCAAAGGGGGCAAGCCCCGGCGCGTCTTCGCCCGCCGCGGCGTTCGGGGCCGCTCGATTAGACGCCGTTGTGAGGCCTATGAAGTCACGAGACATGCAACCCCCCTCCCCCCCCTTCCTAGTGGTTAATCTGGTTAAGCTCCCCATCTCCCTCTTCGGCAACCACTGCTGGCAAAAAGGCGATGCGACGGAAACTCCGCTTCGCCGGCATTGTCCCCCTCTGTCACACACTCCTTCCTCCAGCACGACCCAAAACGACTCTTTCTCTCTTTTTTCTTTCTTTAACAACTGAACAACCAAGATCAACCTCAAGATCAACGGAGGTTGAACTGACTGCGACAACATGCAGTCGCCCTACAGATGTTCTGAGTGTTGGACGGCATTCTTGCCCTTGAGGCAATGCCTCTATGGCAACAGGAATCACACGCGTCCGCTTCAACTTGTCGGTTCTGAGCAGCAGACTTTAGGATTTCTTCGTTGAAGTGAGGGATTTGCAGGAGCTGCGAGCTCTTGACGTCCAAGGCCTGCAAACATCCAAATCTGCGGCGGAACCTGAAGAACCTGAACTCAAGATAACTCAACTGCCTGTATGAGGGAGCGTCGGAACTCGATCATTGCTTGAGCTGTGAAGAACCTGGGCTGGAACCATTGGCAGTCCACATCGACCACGACTTTCATACGTGCTCATCCAGTGGCCACTCGCGCATGCAGGCAATCTCAATCATCGCCTGCGTAATCTTCTGCGAGTGCCTGTTGCTTCATGCTTCAGCGTGCAGCTAGCAGCGTAACATGCCGTCGTGCGGATTACTGCAGAACGAAACCTCAGCATCTCATCCAGATCTGCTCGGAGATCTTCGGACATGAGGTGGTGAAGCCGTTGCATGTGGCCAAGAAGTAAGAAATTGTTCCTTCCGCGCAGCTGAGCGGGGATGGGGGTTCGGCGTGGGTCCTCGTGGAAAAACCAAAATGAATGGCTCACCGATGGGCGCACTTTATGATGATGGGAGCGCTAAACTGACGCTTCTTGTGTTCAACGACCTGCGATCCAAGCCTTGCACATGGCACTGCACATCCCGCGTGCACATTGCTCAATTGAACAACTCTCTTTTGGCCTAGGACACACTCCATACAGACTCCATACACTCTGAAGCTCTCCATATCTCTGTCTTCCAAGAGCACCACGACTTCATCTCCGCATTGTCTGACGGTCTCAACGACATGCCCCTGGACCAGGTGCAAGATGCACGAGCCGCAGCAATCGGACAGAAGCTCTCTACATCTCCCTACATGAGTTCGATCAACTTTGTGCAAAAAAGACAAAGCTGCAGACCTGAGCCACACAAACACCAAAAGACACAAAATCACAGATAGGCGAAAATAAAAGCTTACGAATGCCCCAAATAGGAACTTACAAGAGTAGAGTAGAAATTCAATAAAACCAAGAATTACAAATCCTCCTTCAAGGCTTGAAAGTCGATGTTCTCCTTTTGCACTTGTTTTTGAACACAATTGTTCTTTCACGGTCAGTCAGAGCTTGGCTTGCCGTATTGATTGGTATCGCCTGCTTTCTGCTGAAGCTGCCAGAAGCTCTGGACAATTCTTTAGTCTCGTGGCCTTACAACGAGAGCTGTGGGCAAATCCAGAGAACATCAAGGAACTCTGGTTCAACTTGGCACATCTCGGCAGCATACTTCGTTGATGTAGTACCTAGGTCCCAGGACGATCACTCCTGCCAATGCAAACATGCACACTCTCGTGCCAAGGCACCCCATGAACTGCAGGGTCTCTATCATGACACCATTGGCTGCGTAGTTCTTGGTCCTGCCCAGAAATGAGAGCTCGTGTTTTGGCGCTGGCACTACCCGGGGTACCCAGCAAGTGCCAACTAGGCTTGCATGGCTTGCATTGGCTTGCAAACTGCCGACTTGTGTGCATCGTCCTCTGGTAGTAGCAAATGAACGCCATAGGAACGACCTCATGCCCAACAATCACTTCTGCATCACTTCCGTGGTCTTCGAGCCTGCAAGAAGAAGTGTAGAATGTTCTGTGCTGAGCTTCTGGCAAAAAGCAGCAGGAAGAAGAACAGGCAAAGTATCATCTGTCAGAATTTTGCACTAGTTCTTGAGCGTTCTATGGCTTGAAGCATTGACACAAAAGACATGCCGAGCAGGCCAGATGATTCTCCTTCTCCAACAGAAAGCGTGGCCTGGATGAGGTCTCTGCGGCACCATGTCACATAGCGCAAGGCTCTGGTTCTCAACTTTGCCAAGACCCCAACAAACCGATGCCAACTTTTGATGTCTGAGGACCATCGGGATTGCCATACCTGAAACAAGGTGAAAACTACAACTATTTTTTCACGCGCAGCAAGCCTTCGGAAAACTATCTGAAACTGCGTTTCAGGCACTTCTCGTAGTTGGCTTTGGCTGTTTCGTCTGTCAATGCATTGTGCGCCTTGGGATCACACGCTGTGCGAGAGGCCACGGGGAGCTGGAAACACTCACATACACCCACCTACCCGGACTTATGCAGGCGGCGCCTTCGTGATTTGCATGAACCGCGAGGCAGCCAGTGGATCGTCAGGATTTTTGTCTGGATGGTATTTCAGAGAGAGCTGCCGGTATGCCTTTCAATAGCAGTGGCTGGCCGGCTAACCTCAGCCTACTTCAACCTCCTTGCTGCTTTCTTGTGGAACTGTGGAGGCAAACGCGTCTGGCCTTCTTGACTTCCGTTGCTGATGAACCCGGGCTGACTTCCAGAATCTCGAAAGGGTCAAACCTTCAGAAACTCGGATTGTACTAAACAATGGGCCGACAGATGCTTGGCCTCTTGATCTCTTTCGCATCGCCAATGTGCAAGTGGATCAAGTAGATTGTCAACCTTGCAGCAGTTCGGCTGGACAACTGTCGCTGGCAAAGCGAAAGGCATCATGCCACATACAACACGGAGTAAGCCCCATGCCAAATTCCGGCCAAGAGTAATACCTTGATACCCATAGTCAAGGAGGAGCCTGCAAGCAATCAAAGCTGCAAACGCCGGCTTCGGTGTCATCACTGCTAACGCCTGCTTCGGTGTGATGCTGGCCTGCGCTTATTCTCTTTGCATGCTGGCGGGCCTGACAGAGGCAGGATCTGGCCCACTGAGGAAAGTGCAAGGGTTAGGATCTAGTGCGGCGCATTGCTATCAGCAGCAATCGCATTTTGCAAAGACTTGTCTCGAGACTCTTCTGTCAGCAGTTTCCGAAGTAACAGGCGACTCTCCGCCTTTTCTATCTTGTCCACCATCTGCGAACCTTGGCAAAGGTGAAGAGAGCCATTGGACGTTGAAGCAGAGCCTAAAGAGCCTAAATGCCGAAGCCTCATTGCTAGATTCATTGCTCCTTCGATCTCACCAGGGTGCCGGCTTTGACAGTAATGGTATCTACTTCCCGACTTGCTTTTTGTCGGAAAATCCTGACGCCAAAAAAGGGAAGGCAGTTCAGAGATGGCCAAGGCATCCTAGCCGTCCTAGCCCCTGCCTTTTCCACTTGGGCTTGACCAGGGAAGAGGAAGTTATAAATGACTGAGCAGGTCCATGGCACGGCCACAGTCACCAGCACCTGTCGCGAGCATCGTTTTATCCATCTCTTGCGACCAAAAAATACAGGGCAGCACCACACTGCTAAAGAAGTAGTAGAAAGCGGTGTCGTCGTATCCCAGAAGACCCTCTTTCTGATCATCCTGGCACACGTGAAGCGCAACCCTTGGCATACCGTAGCTGCCCTTATCGCTCACCCGGAAGTGACACCACGTCATGGAGACGCCGCCGTGGTAATCATGGTTTTGGGCTAAGAAATCGAAAGGCGAAACCCAAGTCGCACTGTGCAGATTCTATTCAAGCATGCAACATCACGAGCAGTCCTTGGTGAAAGTGTCTTTGAAAGACATCGCTCACCTGGACTCACCTGCAGAACCAAGCGGTTTGCTATCCGAGGGGTGTCATGAACAGGGAAAGGCAACCTCGGCCTGTGAGAAGCCCGTGAGGAGCGACACCCAAATCGCATTGACAGGGATCCTACAGTATAGAGTCTAGACCGCTGGAGTTTTGTACAGGCTTGACTTGTCCAGGGTGAAGCTAGAACGAGTTGAAGCTTAAGCACATCCTTCTTACTGTACTTTGCTCACAGACGCAGTGGCGTTCTCAAACCACAAGTGCGCAGGGTGACAAATGTCGCATGCTCAAGATGCCGATCCGATGCCTATTCTAAGACACTCCGAACCTGACGCTGCAGCATGGATGTTGCCTAACGTCCTGTTGAATCACTAATGCCCCTTGAAATGCCAGTGGGGCGCAAATTGAAGCAAATGCTGGCTCTTTCACTCGGCAAAGAGAATCCAGAATCCACCTTGGGCGGCTTCCTTTCAGAGCCGGTGACACATGTGACGCTGCACATGAATTGTCGAAGCACCGGGATTCAGGCTTGCAGAGAAATCCGGAACTGAAGGAACTAACAGTGACGAAGGTCTACGAGTACCATGTTCTGGAGGTGCCCGCCAGGCACTGGAGTATGTCTGTGTATGTCTTGTATGTCCAGTCACAGCGACTTGTCTGAGCGGCATGCGTGGCAGGTGCTTCTGCCGCCATGCCGCGCCTACACTGCCTACACCTACTCCTCCTCTCTGAGCTTCATCTTCATTGAGTGCAAGTGGGCCTTGGGTTGTGACAACAATATTCTAGCTAAATTGGCTGACTTGTATGCGAGCATGCCAGGTCGAAATTCAGGCAGGGATGGCACCTTCGTCTTCTCTTGGCGCTGTCCGGACTCCGAGATGCTCTTCTCGAAGTGGGCCATGAAGCGCATCATGTCCTGGACCTCGGCACCGTGAAGGAAATACTTCGGAATCACATGAAATCACAAAAATTCTCCACAGCTGCTTTGAGTTTCCTGCCATGCTTTCTTGGCTTGTTGACCGCATCTGGAGCTCCATGGTCATCCTGTGGCAGCAGGATTGCGTCTACTGTAGCTGATAGGACTCCTCAATGCTTGGATGCTGGGAATGAGCTGTTGTGATTCGGCCTCGCCCTCACATCCTCCAGGCGCTTCAGCACCTCGGGCTCCTGACCGACCATTACAAGCCCGCTTTCTCTTTCTCTTTCACGCTCTGTCGCTCTGTGAGGACCACGTACTATCATGTTTTGTCTATGTCTTGTTCATCTGGCTCGGCCACATCTCAGGCCGTTCCCTTGGGTGTTAGCCGGCCTTCTGCTTGATCCTGCTGTCTAGCCTGGCACAGGGCTGGGGTCCCAAAAGCTGTAAGTTCCCACAGTCCATTTCTTCTGACATCCTCCAAGAGCGCTTCACATCCCTCCGCAAATTCAGGACAGGAACCATGACAAATCATGACAACACGATGAGCCACCAAAAAACCCGCAAGCTGCCAAGCATGTCAGGGCCGCGAGCTGAACCGATCTTCGGAACGCTGCCGCATGTCGTGGCCCTTGTCGCGGCGGGCCTTCGAGTGTGGCGTACACGTAAAAAGTTGCTGCGAGTAAGTTGCCCTCACATGGGGCCGACCTCCCGTTCCTCCGCCAATTTTCTCCTGCATGGCATGAACACGATGCGATGCGTGACAAGATTCACATCAAAGCACGCGTCCTCAAAGAGTTGAAGCGACTTTGCATGTCACCCATGAACCGATCGTGCTCTTCGGATCTCTCGGCCACCTGGCCAGATGCCGCCACTACACACTCGATGTCGACCAATCGGGCTTGACACGCATCAAGTGTGTGCAGGTCCAGAAACACTGTACAGGAAAGAGATAGTAGGCGGTGGAATGCAGGAGCTTGCCTGCTCAGCTAGGAAATCGTTGTGCCTCGGAATGCAAGACTGCATTTGTGCCGCTAGGTCACAGGAATTGGGGTGCTTGGAAACAGTGTGTAAATGTACTTCCAAGCAATCGCAGCAGCCGAAGGCAAGAATGTGGAAATGCCCACACCTAACCTCCCAAAGTCATCATTGCTTCCTATGAACCCCCCGAAGTCCGAAGCCAAGTTAGGGTAGAGCCCCGGGCTGAACCTGCACTGAATACATGAGTCCCTGGCTTCCTCAACGCGGCCAGCAAAGGTTCCGTTTCAGCAGCTGCGTGAGCCAGGCAGTCCTGTCCAAGTTCAGGGTCCCAGCTTCGCGTTCGGACGGAGCTCAAGGAAAACAACGTGCAGGCGCACAAGCACGTATGCATTCGGCCACGCATGCACACAACAAACGAGAGAAAGACAATACTTGGCGGATCTTGGGAGCGTTTTGTTCCGGGTCACTGGCACTTGTTGTGGGCAGGCCCTTGCCCCACTATGCCCCACTCGTGTCCTCATGCTCCTGCACGATAGCTGCATCCAAGGCAGTAATCGTCTCACCTTCAAAGGTCAATACACGAGCAATTGTAAGCTGATTGGCACACTGGTGGCACTGCTTTGTTTGGACGTGCTTGGGGATTGGGAAGTCCACCCATCTTTGTGGAGCGTGTTGTGAGCTCGCTCTTGTCATCGGCCTCGATCGAAGCAACATGACATGCCTGGTTTTCCTCTACTATCAGTATTGGGATGGAGAAGTGTTGAGAATGTCTGAGCATCGAGCAAACTTTTGCTTCCAGGTTCTTTTCCGTTCGGAAACGGTGTCCACAAATTCCTTGCAGAAGTCCTGACAGTTCGATGGTGATGTGTGTGTGTGAAGCATCCTGCTAAGCCAGTGTGCCTTGAGCTGGTCGAGGTTCAGCTTGGCTTCTCTGTCAGACTTTGCCCGCATGGCCACCAAGCGGTCCAGAATCTGTGTCACATTCCATTTCTACAGATGGCACTGCATGCCGTCGGAGACACAGTGTGCATCAACAAGCAGCAACATGCAGCAGTGTGGCAGTAGTTGCCGCGCCTCCTTGTTCCGTTGGTCATACAGCTTTGCCAGTATGCCACGGCCCTGACAGCAGCATGGCCAATCCCCGGTAGCAGGTGCAGAATCAAGGGGGAGGATCAGGATCCACTGCGGCATCAAGCCTCTCTGGCTTCTGCAAAAGATGCAGCAATGTCGTCATGCCTAGCCCATCGTGACATTGAACTCACCCCCCCCCCCCCCCCCCCCCTCACACTGCAACAGGCCCTGTCTAGCTCTATTCTGAGTCACACTGTGTGGAAAGCACACAGGATCATGGGGAACCAGCTCTCGGCAGTAGATCTCCAGCTTCTCGTCCTGGAACGGCCTCGTGTTGACTGGGTGACGGATGCGGTGGTTTCTGGGAACTTGAGTCCGCACTTCATCCTGTGGGCTGGACGCGAGCTCAGCCTCCGCGGAAGTGATGTGGATCACCTCGTTCTTTGTCAGCCTGGACTGAGCGGCAGCTGGGACTGCAACTCGACATAGCTCGACTACGCCTCACTGAGTTTTGAGGCTGGCGCGCTGGGACTCCTTTGCTCTCTTTCTGTCGCGGCTTGCGGTTGGGAACCTTCAGAAAGGTCGCTTTGCCGCCAAACGAAGAGAGGCAGCAGGGAAACGCTGTGGGATCTGATGTGCCAGGTAACCATGGTCGCTGTGTTCGCCATGACCAGGAAGCACGGAAAACCTCCTAACTTCTGTCCACTGCTCGTTCCCTGAACCTAAGGTTTTGCACGGTTTCCTGGTGACCATGCCAGCTTCCTTGTTGAGAGTTGTGGATTCGAACCGCAAGCCTTTTATTCCCATCTTCCTTCCGAGAATGTACCAGCGACATCCGAAGGATGTGCTACCCAGTATCTTTCTGGTGTCCCGATAAGCCTACTTCTCATGACTCAGAGCGCAATCGGCGATGGCCCTGCTGGAGCCCGGACCGGAAGCACACGAACACGCTGAGAAACACACCAGCTGCATGTCCATACAAGCAAAATGCAAGATGCTGGGGCAGAAGAAGCTCAGCAAGCTCTTCCAACAGCGTATGCTCCCAGACAAAGTGGCCCATGCTGGAAGATCTTGCTGCGCTGCGCGGCGTGATCTCCGTTGGGTGAAACTGACAGAGAGGCCATGCTTCTCAACAGGCTGACTGTTCTCCAAATTGCTACGGAGGGATATGTCAAGGGCCAGGGCCAGGGACGACAATCCCAACGTACATGTGAAGCGAACAAGCTGTTGAGATGCTGACATCACATCTATGTACAGCGAAACTTGAGGGATGCTCTCTGCATCTACTCCTCGACTTCCATGGAGCCGGCTTTGGCAGCTTTCTCGACCTCAAAGGTAGGGAGTTTCTGGGTAGAGGATTTTCGTTTACACCGATTTGTGGCAGGTACTCAGTCAGAAGGAAATCTGCGGCAATTTTGCGGTTGTTGTAGACACGTGAAAGCTTCTATCACTCCCATCCCTTCCCGCCTTGACCTTCTGTCTGGCTTTTGCCTTCGTCGACCCGGCAAATTCCTGAGGCGCGAGTCACAGCCATAGCTCCACTCTGTGCCACTTTGCGACCGATGTATGCTATACAGCTTCTACCTGCGAAAGCTCAGCATCAGCAGCTGATCATTATGGGGTGCCAGCTTGCCATGCTGTGACAGTCCTTCTGGTAGCGCAACGCCTTCTCTTTGTTTGGCCCCTCCAACAGGTGGGCACTCTTTGCCTAGATGTTCAAGTCAACAAAGCACAGCACGGCCAATCACAGCTTGAAGCCGATGTTGAAGAACACTGTTCAAGCAGTTGCTGAGCTTGGAGCAATCTCCTTCTGCGCGCTGCTCTGCCGCTGCCTGTGCATGGTGGGTCACCGATGGTTGCTGCATACAGCCGCACTTTGCCACACTTCATGCTGGCCTGAGTTGAGCAGCCAGCCTAGCCTTGTGGAAGCGCCTGGAAAGTGCCAGCATGCAATGGGAACAACATGAAGTCTCTGACAAATGACAAGCAGAAATGCTGGGCGACTCGGTTTCCAACTCTTTCCGCACAGACCTAATCCTCTCTACAATCTGCATCGCCCGCACCTTGGATCAAACTATCGCATCATCTTCCACCAGCTGCATCTGCACGTGAAACAGAGCAGGCTACACCAACACCTGAGCATAAGGCCGTCTTGACCATCAAATTCCGATTATACCTCCAGGTGGAAGCAAGCATCGAATGTAGAAACAATGTAGAAACTTTCCATCAGAATGCGCGCCAGGCCGGGATACAAACAACATGAGCTGCAGATTCGAGGATGTCTCTGCACGTCGCTTCGAGCCTCGTCGGGGTGAGGCGCTTCTTCTCGAAATTGAAGGTGGAGTCCACAACCATCTCCTCGGGCGTGCTGTGGGAGCTTTGCTGGGGACTGGAAGCACAACGCATCGACGTACCACAGACATAAATCGTGATCAGGCATGTCCTTCCCACGTGCGCGACGGTATGCCTGAGCAAGGGCCGGTACGAGTAAGATCTACAATCGGGGCACACGAAGCGCGGCAGTCATTGTCAACCAGATTCAAGGTCTGGCCTTTGTCCACTTTAGCTTTCGAGGGTTGTGCTTCATCTTGAAGTGCTTGTGGCACTTTGAGCCTCAGGAATTTGCCATTCATCGCCATCACAATCGTACTACAATCGTCATAAAGCCTTAGTGTGAGGCGGCAGAAACGGAAGGTCTTGCAGTCGTTTCGCACAAACCTCAGACAATAACTTCGTCCAATTGAACTTTACTTCGTAACTTTGCACTTTGCACAATCGTCGAAACGAGTCAGGGATGCATGATGCCATGGCCAGGATAGATGCTGCTGGAGCAGAACCAGCACCTGAATGTCATGCATCGCGCTGACCGGTTGACCGCATGTATAAATATGCTGCGAAATGTCAACTGCCAACCAGTCCAACACTGTGAAAAACCAGGGTTGTCATGGCAAGCTGCTTGTGCGGCGGATGCTTTGCTGGCTTGCTGTAGCCGCTCAGCCTCCTCACCCTGAGGTGCCCGCTTCTCAATCCTCATCTCTGCTGCACGCCCACTTGACGCCTCTGCAGGCCGACAGTGTCTGCTGGCTGCTGAGTCGCCCTCACTTCAAGGCGAACCCTTCTCTGTCGACTTCATTTCGGAAACGGCACTGTGTTCGGCACCTAATGGCGTTGGGGATTGGGTCCAAACGCCCCGCAGCTGACAGAAAAATGCGGCGGTCAAGCAAGCTCAGCATTCGAGGATACCTGGTACAGTTCGAGGGAAAAACTACTGGAGGGTCCCGACAAACTGGACAAAAGGTTGAGCCACTCTAAGTTTGAGGCTGGAGGGATAGCAGTTGGTATCAGTGCCGTGCACGGCTGTGCTGAGCTTTTCTCATCTTCACAGCACCAGGGATCGTGGAAGGGAACTCCCCAGCATGGAATGAAGAGATATGATGGAAAATAAGCTCACGTCGACTATGCTGTCAGGTTGCCTGTAGAAAGGCAATAATCCGACTTATAACGACCGGACTCAAGATCGCGAGCTGACATTTCTGATTTCCGATGTAATATCGAGTAGACATGTTCATTGTATCGCCGAGGCCTTGAGCTGTAGGAATGTTTTGGGAGTCTCAGGTACCCAGCATTACCCAGCCACCCTTCACGCCCCTAAATAGGGACGTGTTCTAAGCATGTGAGTCCGAGGCTAACAACCCCACCCCCCCCCACCCCTACACCCGCCACCCCGGAGCTCCCCTCCACCTCCTCACTAGGCCCGAGTTTTGGGAAGCAAACCTACCACTTAATTATTAATCCCAATCCCAGGCCCGGACAGCTAAGCGGGCTTCATGGAGCTTAGGGGTTGTAGGTTCTGAGGATTCAAGTTCAAATCTTCTGCAGGCCGCTTACGCATCCGGGCTTGCTTGTTTTGAGGTCGTCGAGGGCTGTTGAAGAGCTCGGAGTGAGCCACGCAAGGGGGCAGGTTAGGTTGGGAAGTTCGGGCATGTTGTCTTGGGGAATGGAAGCTGTGGAAGCTAGAGCTTGACTCGGCATGTCGCGCGGCCGAGGTGGGTCGCTTGGCGTTAAAATGAATTTTTACACCCGACGAAGTGAAGCCCCACGATAGTCGCGACGACGAAGGGTTACAGTCCGGCACAGAGCACTGGGAATCGTTTCCGTCGCTACCCGCACACTCATAAATACGCTGCAGACGAGGGCTGACCGTGTTGACAGCCCCATCCAACCAACCAGCGCCATGCTTCTGACACTTGCGACTTGAAAATAATAAACATGGGTTGCGTTTCCTCAAACACACTGGCACTATCCTCGCATAGCCTTCGCGGTGGACTCTGCACCAAGGTGACACCGTGACACGACTTTGTGAAACCGATGAATTGAACGGCATGCAAGTGATGCAAGTGGAGGATGCTGACGCTGTGGCAGAGTGCCACGTCTGCACTAGCGGTATGTACAAGCATTTCTATATTAAACGGTGCATTTCACCTAGCAGGAACTCTCAGCGATGGTCTGGGTTCGTCGGACGATCCTGAAACAAAAGTGTGCAGAAAAGCGCCCACGTCTCAAGGCATTCTGGGGGCCTCGTGCAACTGGACGAACGATGGGAACGTCCTCTGTCGCAGCCGGTCCAGCTCCTGCGAACTTTGCTAGGCAGGCAATTGCTGTGCATGTTGCCATCTCCTTCTCATGGCTTTATGCATGGCAGGATATGGAGATGGTCTCGGGGATGGGACGGAGCGATGGTCCTTGTGCAAGATCTCAATTTCTTCGGTGTTTTTCTTGGCCTTCGGTTAAAATAAACTGACTGGCCTTCACGCGAAGCAAACAAGCAAGGCGAGAATCTGTTAGAACTGAGTTGGAGGCAACTTCCATGAGCTTCTGGCGGCTTCGCAACTGAGCGGCAATGTGAAAAGGCTTGTCTGCGGATTGTTGAAGACTTCAGCATCTTCAGCCGGATGCTGGGAACATGAGGCCAACGCCTCTTTGAAGGCAGCATGTGCTGCCTTTGCTGCCCCCTCGTCCTCCTGACACCGAGAGAAGCAGCAAGGGAGTGCAACCACACACATCGCTTCACCCACAGGCACTGAAACCAAAAACGCATGAATGGCAAATCAGCCGTCCTCAACGCGGCCACCCCCTCCAGTCTTCTGTGGTTGGCCAGAGGGTGCACGCAGGCGCCGAATGTGCTCTCTTTGGATCACGTTCTGCTGGAGTTCTCGAAGCTTCCTGGCCATGCGGAAAATAGTACTTGGACTTACTGGCAGGATCTGGCAGACCAGTGCAGGCGACATAAACTTTGCAAGAGTGGCTTCTCCAGCATTCCATTCTCGTTTTTTCCTCGGTGCACTGTGAGGTCCATCTATTTCGAGTCGGTCGTCCTCTACACAAAAAAGAAAGAAGCAAAGACCGAGAGAGAGAGAGAGAGAGAGTGCGGCACAAAGGGTGACCCCAACTGCCCGCATCGTTGTGGGATCTGGTGGGCGACATATGACTTATGACCCCTCACACTTCTGACAAGTGGCTTAGCTTGGCCGCATGGGCGAGCATTGCAAACTGCTTCTTCAGTGCCTTGAATTGCATTGAAGAGCGCACTTTCGCAGCTACTTCGTCTGGCAGCCTGTCCCACACAAGCCTGTTCCTTCTTCTCGGTCGCTTCAGAGAGATGCTCGATCTTCCCTGGACTTTGGTTTGAGGCAACTCCAGGTGACATTTCCGATATTTCCCGTACCCGTGCGGCTCAAGGAAGCTGAGTGGGATACGTTCAAGCAGATCCGACTCCGCTTTGTTTCTGCCTGGAAGCTGCAACACAACGCCAGCAACCCCGGGCCAAAAGGCCGAACATGCCACGCCCGACTCCTGCTAGTGGCTGCTACTCGTAGTGTTGAATCAGACGTGCATAATAAAGCTGCGGGCTATTTTTCGGGCTTGCACTCCCTGAGGTTCGGCTAGGGTATGTCAGGTTCGGGGCTTCAAATGCAGCTTGAACATGCTTGAGCTGCTCTCGGTTTAGGGATTTGAGGTTGCAGTGCTGTGGGTTTCGGGTGTCTTTGGCTTGCACTGCTCTGGAATTTGCTTTTGGATTTGCGCTCCGCTGAGTTTCGGGTTTTGGCTTCTGGGTTTGCGCTTCTGCGGGCCTGGGCTTGGGGTTCCGGGATGTTCCGGGTTCCTGGTGTTGAGCATGTGGGGTCGATGGTTGGAGGTAAAATACCCTCTGGGTGACTGTAGTGTTGTTTGTCCTGACGGAGAGCACTGAACCGAACAACAAGGAACGAGTAACCCACTACCGAGGGCTACCATCTCTGTTCGCTGCCATTCGCTCTGAGATGTCCTGCCTTCCTCGCCACCTTTGAGAAGCGATTGCAAGTCCTGAAGCCGAAGGTCGGTCACATGACAAAGAAAGCAAGCCACCAGCGCCCAGCCATCACGAGTCGATCATGCCATTACATGTCATCAGCCTTCGTAACCCGGAGCATGTGCACATCTTTGGTGCGCTCCTGCCAGAAAAAGGAGTCTCCATGGCGCCCGCTCCACTATCACATCAAAACATATCACAACCCTGTCAGGTACCTCGAGGTCGGTTGTTTGAAGAGCCAGCATCTCATGCTCCCAGTCCAAAGTGCTCAGAGACTTTCTGAACTCCTCAGGTGCTCAGTGCATGTTCTGGTACTGCGTGCAACACAGCTCGGTGGGTCCTTGATCTTTGTGAGGATGTGCACCTTGTCCTTGCCAAGTTCCGTTATCCTCCTGTTGCGTGACTCCACGACCTGCGCGAGTGATCAATGAATCAAGCCCACGCTGAACATGTTTTTGTGCACCCTCTCCTCTTGATCAATGACTATCGCATCTGAGTAGTCCGTGACCACTGCAGCTTGCGGAACTTCAACCTGGAACATGCATCTCGACATCTTGTTCGTCGATAGCGCAGAGCTGCTACATATAAGTGCAAACAAACGGCACACATGCCCCTACAACTGAGGATGCCCCCTGCACCCCCACTCTTTGTGCTTGTTGCGTTGGTCCCATTGGCTTGCCTGGCCCTGTTTTAGTTTGAAGAGAATCTCGATATCGTAGAGCTCGCGGCCCATCAGCGCCTCGAAAGTCAGAGTACCACGTGCACCATGTGGGCTCAGTACTGGTATGTACTGGTTGTCTTGACACCGGTGCTCCTTGTGCTCTCGGAGCTCCCTCTCAAGCCGGTCGAAGTCTGCCTTGGCTTCCATGCACCTCGGGTGTCGTAGTGTGGTATGGCGTGGAGAACGCTGCGGAGTAGCAGATGATGGCGCGCATCTTCGATCTTGGAAGCAGGCTCGCGCTCCAAGTGCCCGAGGAAGCCGCCCATCTCGCCGAGCACGGCAGCCTGGGTGTTGACATGTGTTAAGTTTGGCAGCTCGCCACCAGACTCGATTTGTCTGTGTGTGCGTGTATGGCTGATGTGCTGGGGCAGCGGCACCCCTTGCAACTTCAGTCTCTGCTTGGAGCTTCTCTGCCCGAAGCTCCAGCATCCGATTGAAGCTGTCCTCTCACAAAAAATTCCAAAAAACCTCTAATTCAGAATTTACAATTCGAGAGGGTCGATTCTGTCAACCGTGTGTCTATTAATTCAGATGTCTCAACTCAAAATCTCTGACCAGCTCTGAACTGTCTGATTCTCCCCCAGCGGGTCCTCATCAACGCCTTCTGGGCAGTCCTATAACGCACTTTCAAGAACTTTCTAACAAAAGTCGATCGTTCCAACGCAGGTGAGCAAAAGGCCCTGAAAGGCCTCGAAGCTTATGTCGTCCTCTACCTGGGCATGCGCCACTTTTTGCCTCAGAGTGCAGTCATGTAGCGGTCGATAAGATCTGAAGCTGTGGGCGTCATTCCTTTCCAGGTCTCGGGCTCGACCCCCAGATCCGGGTATGGATCGGATGCTCCTTCCTGGCACAAGCGTTGCCACGTGTTGCAGTTTAGGTTGTTCAGGGCATCGGACCAATGTTTGATCGCGGTTTACCGTTGCCACAAGTGTAGGGAATGAAGCTCGGAATGCAGGATGTGCGTGTCCAAGGGCTTGAGACATGCCTCCACGAGGTTGAAGGAAGGTACGCCCTTCGGGATTCCCACTGTCGAGGCCTTGGGAGGCAAAATGAGGGGGGGAAGGCAGGCTGAAGAGGTCCGGAATGAAACACGATGAGCTATGAAGGCTCGCAAGAATCAACAAAGGCATCGGCGCTGCGCCGGGTCCGCCCTCCGTCTTCCGAAGCGAAGGACTTTGCCTCGGGCGTGGATGAAAGATGTTGGAAGTGACGAACCGTGCTGCAGCACAAAACAAGTCAACAATCAGGAAAAACGGAGTGGCCAACTCGATTCAGCTCCTTCTTCTTGCGGAATAACCTACACTGTGGTGAAGGGTGGTGTGCGAATCAGTGCTGTTATACAGAGAAGGTCATGATTCATGATTTATTCATTCTCAGCCAGTGCTTCCACTGAGGTGCAGTCTGGAGAAGCGCCGTGATGGCCTTGGCAAGAAGGATCGTCTTTCTTGAATTTCTGTTTCAATCCAGACTCCGTGGAGAACTTTCAGGCGCGGGCGTTGGCCTCGAGGGTGGAATTGGCAAATGCCTGCCTGAAGTGTTGTGCCGAGGAGACCTGCAGCCCAACACGCTTAGGACGGCTTGATGTGCCCTGGAGTGTTGAGATCCACCTCCTTCTCGTACCGCACACGGTCATCCTTGCCAACATGATTCCCCGTACAGGCCAGCACTGAAGCTAAGAAACCGAACCACTTTTTGTTCAAACAGCGAAGTGGGGTGAGAAGGCCTGTTCCCCTTTTGCCTTTTGCACTTCCGCAGAGAAGGCCTTTCAGATTAGAGCGCACGCAATGATGAACATCGGGGCAACAACTACGGCACAGGCTCAGACGCTGAATCGCGTGTCGCATGCTAGCACAGTCTGCTGCGCAGATGCCTTGGCCAAGCCAAAAAACAAAAAAAGTGTGACTGATGCGCAGCAACACTCCAGTTTGTGCCCCTAACCAAGGCTTTAAGGCTGTTGCCAAATCGAACTGGGCTTGCTCGCGAACGAGGTTGTCTTCTACGTTTTGCAGCAGCGCCAGCTGCAAGCGAGCACAATACCTTTCGATCACTGCGACAATTGCTATCTTCGTCGTTGGGTGCTGAAGTTTGCTGGCCATGCGCTCCATCAGGGCAGTGACATACCCGAGGTGCTCGAGAACTGCTGGGGACAGCACAGCTCTTGGCACAGAAACTTGGCATCGTGGGCGAAACCTTGCTGCTGAGCTGCCATTGCAATTCTACGTAAAGTGCAAAGTGAATCCATCTACAGTGACAGCACTTAACAGAGAAAACAGTGGGAGCTCGGCCGAGAGCTGACACCCAAAAGTGCGAAGGGGCAAACAATTTACCAAGAAATTCAGGGTACTCTCGGGGTGTGAGGCTGCATTTTTGAAAGAAACGGGCTCCTCAACTTTAAGAACTCGCGGGTATCCTCACCTGGAATTATCGCTTTCTTATCCAGCACTGTCAGCGTACCCTCAGTATGCGTACGAAGAGTAGGAAGAGTGTGATCTCAGCCGAGCACGCTCGTGATGCAGCTTCTTCAGGAGGCCTTCGAACTGCAGAGTCCTGGGGGGCTCTATGCAACATTTCTGAGGCCTTCGAGGCCATGCCTCTGTCCCGACTATGTCTTTGTCGGCAGAACTGGGGCTCCCCACAACTCTTGCACACCTGCACGGAGAGTCTTCCTGGCACTCCCCAGGCTCACCAGTACGACCAAGAGCATGCCAAACAGTGCCGGCGAGACAGCTCCGCGGACAGTTGCTTCTTGTATGCATCCTGTGCCTCGGCAAGAGCCTGCAGTAATAAGGCGGGCAGCGCGCACACGGTCAGCCCGTGACTCAACTGCAAAGAGTGATGCGACAAAACCAAGGGCCTTCTCTTTTGCCTGGTACTCCGCAAACGCAAGCTTTTGAGCCTCGGACCTCGTGCTGGCAGGGCTGATCCCAGATCTGAAGGGGTCACGCTTTGTCGAAGCTGAGACATGGGCATATCTTCCTCCGGTATCTCGTCCATCCATGGCTCTTTGTCAAGAACGATCTCCAGCGGGGTGAGGTCCTGCGTAACTTTTGAACGCATGTTGTTTTTGTCGTAACGTGAAGATGTGCTATGTTCTGAAGTGTTCCCTACACACCTTCAAAATGTTTGGGTGTTGCTTCGAAGGCATCGGCAATCCCTGCTGCCTTCTTCGTCTTCAACGTCCCACCCATCATCTGCACCTCTCTCAGCAGTGCTACAAGCTTGGCTGCAAACTCTTATGGTGGTTTTTGGTATCTTGGAAATCCTGGGGACATGTGCAGTAGGCGGCTGACCAGCGCACGCTGGCCAGCATCATTCTCGCGGAGCTGTCGCAAGCGTTCCTCGAGTGGAGCTGCATGCAAAATGCTGACTAGTGACAGTCTTGTCCCTTCCCTGTTTGAATTTTGAATGACTTTAGGTTGCCCCATGGAGCAACACTGGTGCAATGTGGAGCCCTGAAAGTCCTCCTCTTTAGCCGCTGCTTCTTCCATGGCTTTCTTCCTTTGTCGTGCTATCATGAGGCCCAAGCATTGCCATTGCGGCATGTAGTGTCACTACGCCGCTAGTATGTTGATATGTGTTGTGGCGTGATCCAGCAAACAGCTGCACTAGGCCAGCAGCTCTTCTGGTGAGATCCACTTCTCAACTGTAATCTCATGGTCCTTGCATGGAAGCACGATCGCGAAGCAACATGACACTTCAGCCAAAAAAGCCTCAAAATCAGCATATGCGGGCCAAGTGTCCTGAACCTTGAGGACAGAGTCTGCATCCTCCACCTCTTGCAGAGTTGGCTCTGGAACCTCCTCCTCAATCTGAAGCTCCTTAAGCTACGGGCAATGTCTACATCGGAGAAAAAAGGGCTCTGCGCATCTTCATCCAGCATGTGTTTGCCAGGTTTCTCCCAGAATTTGACGAATGCGGCTGCATTTTTCCTTGATGCCATCCTTAGAGCGGGAAGTGGCAGACAGGGCTGGGCAGGTGCTGCGGTTCCTAAGGGGTTCACGATGATGTTCTTCTTGTCACCCTGGCAGGCCTGCCATCTGCTTGCTCTTTGTGGAGAGATTGCCTTTTGTGCCCCTTTCTTGCACCATGTGGCCTTGAAGAGTTCATTGAAGTGCAAGCGGTAGTCTGCCGACAACGATTGCAGCAGGTGGATCTGCCACAGCAATGTCAATGCTCCCACTGTTCTCCAACATCTCGACAAGGCGGCTGACTAAATTAACTTGCCTGCAGCCGGCGGCGGCTATTTGTAACGAGCTCGAAGGGCTCATACAGATACTTCTGCTCTTCGGCCACAATCTTGGCAGCTGCTCAGATTCAGACAAAAGGTGCAGCTATCATGTCAACGGCTTCGAGTGCTCATGCGAGCGCCCGGCGGAATCAGCACTGGTACCGCCTCCTGTGTCATCGACAACTTTCACACCTGAAGGTGGGAAGTTCGTATGGTGGGGGAAGATGCAATCATCCATGGCATGCTGACTGGTATTTCTGACCTCCAGTATCATCTGACTTCTCCCTACCCTCCTTGGCTGCTTTGGCATCTTTCTCCTCCAAATGCAGCAACCCTACGGGACCCTACGGCGCATAATGCTTGTCTATTGGACAAGGATTTTTGCGAACATGTTGACTGACATATGACATAGGACATAGGAGTGATGCAATGGGCAGTGGTAATCGCTTCTAAAGACTCTCGTGCCAATTATTGCCTTCTGCTTCTCTGCTTCCTTCTCTGCCTTGGAAAGTTCAAGGCATCTTGACCCCGGCTGTCTTGAAGTGGAATAGGTCACATGACATCTGCATTGCTAAATCCTCGAGCTGCTGGCAGCAGCTTTCTTCTCCCTCAGCTCTGATTTCCATGGGGGCTCATTATTGGATTTATTGCTGTGAAGCACGTTAAGTACAGTAAGACATGCACAAGTGCAGAACTCAGAGCAGGCCAAGGATCAGTTGCGCTTGCTTTGCTTGTGCCTCGATCTCAGCGAGCTGCTTCGCTCGCGCCTCAGCCGCCTCCCGCAGCATGGGAATCTTCAACGACAACAACGAGAGCACGGACAGATGCCTTGGTGTTGGAGGCCGGCCACCAGTTTACAATGTACTGCTCTCGACCTTGCGGCTCACAAGCCATCACCGACTCATGGTCGGACGGGTGCATGTCGCCTGTGGTGAAGTGATCCTCATCCAGCACCATGTCGTTGCGTAGTTCGGGTGGGCAGTTGCTGCGCAGCCTGTCAAAGCCAGCACTCCAGGCTTGTTGCACCAAGTACATGGCGCAACGGCTGGAAATCAACCATGTTCAAGGCATCTAAGTGCCGCGCATCTGGAGCTCCAGCTGCTCACTGCGCCGCAGCATTCGGAGCTTGCGAGTCACTGTGCTCTCCTCCTCCCAAAAAACATCAAATCAATCTTTCCAGAACGATGCTTGTGGGGGGGCGATAATTTCTGGGATGAACTTCTGGGAAGGCTGGGGATGCTGTGGCCAGAACGAGGCCTCCCAGGAAGCTCTGTCAAGGATAGTTGCATCTAGCGGCTCTAGCGTTCTTTTTGGGTTTGGGAGCCTGTATCCCTGCAATTCTCTGCATGATGTAGATTGGTATGCTAGCCGTGCTGCCGCCCCCCCTGCGACCTTAACCCCCATGTCTTGGGTTCGAGGCCAAGGTCCCACATGTGAGCGATTGCCAATGATGGGAAGCGCACATTGAAAACACTAACAATTTCAGCATGTTGCAAACGAGCCATGTTTGCGCATTTGGTGGCCCATGGTGGTCCTCACTGACTGTCCGCTCCGGATAGTTGGAGACCGCCAGGCTGGAAGTCAAGGACGTGATCTGACAGCCTTTGCCACGCATGGGATCCCAGAACCTCAGCGGGCTCCAACGCATTGCACAAGAAGAGAGAAAGAGAAAGAAACAGAGAGAGAGAGGGAGAGAGCGAGGAAGAGACAGAGAGAAGGAGAACAAGGAGAGGCCATCTTCCCACGGCCATTGGGTCTGGCACTCCTTGATGAGCCGATCCCGCACGAGCTGCCTCCAGTGATTTTGATGGAGCCCTGTGAAAAATTGTGGGAACATTGATGGCATCTCAGCCAACCTCGCAACGTTCTGATGCTCGATGTCAGCGCGAAGCTCATCGCAGCGCTCCTGCCAAACCCCAAGGCATTATCACTAAGGGCTTCAGGGGCAACATATAAAAGGCCGTGTACCAGTGCCCTCCCATCACAGCATGTCCAGCACTCACCCCTCAATATGTTTCTTTTGCTGTTGCCGCATTGCCTCCTCTTTCATGCACACTGGATGCTCAATTGCGATGCTGCTCCATTGTGATCTCTTTGTGACCTCTTTGTGATCTCTTGTATGTCCTTGGTCTTGGACGCGATGGCGAAGCGCTCCTCGAAGTCGACGCAAAACTCGCTGCGGTCCAGCCTTAATGTCCCCATCTTCTCCCATATCTTCCATCATGTCATGATATGACGTGGAGAAAGCAGCCAGAGTATTAGAAGGTTGCCCCCGGCACACCGTCGATTTCCCAGGCTAGTAAAGTAAAGGCGATGCCATGCGATGCCACTCCCCCTGACAAATCTGACAATAAGAGATCGAAACTTTCAAATCTTTCAACACCTCCCAAGAGAAAAAGAAATGGAGAACCCTTTCTGCCATTCCGCCAACCCCATTTTCTTCTTACTATTCTACGACATTACTCTTATTCAGTCTCGGGTGCCTCGCCTTTATGGTTCAAGCCTGTCGGACTAGTCAGTCACATGGGGAACGACCCACGAACCTTGATGCGGGGTGGGTTCTGAACTCCTGTTATTTGATGCAGCATCATTTGCATGGCATTTCATGGCTAGCAAAATCAAGATAAGCGGAATCGTTTGACTGGTTTGCAGACACATCTCTGGGGCTGGCACTTTTCGAGGTCCGGAGCGTTTGCATTGTGGTCGACGAGGATGCGAAGCTTTTTGCGCAGAGCTTCAATCTGCAAGATTTTGCACCGTGAGACTTACTAGATCATCTAGCCAGTCTCCATTTCGGATTGCGAGTCTGTCATGAGTCATGAGAGGTCATGTCCTGCTTGTTAATTAACTTAATCAAGAGCGTCGTGAGTGCACGTTTGGCGTTGAGAACGACAACGACTTCAACGTGCCTCGTGCGCCATCAGTTTGCGCTTAGCGGCTGCCTCTTCCTGGAAGGCCGCAGCGCTCCGCAGCATGTTGCCGATGTTGTCGATCCCATGCGCTGCGATGAGCTGAGCGCTGCACGGAAAGCTCCACCTCCTGCCACGCAGAAAGCACATGAAAGCACTCTCGCTGTGTGCCTGCACTTGCCCTCTATGCCTGTGCACTCGCAGCTTTCCACCAAGCACACTGCTGCTGCATTTCAACATGTCGCGGATCTAGATTTTGCAAGGCTCTTTTTGTTCAGGACTTGTGTGTTGCTTGAGCAGAAAGGAGCTAGGAAATCATAGGAACCTCGTCGTCTCCAGCAGCAGCGTCACCGCCTTAGTCTTGAAGCATCTTCACATGCTATCAGGAATGTAGCGAAGGAAGACGCAAAAGTAGCAACTTCTCTGGCCTGCTGCAGGCGGCGACCATGCGGGGAAGGCATTGATGTCCGTGTCATCCAGCCTGGCAATGAAAGAGCATTGTCAAGGCGCTGATCGATCCGCCGACCCCTAGGGGGGCGGCGTCAGTGAAGACCCATTGCCCCTACCACCTACTCCGCCCCATCCAAAGCTCGACCGGGCCCCAGTGCATGCCCGCCCGTTTGCTCTACCCCTACCACCCACGCACCTCGCCCCCCGCCGGGCCCCAGTGCATGTTCGCCCGTTTGCTCTACCCCTACCACCCACGCACCTCGCCCCCCGCCCATGCCGCTCATGGACCCATGGCTCCCTACCACCGACTCGCCCCATCCAAAGCGCTCTACCGGGCCTGCTCTGCCTACTCCCCCCCTGGCCCTACCCCCCCCATGGTCCATGACATGGCTTCTCAGCTGACTTTAAAGGGCCCAGGGCATGCTTGCTCCGCCGGCTCCGCCCGCTCTCCGCCCGCTCCCGCCCTTCCTGCTCCGCCTACTCCCCCCCTGGCCCTACCCCTCGACCCCCATGCCTCCATGGACATGGCTTCTCAGCTGACTTGAAAGGGCCCCAGCGCATGCCCGCCCCCTCCACCCGCTCCGCTTGCTCCGCCCTTCCCGCTCCGCCCACACGTCCCATTCTCCATCCCCTCGACCCTCATGGCTGCTATGGACATGGAGTCTGGTCCCATAACTCCGCTTGCTCCGCTTGCTCCGCCCTTCCCGCTCCGCCCACTCCCCCCCCTGGCCCTACCCCTCGACCCCCTATAGGTCCCATGGACATGGCTTCTCAGCTGATTTTGAAGGGCCCCAGTGCATGCCCGCCCCCTCCGCCCCATCCCCCACGCACCCCGCCCATGCCCCTCATGACGCCCCATCCAAACCTCGACCGGGCCCCAGTGCATGCCCGCCCGTTTGCTTTACCCCTACCACCCACGCACCTCGCCCCCCGCCGGGCCCCAGTGCATGCCCGCCCGTTTGCTCTACCCCTACCACCCACGCACCTCGCCCCCCGCCCATGCCGCTCATGGACCCATGGCTCCCTACCACCGACATGGCTCCTGGCCCCATTGGCCCATGGCCTCCATCCCCTCGACCCCCATGACTTTAAAGGGCCCCAGCGCATGCCCGCCCCCTCCGCTTGCTCCGCCGCCTTGCCGCCCTGCCCTCGACCACCCCCAACCCTCACCCCCACTCCCACGCACCCCGCCCATGCCCCTCCTGGACCCATGGCTCCTGGCCCCCTTGGTTCTGGTCCATCCTCCTACACCCCATCTCCTTGCTCCCCCCCCATCCCTCGACCCCCATGGCCCCACCATGGCTCCTGGCCCCATTGGCCCATGGTCCCACTCGACCCCCATGGCCCCCACGCTCATACCCCTACCACCCACGCACCTCGCCCCCCGCCCTTGCCCATGACTCCCTACCACCAACTCGCCCCATCCAAAGCGCTCTACCATCCCCCACACACCCCGCCCATGCCCCTCATGGACCCATGGCACCTGGCCCCATTGGCCCATGGTCTCCAGCCCCTCGACCCCCATGACTTTAAAGGGCGTCAGTGCATGCCCACCCCCTCCGCTTGCTTGGCCCCCTCCGCCCCCTCGACCACCCCCAACCCTCACCCCCACTCCCACGCACCACGCCCATGCCCCTCATGGACCATGGCTTCTGGCCTTCTTGGTTCTGGTCCATCCTTCCTGGACCCCTTGCTCCGCCCGCTCCACCTTTCCCGCTCCTGGCCCCATTGGCCCATGGTCCCACTCGACCCCCATGGCCCCCACCATGGCTCCTAGCCCCCATTGGCCCAATTCTCCATCCATTCGACCATGGCTTTAAAGGGCCCTCCGCTTGCTCCGCCACCTTGCCCTCGACCTCACCCCCACTCCCACGCACCCCCCCCCATTCCCCCTGCTCCCTACCCCTCCAACCCCCATGGCCCCCACCATGGCTCCTGACCCAATTCTCCATCCCCTCGCCAGCTCACTCCACCCACTCCCCTCATGGTCCCACTCGACCCCCATGGCTGCCACCTGCCCACCCCACGCTCCATGGCTTCTCACATGGCTCCTGGCCCCCATTGGCCCAATTCTCCATCCCCTCGACCCCCGTGACTTTGAAGGGTTCCAGCGCATGCCTGCCCCCTCCGCTTGCTCCGCCCCCTCCGCCCGCTCCGCCCGTAGGTGGCATCTTCCAGGTATGCTGGGACTCATCCACCCCGTGGCCTGCAGGTGGACGCTGCTGGCGGAGCCCGCGTCGCACTAAAGCGCTAGCTTTAAGGGGCGAGCGCCCGAGCCGCCGACCCCGCCCAAAATTGCTTCAAATTCGCGCGGGGGCCGAAACCATGTTTTTCAAGGTTTGGGGGGGGTACCGGAAGCCCAAAACCAGGCGAGCATCATGAGCATCAGCAGCCCTGGCCCACGGACCCAAGGCAAGAAAAAACGCTGAAAAACGCTGAAATCACCGTAAATACCGTGTTTTTATGAGGGTTTTCACGCGTGCCTCCGACCCCCACCCTTGTTGCCCTTGACCCGCCCCCAAAGTGCGCATCATCGAAACCCACGTCGGGGGGCGGGTCTGCTGATGCTGCTGATGCGCGGGGGTCCGGGGCATCATCGAGCCATCGTTTCTCATGTGGGCTTCGTGGGCCTCCGGGCCCACGGCCCAGAGACCCAGCTGATGCTCATGATGCTCGGTTTGGGGGGGTGTTCCAACAGCAGAAAACCTCGTAAATACCGAGTGTTTTGTGGGTCCACGTAAAAACGCCCCTAAAATCGCTCATTTTACGCGCTCGAACGGCTTCGTGCCTACAAAACACCCGAACAGCAGGACCCCGAATGCGCTTAAGGGCATTCGGGGTCTTGCTTTTGGGGGTTTGGTGGGCACGCAAGCGTTCAAGCACATACAATCGGCGTGTTTAGGGGGTTTCGGATGGCCTGGGGGAGGCCGCTGATGCTCATGATGCTCTCTCTTCCTCGGTTCCAAAAGGCTTCCCAAGCTCAAAAACACGTGTTTACAGCGTTTTCTGAAGGTTTTTCGAAGGCAAAACGCATGCTTAGAATGTCTTTTGGGCTCCCAAACCAACCCCAATGATGCTCCTGATGCGGGTGCGCGCGCGCGCGCGGGCGGGGGGGGGGGGGGGGGGGGGGGGGGGGGGGGGGGGGGGGGGGGGCGAAGGCAGGAGAAAGAGAGACAGAGAGAAGGAGACGAAGAATGAAAGAGAAAAAGAGACAAAGGTGAACGAAGAAGAGAAAGGTGAACGAACAAGAGAAAGTGAGAAGATAGAGAGGGAGAGAGATTCAAAAAAAAAACAAAGAAGAGAGAGAGCGAGAGAGAGAGAGAGAGACAGACAGAGGAAGACTAACAGCAACAGAAAGAAAAGAAAAAAGAGAGAGGTGAAGGAGAAACAAAGAGAGGAGAAGAAACAGAGAAAGACCAACAGCAAGAGAAAGAGAAAGAGAAAGAGAGAGAGAGAGACAGACAAAGAGAAGTAGAAGGAAAAAGATATTGAAGAGACAGAGAATAAAGAGAAAGAGAAACAAAAAAGATTAAGAGAAAGAGAAAATGAAAACAAGAAAGCAGAGGAGAATAAAGATAAAGAGAGACAAAAAGATAAAGAGAAAGAGGAAATAAAAACAAGGAAGCGCAGGGAAGTAAGAGGAGAAAGATAAAGACAGAGAAAAAGAAAAACAGGCAAGTAGAGAGAGGAAGAAACAAAGACAGAAAAAAAACACGCGAGAGAGCGAGAGAGAGAGAGAGAGAGGAGAGCGAAAAAGACAAAGGACAAAGAAAAATGGAAAGAGAGCGAGAGGAGAGAGACAAAGACAAAGGACAAAGAAAACGGAAAGAGAAGACAGTGCCAAGGTTCAAGGTTTCGTGCTTTGGGGGGCGGGGGCCGGCCCGTGCCGCTGGCCTGAAATATTCTTGTGCCGATGAATGACCATTCAATAACCTTTGCGCCCGCCCTTGCACGCTTCTTGCGCGCACACGCTCTTTGTATACCTTGTGTTAACCCTAGAGCCAGTATCGTTGCTGTTTTATGTTTGGTCTCAAGCCCCTCCCGATCTCTGCCTTGGCTTCATTCCCGGCACATGTCCAAAACTCGGATCACAATATTTCGACTCTTGCTCGAGATACCTCACATCTGGTTCCATCCGGTTTCTGCCGCTTGCTCTTGGAGGCATTCGCAGTCCACGCCAGAAAGCCTTGCCGCAGGCATGCCTTCAGTAGCGACGCACGGCTTGAGCCGCCCTTGCGCGTTTCTTGCACCAGTCTTGCGCAGCAAAAAGCACATACACAACATGTCCCCCGCTGGCCTATGTAGATGGCTTTGTATAGGTAAGTTAATGTTGCTTTTGCCGCCCTCTTGCGCGAACACCATGTTTGGAAAGATTGTTCAATGGTGGTGTCTTTTAAGTCAGTAGCCAGGGGTTCAGATCAACCCTCGGTGAAGACCGTCAGTTTGCATTGCGCTCGTATTCATCTGGTCTGATGCTGCTTGCCTGTGCCCTGACGCTGTCTGCCTAGCCTATACCTATGCGACTGACGCACAAATATGTCCAAAAGAAAACACAGGACAGATACTGCTGGTCAATGGCCCACTACTGTAGCGGCTCTGAAAGAGTGGATGGCATTGACGAACATCAACATGTCGGCTCAGCTCAAAGGCAAAGCCACCAGGTGATGCATCCCCAAAGGCGTCATCCTTGGAAAGAGGGGGCGCTAGTATGGATGCAGGAGCTCATGCACGCCAACACCTTTGTCCCAAGTGTTCCGGAATGTTCAAGAAGTCTCTCAGGAAGCCACCTCTTCAACACTCATGTGCGAATCATCCTAAGTGGCGGGGGACGGAGCTCATTTCATGATTCTGCGAGTTTCCGTGCAGCAGCATGCTGTTGGCATTGCAGCGCGTGCAAGTCAGGACGTGGCAGGTGTCAGTGTTATGCCGGCGCCGGGCTCACTCCAAACAATGATGCCGTCCTTTAGCTTGGACATGCTTGCACTGGAAATGCGCGGCACGGTCCGTTCGCTGAAGCAGCAAGCAAAGGATCTCACGGAACCACCGGTTGTCATAGTCACTGTGCCTTAGACGTACAGCTGGGCATTGACACTCGGTAGCTTAGCTTGCAAGGGGTGCATTCAAGTTCTCCGCTTTCCCTGGAAAGCCTCTATTCTCATATTGTAAGAAGAACCCCCTGCTTCCTTTCGACTCATGAAGCAAGCCTCTTTCTGCGTTGTAGCATCAAATCCTGGATTCCATCTCGTCTAGGCTTTTAAGAGCATAACCTCCACCCTCTATACATGACTGATGAAGGTGTCTGCTGTGAAGCTGCAGCATCGCATTATGGGCCGTGAGAAACCAGAAGTACTTCCTTGATCTTGTCACGCAGTAAAGATGATATGGAAACTCGTAAGAGAGCAAAACAAGTGCAAAAAATGAGAATAAAGATATGAGCGGTTTGACAAGACTTAGCAGGTAGGACATCCTGTTCTAGTAGCTGATAGGATGTAACAAATCGTGATGCAATCTTAAAAGACAGCATGGCATTGTTACGCTGAATACTGTAGAAATACACAGGAATTAGTAGCGCAGTTTACGCTCCCAAAGTAAGTACCATGAAAGCATGAGATTCTCTATAGGAACTCAGAGATTAGGCTAGAATGCGTAAGCAGGGTGCCATGTAGTTCGCCTCGGCTTCCAGCCGAGAGGCGTCTAGAACAAGCAGAGACCACCCTTCCCACCCAACCAGAAACTTTCTGGACCCCCCACCCCAGCCTGGAACCTGCCGAGGTTCCAGACTGTGGACTCCTGCCTTCTTTGGACCCTCTGAAACTTTCTTGGAATGCCCCTGGCACAGTCCGGGACCCCCCTCCCCTGGAAGACCTGGGAACTTTCCCAGGCCGCTGGGCTCTTCTGCCTGGGACCCTTTAAACCTATTTGAGGCCCCTTGGAGCACCTCCTAAGACCGTTGCGCCTGCTACACCCCGCTGGGCCAGCCCGGCTGCGGAGGCGGCGCACACAAGCTTTCATAATTACAGGGGAACATAGGAAGAAAATCAAAGAAAACACGCCCTGGGTTGGAAATGCTTGGCTGCCCGCCGTCACGGCTGCATGCTACCTCGCAAGACCCATTGCAACTAGTAAAAGCGCATGTAGTTGCGTGGCTCTGCCTGCGCAGTGCCCCCATTGTATGGATTGTGGAGAGTCTTGTTGAGAAGCTCGTTGCCCTGTGCAATCGAAATCAAACTGCTCACCTTGCTCGTGTCGGCACAATACCCAACCGAGGGCTCGACTTCGGGCAGACCTAGCATGTCACATACAAACACCCTAACATAATTCCCTAAACTCTAAACCCTAAGACCCTATCCCCTAAACCAAGCAGTTTCATGTCTCATGCGCATGCAGCTGCGGAAAGTTGCTTCAGAGCACCGGCTACCGGTTAGCTTGTGACACAAGTCGTTAGGAATATGATGTGTGCTTTAAGGAAACCAGGGGCATTCTATGGATAAGGACGCTTTGAATGTTTAAAAATGAGACGCTCCCCTTCTTGGATGCCGGCCAAACTTTAGCACTGTTCCGTCCTCCGGGCACATGGCACAGCTTTGACTTCTGGGACTGACAAACTCGCACATCAATTTGACACTCGGGGTGTCTCACCATCGAGCCGATTGTCAGGATGGTTGCGCTGATGTTCGGCCTCAGAGGAAGCGCTTGAAACATGTCTTCGGAAAACTCAATTGAGCTCCGCGACGAGCAAGTTTGCAGAAGTGAAACGACTTGGCTACTCGCTGAAGGCTGGTTATGACGTGGTGGACACCAGGTTGCAAGAGACCTCGGATTCAGTCTACATAGAGTTCACGATTCATGACTGCATAAGCCCGTGACAATGCACGTATGACCTTGAATGATTCCTGATTTGCCGCCTCGCCCTCATGATTCCGAAAACTGAGCTGCAAGGCTTCTCACTGGTGTGGCTGGCCCTTTCAGAATCAATCCAGGGTGCGTTGGCCTCCGATCTGCACGCCGTGGGAACAATGGAGTATGCTCCGAAGGCTTCTGAGGTCGATGCACCGCAAAAACCTTGACCTTGGCTTGTACACTGTACACAGTGACAGTACAGTGACAGTACAGCACAGCAGCATGCGGCAGCTGCAAAGTCGTTGAGGCCGCTGCTGCACCGTTGGCAAAGCCTACAGCTACCTCAGTCCTGTCAGGATCCAATTGCTCTGCCAAGTACTTCCATGATGGCCATGCATGTGCGATCATGTGTGACACGTCAAACAGCATCAGACACACCCGGCGCTCTTTGACAGCGAGCAGACCGCAGTTGGCCGCCCCTCCGCCAGCCCAGTGTCAGAGGTCAGCTTTGTTGACCACAACTGGCACGCCTCTGCCAGCAGCTTGCGTTTACAATCGTTTACACATATTGGATCATATTGGCTTGGACGCTTCGAAGCTTAGAGGTTTAGAGGCTTAGACTGCGTCTCCTCATCCTCTTGTCGCGTGCCTCACGGGGAATGGTCAGGTCTCGCGGTTCGTAACCTTCCTTCAGCCTGGCAAGTGTGTGGGCAAACGCATGCAAGCTCTGGGAGCTCCGCAGGGCGCTTCTTTTGTTGCTGGGCAAGCTTGTTGCTGCAAGCTCAAGCTCGGCGGCAGCACGCCCTTATCGCCCACATGCAAGAGGCCTCATTGATGCAGATTGTAGGGTTTCGAAGACTGGGCGGAAGTTCGGAAGCGTCTTTGTCACTTGACATGTTGGCTAAGGCCAGAACGGCATCTGCATTGTAGCCGACCGCCAAGAGCTTCCCCGGGACGTTCAGCTCTTCGGTCTTATCCTCGGTGTGAATGATCGGGACGACTTGCAGTGACCCCTGATCCTTTTTAAAATGATGTTGGGATGGCAAATGATGGCAGCCTGGTCATGGAAGCAAATGTCTTCCACCGTGCCCAGGTTTTCAACGAGTCCCAGCATTTTCACCTGCAAGGGGAGCTCCCGAAAATGACCGAGGATCATATTGAATGCTGAGACAACTCGCCTTTGGATCCCGGAGGGAGAACGAGACCATCGCTATCCTTTCATGGCTTTCAAGACACAAAGAGATGAATGTGACGATGTGTGCACAGTGTACGCACTCATAGGAACATAACGCATCGATACGGGGTAGAGATGGTTAGAGGCGATGCATGGCAATTGCCCGCTACAAGCCTTCCCAACCCTGCGCAACTTTCAGTTACTTGGACTGGCATGTCCGGTAGCAGATCCAACATTGAATGCGCGAAGTAAACGTTTCGCATTCCACGGTCGAAGGCCTTTCATTCTCCTGCAGTATTCACCTTTGAGCCACTTTTAAGCCTTGTAAGCAGGTCTGTCGGTGTCGCCGAGCCCAGCGACCGAGGTGAAGTGCAAAATGGTACATTGGATAGCTTCCTTTCTTCAGCATGACGTAGTGCCCAGGCATCAATGCCGCACGTGAAGCCCATCCGGTTTCGCGGCAGTGGTGTGCTAGACCATCGCCCTTTAAACATCGTCAACGGGATTCTAGCTCGCAAAAGCTTGCGTTTGCTTGCTTCGCTCGCTGCGTGATGCTCCATGTTTCTTCCAGTCCAGATTGCGACATGGATGGCCCAGTTTTCTTGCACGATACAACATTGCCAGCACTCCTGCCATCGAAGAGGAGGGCGGCCACTTTGAGTGCTAAGCCGTCCTGCCAAAGGGCAAACAACCCAGCAAACCGAAGAGGCTTGGCAACACATTGAAAACAATGCTGCTTTCGCATCATCCTCGGAGTTGATGCAGCATATCTTGGCGATGCCTACCTCACTGATGCGCTGCGTGTCGATGACCTGAGCTGGCTGCATGCTGCAGAGCAAAGTACGGTTATGAAGCGACGGCGCAGAGACTTGAGAGTAGTACCTGCGCTTCAGACCATCTCTCGCACGACACGGCGTGAATACATCCTCCATCAGTGCCTCAGACAGCCCCAGAAGGTATTAGCAACACAAAGAATGCTGCCTTTGCACAAGGAGCCGAGAGAGCTGCTGGCTAACAGGAACTTCCCTCTGGACTCCACGGTGAGACTTGTCAAAGCCGAGGTGAATCGCAGGACACGGAAACCCTTTGGGTCCTCTCCGCGACACACCTGCAAGCAAAGTGCCACAAAGTACCGCAAACTGTGGCGATAGCATAATGCTGGGAACATTGAAGGTTCTTGCGCTGCCTGCCATAATCGTAAACGACCACCTTCGTCTGCGCTAGCACAGACCTCCAAGAAAATCCAGTGCGAAGCTTCGTGTCGTGTCCAAATTGTCCAAAGTCACCATGACGCTGCCTGCAACCCTGTGCCGATGGGGCAAATGCAGGTGATGGCGTTGGTGTGAAACCACGTCAGCAGCTCCATTTGTCTGCCATGGCAGCGCTTCGTCACTATAAGTGCAAGTGCTCAATGCTCAAAACAAGTCGGTCGCACAATTGATCTGCCCGCACATACATATCATCCTGGCAGCTTTGCTAGGCCTTGCTTGATTGCCGTCCAAATATTGGCAACAGATGCTGTTCAGTCCTCCTCAAACTCCGCTTCGGATTCCGGGTCTTTTCGACTGGCGAAACCCAAAAGCAAGAGGCTGGCACTGCACATCTTCAATTCAACATATTGCACTTCGGTGTTTGGACAAGACGAACGCTGATCAGTGAGTGCAGCTAGTGGCTGGCACTGCCGGCGTCCTTTGATTTTGCTCTGTCGTTCTCCCAAGTTCTCCCACTCCCACGGCTCATGCGAACTCGCTTCGCTCTGATGCCCTGCTGGTAGTTGCATCTGGCGTTGCTTGCTTGCTCAGTTGGGCCTGCTCGAGGCCTTTAAGTGCCCTCTTGTGCATTGCAGGAACGGTTTAGAGGGGGGGGGTTTAAAAGGGGGGGGGTTTAGGGGGGGGTGAGAGGGGGGGGTTTAGAGGGGGGGGGTTTAGAGGGGGGGGGTTTAGAGGGGGGGGGTTTAGAGGGGGGGGGTGTGGACTCTCGTGCGAACGAGAGAGCGCGCGAGCAAATGACGGAGCCAGGGACGGGGACAGCCAGAGAATGCCAGGTGTCAGTCTGCCGGCTGCGCTGCTTGACACAAGTTCGCCGAGCTTGGGAGCTTACCGCTTGTGCTTCAGCATGTGAAGTGTGGGTCATGGCCGAGGCATTTTGCTCCATGAGCGCATTCATGATGGACTCAAGCGTGACGCAAATCATCAGCAAAAATAAGTCTGACGGCGGGACTGCTTGGAGGGCAATTGGATAGTCCAAACTTCACCCTCCGCCGTCGTCAGCACCTGAAAGGTGCTGTGGTCTGACACTTCAGAACATGCCACATGCCACACTCAGTCATACTTTTGACTCTCAGCCCGCAGCTGCATCTTTGAAGTCAGTCGACGCCTGAATTGAGGCCACCTGGCCCAGGTAAGACGAATCAGACACTGTTGCCACCATCCTGTCAACTGCTTAGATCGCAAGCACTTGTTCAAAAGGCTGCAGACGTGTCTGTAGCAAAATCATGAGCAGGAAGACAACAAGAACAGATCAAGGATTGCCTGGCCCAAAAGCCTGTGGCCGAGATTCTGTGATTGGCCGACGCTTTCCAAGTCGGCCACCTGCCAAACTGCTTTGTTTCGCTCACCTGCTGGCTTTGCTCTAAATGACCCATCCCACCTTCCTCAGTTGAAACATGCCGGTGGACAGGGCCATTTTTGGCCTGTCACGTGTACAGAACAAGTATACATGCATACATGTGTACATATGTACATATGTAAATATGGTTCCACTCATCACACTGAAGCTTGGCGGCGTGCGCTGGCGCTACGCCAGAAGCGATGTTTGCAGCTTCTTCGGAACTGCTTCGAAGAAGTGCCTAACAGAGAAATCCGTTGCTTGACTTGCTTCATCGACGGACAATGCCTGACAGAAACACGCCTCTGGTGTCAACTCCCAAAAATTCAGCGTGTTGCCGATGTGAGAAGTGACCAGGTAATCGTGCGTCCTCCGAAACGCTCATGTCGCGAGGGTTGGTGTGCCACGTTCCCACATCTCAACCATTCCCAGCTTACTGAGCCCCCGCACAGTGTGATGCTGGTAATTGGCTGCTCTGCTTGGCAAACGTACCTAAAGTCAGGAAATCTGGCCGACGTTGTGACGAAATGAGTGCAGCTAAGCCAAGATGCTGCAAAGCACCGGAAGCTCCATCCAGCGTGCAAAGCCTGAGCGCAATCTCTCATGAATACCGGAGCAGATCACTCGAAGTACCTGGGGGCCGTGCAGCCCCTGGCGTGTTGCCACAAGGAATTGCCTGCACCGTGCAAACATGTGCAAACCATCCAACATTGGCATGCCTTCGCCGTTTGTGCAACGACTCAGAACTGCTCATACCTACTCATGTCGTGGAAACAGCAGAGCCAAGGTTCCGACCCAGAGTTGGTCCAGCAGTATGCCGAGACGGCCAAGTCAGTGTCCACCGGAATTGACGGCGGCCTATCCGTTCGCGAGCAGAGTGCAAGCCGTGCGGGGCACATCTTGATAAGGCCCCGACTGCAGCTTCACAATGTATGTTTCAAAAGACTTTGTTATGGAAACAATTCGCACAGCAGAGCTGCGAATCAGCGCCACATGGTCCTTCCGGCCACAGGAGGTGACGGTGACACTATGCGTCAACTGCAAGCAAAAGCAGCCTGTCGCATAACTGTCCTTGTGGCCGGGATACACGCAGATTTTGTCAAAGCGCAACGGCAGCTGCAGTTCACAGCCTCAACATCCAGGCAAACAAGCGAGGATGTCCTCAAAAGTGCTCTTTCTCCGCATTTGCAACAACCTGCCGAGGGTGCGACCCTGCAGCGGCCGCCCAGTCAACATTGAATATATCTGCATTTTCTTGGAGGTTGCCCTGCCGCACTCACAGCCCCACACGTACACTCGGAATAACGGTTGAAGCGCCAAACTCAGCGTCAACCCTGCTACATTAAAGACACTCAGACACTAAGACATTAGAGGGCAGGCGAGGTCTGGGGCTGGGCCGGGCATGGGGGGGCCAAATTGGAGAAACGATTGGCCGACGATGGCCCGAAGACTTCTCTATACTTTTATGGTCAGTACTCGCTGCTAGCTGAACATACACAAGCTATAAGCTGAACAAGCTTAGGTCGTGTTCACTGGTACTACTGAGAATTGGGGGGTTGGTGAGTTCTGGCAAGATTTGGTGGGATTTGGAGGGTGCCGGCACAAGAGTCGTATACGAAACTCCAGGGCGTTTTCCCTGGTGGGGATACCAGGTAGGTAGGTAGGGCTCTTTTGACACCAAGCATGTGTAGGCTTGAAACTCTGCAGTCTTGGTGCCTTGACAAGGCATACAAGCGCGAACCACACCGGCTAAACGCCATGTCAGCCAGTTCGAGCTCTGTCAGGTCTGAAATGGTAAACCTGCAGCAATTGGACACTGTACTTGCTTCGCAGCTAATCTTAGTATTGCCAACTTGGGATTGTGCAGAAGCTTCTGCGGCGAACAGGAGTAGACATAAACCTGCATCAGAGTTAATCGCAACATCTGAAATGACCAGCAATTAGTGCCTTGCACTACAGACACTACACCTTTTGGCAGACCTGAGGCTGAGAGCCACCTTCACTGTAGGCAACCTGGCATCACGAGCATGGCATGTCCATGCATCACGCCGCCGGAATGGAAGAACATGGAAGAACGGCTGCCACATGTTGACTTGTTCAATGGGCAAAACGTGCCAGCTACACCAATCCTCGCTCCACATTGGTGCACAGCTTTGTCACAGCATATGCAGTCGTCGGGAACGATGACCTTGATTTGTCTTGAAGCTCAGATCGCTGGCTGCCCGCTGCAGAAAAGCTGTCACTGCCCGCCTCGAGTTTGAATCCAAATTCCATAAATGCACCTCGACACGGCTGCTTCCACCGTACACCGTACACTCCTGCACCGTACAAACCCATGGACCCTCCTTCAAAGATCGGCAATTGAGCTTCGCGCGCTGCTGGCAGCAGCATAGCAAATCGTCCTGTCAACGCTGAGAACAGATTGGCACATATATATATATATATATATAGCGAAGCTAGATTTTCGAGCTCACAGCCTGTTAATCCGCCGAAGGTGTATAGGTTGTGAGAACAGGCACCCCCCCCTCCAAATCCTCCTCCTCGGCCCCCTTTTTTTGCATGGAATTGGGTACTCCCCCCCCCGTAGGCGACCATGATCTGAAAGCGGACAGTTCGCAAGGACCAGGGACAGTCGAAGCCCCGCCCAGCACCCCCTTCCCTCATTTTCCCCTCCTTTTTCTGCCCCCTTTGCACCCCCTGCCCACACCCCCTCCCCCCCCCAACCTGCGGCCCCCCCCCCGCCCCCCCTGCCCTTTTCGCCCCCCTTGCCTTTTGCTTCAGAACCCACACCTCAACTGTGAGCAGTAGGTTACGAATCCTGTCCAAGCCAAACCGTCTAAACCCTGAACCTTGAACCTTGAACTCTGAACCCAAAAACCCTAAACCCAAACCATAAACCTTGAGCCCTAAGCCCTCAACCCTAAACTACCCCTCAACCCTCAACCCTAAACCATAAACCCGGAACCCTAAACCCTAAACCCTAAACCCTAAACCCTAAATAACCCTAAACCCTAAACCCTAAACCCAACCCTTACTGCTTGGGGTCCAGCGAATTGGACGCTGCGGAATCACCATGCTCACGCGGATGCGCTGAGCCGGGCCGAGGCGGGTCGCTTAGCGTTGAAATTACACACAAAAGGGTGTGCAAAGAGTGATAAACGAGTGGTGTGTGTCAAGAAACCTGTCGCTGGATGCTGGCCTTGGAGCCACATAATTGATTGGCGCGCTCAGGGCCACATTTGTGGTATGCAGGTCTACCTTACAAGCTCGGCAAGCAAGAGCCATCGAGGCAGCCATCAAGTCAGCCACAAGAGCTGTTTGTGCAGGGCTGAAGGCACGGCTTTACTTGCTTCTGGCTGCTTCTTTGGCGGCGGCATCCTGCAGCTGATCGTTCAGACATCTGCGACACTAAGCGGCTTTCAACGACACAAGCCGAAGGCGAATAGCGCGCGCTTTTTTCGGACAACGCAGCTGACAAGACCAGCATGCCAAGCAACGCCAAAATGCCAAATGCCCGAGCCACGCCGTCCACGTCCCAGCGGCAACTGTTCTCTTCGGGACCCACAAACCCAAGAAGCCAGGGGCGAAGATTTCGAAAGATAACAGAGCAATAGAAGATGGGACCGCTGGCCAATTTACAGAGTGGGTCACACAGTGAATCAAACACATCTTACCCCAGGAGCTTCCTTCGTCTTGACAAATCGGCTCTTTGCTCTTCCCTGCTCTCCCGCTGTCATCAACTCAAGATTGCAAGTTTCTCTTGCGAACTTTCCGAGATTTGCCAGGTGCGCTGCAGTCTACCACAGACATACAGACATAGCAACAAAAAGCAGACAAAGGAGGAGGTCCAGCTCTGAGGCCCGGGCAGTTGGCTGCGCCAGAAGCGCAGTGCTAGAGGTGATCGACCTGGCACCACCGCGCAGAGCTCAGATGGTCTTTGGATGTCTTTGGCCATGTGATTTTGGCCGTAACTCAAACTTGGCACCCTGCCTCCGGTGTCATGGACAATGGGCTCTTGAGGAAAAAACGTCGCTTGAGCGTCAAAGTGAACGAATTACAATCGCGTGTGTGCAAGTCAAGCTGCCCCTAAAAGGTGTCCAAAGGTGTCCAGTATGGCTCTCGCGGTTGTGCCCAAGGCTCCCCGGCTACGGCGCGACAAACGCCGCTTACATACGAACCAAAACAGGCAGACTGGAAGCGAGTGCATGTGTTGCGACGAAGCGCGAACGCGCTCGGGTATTCCAGTCCGCCGAAAGTCGGGGCCGGCGCCGGGGGCGCATTCTGCACCCGCCCGGCCGTCGACTGGCGGCTGGTACCCTATTGGGTTGGAAGTGGGTGGGTAAATCGAAAGCGGCGCGTTTGAGCAGTCGTCGGCTCCGGCGGACGACGCTCAGTTTGTCCCTACACACACACAAGTGTGTTACACGACAAATGCCGCTTACATACAACCAAAACAGGCAGACTGGAAGCGAGTGCATGTGTTGCAACGAAGCGCGAACGCGCTCGGGTATTCCAGTCCGCCGAAAGTCGGGGCCGGCGCCGGGGGCGCATTCTGCACCCGCCCGGCGCCCCCTGCCCCCCATCACCGGCACTCAGCAAGAACTCCTGGGACACCCTCACAAGGTCGTCGCCGGCGGCGTCCGTAGCGTACTCGATGTCGCCGGCCGCGTTGGCGAGGACGGCGAGGATGGCGTCGACGGGGAGGCCGATCCAGGTCCAGCCCATCTCCATCGCCTGCGAGAGGTCGTCGCGGGAGACGGCATCGGAGATGTTGGCCTTGGACGGGACCCGCCGAAAGTCGGGGCACCAGCTGTACCTCGCCGCAGTCGCCCAAAACGACGAAAGGAGGCCGTTGACGGCTGGGTCCTTCCCGTACCCTTTGAGCAGGGCACACTGGCCGGCGACGTTGTCGATGTACGCCAGCCAGTACTGCGGGAGGCGCGCGCCGAAGGCCAGCAGGGGAGGAGCTGCGCGACCGCTTCGGTCGTCTCTGGTCAGTCGGTAGCGGCCGCCCGGGCGCTTGCCATAGCAGTAGAAGCAGACATGGACGAAGTGGCACTTGTCACCCTTCTTGCATCCTTGCTTGGCGTTGTAGCGGTAACAAATGGGCTTGCCTTCTGGAGCGCGGCTAGCGGCCTGGCCCTTGTCACCCTTGCCTTTCTTGCCCTTATCCTTGCCCTTCGGCGTCTTCTTCTTTAGCTCCTCTACCTCCCATGGTTCGGGGGAGCCCAAGGGCCTTTTCGCATGCAGCGCCAAGGGCGTGGTGAAGTTTCGCTCCTTCACCGATGGCTCCTTGTATGCTCGGACTAGCGCTGCACCAAAGGGCAGGGAGGCGGCAGCCATCAACTTGTAGGCATGCTTGCGAATGGCGTGCTCGTAGCTCAAGACCAGAGTCCATGGTGGGATGTAGCCTCCTTGCTCCGCACGCAGGCCATAGACGTACTCGCCCAGCAAGTACTCTTTGTAGCGCTCAAAGACGGTCATGGTTACGTCCCCTAGCTCCGTTCTCCCCGGGCGCTTGAGCTTTATCATGATGAGGGTGTTCTGGAGGACTGTCAGGCGAAGACGTAGCTGTTCGGGCCCGGTAGGCATGGACGTTGTGTTGACCCGCCCTTTTTTATCGAAAGGGTGCCCTTCGCATCCCAGGCTGGGATTAGCACTTCCGGGTCAACCTCGTCTCTGCTTATCACTTCCGTGAGCGGCTCTGCCCGGAACTCGCCTGTCTCAAGCTCATGGAGTTTCTTCTCGATGAACTCCTTAGCCGGGACGCGCTTATCCTCCAACTCACCAAACTGGGCCGTGAAGGCGTTGCGCATCGCGAGGTAGTCTGACTGTGGAATGGGTTTAGCTCTTTCCCAAACCTCGTGGGTAGCCTCTGCTTCTGCTTGGTTCTTAAGCCGGGTTCTAGCTGCCTGCCCAGCCACGACGAAGCTGGCTGCCTGTCCCCTTTCACGTAGCCCTGCTGTGCGGTCGATGGCAAAGCTATCCTTGACCACTCGCTTCAGGTCGTCTACGTCGGTGGCACAAGCTGCAAACTTAGCTACCGTATCAATGCCAGCCTCGAACAGGTCCCCCTGGTGGGTATCATCCACCTTGTGGGTTGATAGCAGAAACTTCAAGTCAGAGGCTCCCTTGGCTAGCTTCTCTGCTAGCGTTGCAGCCATGCGTCCCTAGCTACCCCGGAGGTTCGAAACTCAAGCTAGCTGGGCTCTGAGACGCAGAGGCGAAACGGCCCTTTCGCTGGCTCTATCGAGCTCTCTCTCTATCTCTCGTCTCTTGTACCGGGTCGGGGAGGCGTAACGGCGTGGACGGCAGACCCCCACACACCCCCCCGTAGCCTTGGGCCTGGGGCAAGAGTTGTGAGGTCTGAAGTCCCCGCTTACGCACCGGGGGAGGAGAACCTAGCAGACGAGAGGGGAGGCGGTAGCTGCAACCAACTGAGGCACTGTGTAGCTGTTGTGGTGTGCTTTATCTCTTTTTAGCGCCCTAGCTCCTCCGCTAGGTATCATGGCTAGCTCCCAGCCAAGATAGCAAAGGCTTACGCTCTGCGACGGGCTGGCCCCTCCGCCCCCAAATGCTATCCTGGTAGCCGCTAGTCCCTCCTATCACGCTCCCTCTTGCACTCTGTGCAGAGGTGCTTCTGGGTGGCGGTCTAGCAGATACCACATTCTCCTGTTGCAGACGGGTATCTCACAGCCCCTCCTAGCCTCACTGCTAGCGTCCACGAAGATCGGCGGCTCCAGCGCCCTGGCTAGCGCCTTCTAGCTCGCAGACAAGATGGTAGTCGTTCTGGCCCTACTGTGTTTCCTGAGCTTGCGGGGCCCTTGTGGGTAGCCTGGCTGGCGGGCAGCGCCGTAGCTGACCCGAGCGGCCATAGCCCCCGCTCGCTATAGTCTCAGGTTTGCTCCACCATAGGGCCCACCGGACCTAGCGCAAAGCCTTCTCCCTTCTGGAGGTGGGTGCAGGAGCTCCACTAGCCAGCCCTTCTGGTAGCACTCCAGGGGGGAGCTGCCGGCTCTATCCTGGCGGACCGTGCTGTTGCCTAGCAATATCTGGTCCCACGTGGTCCCACGATATCCGGCATAGCTAGGTGGCCGGGGAGCCCGCATCCTGCTTCAGACTGGCTAGCTTCCGGCTGCTTGAGTGGCGGGCAGGCGCCGCCCCTAGCCTGGAAGGTAGCCCGTTCCAACGAGGCCCTTCTCACGCTAGCCACCGGTTCCACACCGGTGTCATAGCCGACTCCACCGGCGGCGTTGCGGACGAAGAGCTAGCTGCCTGCGTGGCTTCCTTCCGGATAGCCTCCAAATCCGCTAGCTTGGTCTGCGTAGCCGGCCGGAGGAAGTAGTCGGCAGGGGTGCTCACCTCCCTCTTAGCTGCGCTCAGCTTGTTAGCTGAGGAGGACCTATCTCGGGCCTTGTTGGGACTGCGCCCTCTAGCCCTTGGACGGCTGGATCGGCTTTAGCTAGTCATCCCCCACCGGCTTGCCCTTCATGCCCGCATCCATGGTGGTAGCAGTGGGCGTTGCGGTGGTCGATGACGTAGCCTCAGTAGCAGTAGCCATTGCACTGCCGGCCTGGCTATCCCCGGCGGCTGTGGCAGCCATTGGCTCCTCTTCTCCTTCCGCCGCAGGGGCCTTCATGAGGGCCTGTGCTAGCAACGTTGCTAGCTCACCCCGGGTCTCTTCCTTCATAGCTTCCAGCGCCTCGCCGAACTCTAGCGCTCCCACGGGAGTGCTTAGCATCTTCTCGATGGCGGCGACTCGCTGCGACGCGGAAAGGTTGGACATAGCTGGATAGCTACAGGGTAGGCCGTTGGAAGTACACTAGCGGAGGGCCACGAATCGCTGCTGGGTCGGTCTGCCTAGCTTGTAGTAGGGCACTAGCCCCAAGTTTCAATCGCCTTTCCTAGCAGTGAACGACAGCACTGACCTAGCACCAGCCGCACGGCCAGCACTGCACTTCCTGCCGGACCCCGTAGGGTAGCGCGTAAGAGAAGGTGGCCGAACCAACCGCCAGCCTGAACCTTAGCCTGGGCGTGTTTCCCACCGATTATGGGGCCTACCCTGGGGGGGGTCCGCAGGGCAGTAGCAAACAACAAATGCAAACGACTGCTGCGTTGTCTGCTGTGTCTCTCTGTCTCTTGTATCTTTCTGGGCTAGCTTCCTCTAGCCGAAAAGCACCCCCCACAAATGGATGCCTAGCAACTACCCCCCCCCCCATATCCCGGCCACATATCCTGCGGCCCCAGGAAGGGGTGCAAACGGAGGCCCTGGTTAGCACCGAAGCAAGGCAACTGGCCTTCTACTGCTTGCGCTATCGGGACAAGGCTTCCGGCCTCAGGCACGGTAGCGTCTAGTTCCGCCCCTGCCGCAGTCTGTAGCTCCACCCCCTCGTCTCCCGAGTGGGCTAGCGACGCTTCACTAACCTCTTCAACACTAGCCTCAGACTCGGCATCTGGCCAGCACAGCTTACATACATGAGTGTATTCATAGCTGGGTGGCCTAGTATCAAAATCTCGGGAGCTTCTAAACTCCCTTCTCCTCCCCATCCAGCAGCCTTTAGCATCTGCCCGGCGGAGGCGATATCTCGAGCCGGGAAGCTCCACGATCACACACTTGGTCCCTTCCCGCTCCGGCCCTCTCGCTCTTTTAGCTGGGCCTGGGACTTCTGCTCCATCGTCCTCACTCTCAACTGGTGGGACGGGTGCAGCATCCTCTACTATCTCTGGAGGTATACAGGCTAAGTTCGCTGTCGTGGCCAGATCCAGCACACACTACGACAGGACACGCTACGAGGACCTGGATGAGCGGGAAATTGGCGCGGCACTGAAAGCATGGCTGCAGACCAGGGCGCGGGCTACGGTCGTCCAGGCAGAGGAGCTGGTAACCGAGCTAACGCGGCAGTGGAAACTGGAGTACTTGGCGAGGCGGCGGCGCCTTCTGGTAGGGCCTGTCGGATGTGGCGGAAGGCGCCGGGGCGCTGGCCTCCCCCCCAATCGCCGTGTCCGAAAACATCGTCGCCATTTTCTGGGCGACGCGGTCGGCGTAGGCGTCGGGGTTGGGCGTCCTGTAGAGGCTGACGGCGGGAGGCGCGTCGGGCCTACAGCCCACAACCGCCGGCCCATCTGGGCGTAGCGGTACGACAACCAGTCGGCGCCGTCGGTGAAGCCGGAGTCCGCCGCGATCTGGGCCTCGACCTCCGAGGAAAAACCCGCCGAGTGCCACGCCGGTTGCCGCCCAACCCGGGCTGGGTTCGCCGACGTGGACATGGCCGGCGTTGGCAAGACCTCCGCCGGGGGGGTCTTGGTGATGAGCTTGGCCGGCCTTGACGGGCACGGGCTGGGCCTTGGTGTCGAGGAGGGGGTTGCGGATGCGCGCCTCCACGTCGTCATCGTCGCGGTCCTCTGGCATGGGCTCCGTCAAGCCACCTGCCATGGCCAGGCCCGGATTGGGCACCCCTCGGGCGCCGGCGGTTGGTCGACGGATGACGCCGATGAAGACGGCGGCGGGCCAGGCTCCACATTTACCTCGGGGCGACGGGAATCGTGTCTTCGAGGGTGTCCAGGTGGCCGAGGTAGTCCTGGTCCGCCGGTGGCGCCGTCTCCTCCGGGACGTCGTTGATCGGGCCGGAGACGTCGAGGTCCTCGCAGGTACTCTCTGCGCCGCTGGTACGCCGGATGCCGCCCCAGGTTGGTCAGTCCTGACCGCCGAGTCGAGAGCGAGCGACGTGAAGAGGCGGTTCGGCGGCAGGATGTGGTCGAAGCGGGCGTCGGCCAAGAGCGTGGCGTGCGCCGCGACCAACCTCTCCCTCACCGGCATAGGAATCGCCGCGACGAGGGTAAGGGCGGCATCCGGCGACGAGGTCGCCAGGGTGAGGGCGGTGATCAGCTCGTCGATGGTGAAGCCGGACATGGCGTCGGGATCACGGAATGAGAGCTAAATCGAAAGCGGTGCGTTTGAGCAGTCGTCGGCTCCGGCGGACGACGCTCAGTTTGTCCCTACACACACAAGTGTGTTACACTACAAATGCGAGTAAATCATGATTGGCCTTGCCATACTCAGCCGGTACAAGATGAAAGCTCCCGCTGTTCTTGGCCGCCACCCAGTTATGTTCGGGAGGGCGAGATGGCTGGGCGCGGTCTGATCAACCGCATCTTTCCTTGCCAATACCTCCTTGCCTCTACGATTAGTTGCTAGTGGTCAGCTACCTGGATTGAGCCGCTGGAGGCTATAGGCCTACAGGCCTTTCCGAGCGTTCTGACTGCAACTACCTGTAGGTGTGTGCAATCCCGTGCTCGATTGTCGATTGCGCACTCCTTCAACAATATTCTCAGTATTGTGAGCATGATCAACATCACTACGATACCACCATCATCACCATCATCACCATCATGACCATCATGACCATCATGACCATCATGACCATCATGACCATCATGACCATCACCTGTGTCTGGGTTTACCTGTTTCCCACATTGCTATGACAGGAGAGCACATAGACGCATGTTTTTTGCGATGCTCAGTCTCGCCGAGCCATATCCGCCGCCCAACCTTAGCTCGGACGTTCTGCAATTCAATATAGACATGATATATAAGATCTCCGTCTGATGAATTTCACAGGCTGCAACTGAAATATCCGGAAGTGGAAGGCAACTCCAACGAGATGGACTTCTTGGCGCAGTGCTTGGAATAAGCTGCTGCTTCTCGCTCGCCGTAAGCCACCACAGCTCGTCCTGCCCACGCATGTGGTGCCTAACTGAGCAGCAGAGTGTCAGTGTGTGCCGGATGCCGGGTCCTCACGGAAGTCGAACAACATCTTGCACTGCCTTGATGCACCCATTCCCCAGCGGGCCAGTCGGCCATGCTAATTTTCTTGTTGCAGCCAAAGCACTCCTTCTTTTCAGCTGATCTCAGCCTCCGCTTGCGACTGGAACAAGCTGCAACGATCTGTGTCAGTCTGGCCCTTTCACGCAAAGCACCGACTGTCGTTCACGGAGTTCGCTCGTTCATGCTACCGAGAAGCTCAGAAAAGAAGGGATGCAGCAGGACATGAAGTGGCCTGGCTGCAAGCTGATGCGCCACGGACCCAGGGTAAGTAAGACAAACCGCTCCAAGAGCCGTTGGCTTGCACGTGTGCCCTGAAAAATGTTGCTCTGCTCTGCACCACACGTTGTCAAACAAGAGAGCCAGGTGAACGGAGAGCGGGCAGCCTCGCTTCAATTTCCACGAAGCACACGAAAATCAACGGAATCTCCGGCTGAGGACATGACCGGATCATACGTGAGCATCAGGGCCACCTGGCCAAGAATCTGTCAACAGAAAACATGAGTTGGAGAGCCCAGAACTAAGTCGAACAGAAAAACATAACACAAACCTGAATGCTAAAATGCTCAACCAAACAATGTAACAATGAGACAAGACTAATAAACCACTTGTGGACTGGGGCCTGGGGCCTCTCCTCTGACTCAAACCTCTGATGTCCTCTGATAATTCTGATATCGATGCGTTTCTTGACTGGACATGACTGGACCCCCTGCATTTCCTGGATCCGCGCGAGCCGGTTACCGACACGCCCAGAGCTCCAGCTTTTAAGGGCAAGGCCAGGCACTGAGGATCCTGCCAGGTCACAGGCATGCACTGGAGCCCAGCCGCGCAGCACCTCACAAGGGCAGTGTCAGAACTCTGCTGATCGCTGCAGCTCAACTAACACGAACAAACACGCATGCGACGTGACAGCAGCCTTCTCCCAGGGGTGTGGAGTTATCCTGAACAGAGGAAGAGAATCAGCTCTACAACGAGCTGGGCCATGGTGTCAGGTTCAGTCTTGTTCATGGGAAAACAGAGCAACGCGGCATGAATGCAGCTGCAGTGGCGAAGGCGTGAACTCATACTCGGGATAGTTGGGGTTCATTGCGCCTCGGCACACAAAACAATACAGCAGATGCAGAATGGGCGATGAGAACGATTCACAGCTCTAGCCTCAATATGCCTCAATGGTCGCGGCCGCTATACTGGAAAGTGTCTGCCCATAATCGGGTTGAAGAAGCTGTCTGGGGATCAGACACTACTTATATGGTTCGGAATGAATCATGAACTGCGAGCTTCACTTAGGTCTAAGTGATGGCTCAGTGATGGCTTACTTGGACTTGATTGCTAAAGTCAGGAGATGATGCGATCTTTCCTCAAGTTTAGCTTTACCTGTACCTGGCAGTCCGCGGTAGTCTGCACTCCAGGAAATAATTAAATTTCCTGCAGTAAGGTGGCGGCGCAGCTGCTGTGTGGATGGAGTGCCTAGAACCTTGATGATCTGCACCTGCCAACATCTTAAGTTGAACTTGCTGGTCGATGGTATCAAAAGCACAATGGCGTCTTAAGGGGTCAGAGGTGGGCACGAGCTGATCGATGCCATCTTTACCAGTGAACAGCGGTTGGCCCAGGATCAGCTCTGCAAACACCTGCAGCGTTGCTAGCTGCGTGACATTGCTGTAAGGTTGAGAGCTCTGATCCAAGGCGGCGACGCAGCCTGCAGACCACAGGTCGACGCTTGTGGTGAAGCTGGTGACCTTGAAAGGTAAAAGGACTCGGAGCCATGGTCTTACAGCGGGAGGAGCTTCTTGATTGACCTTGCACTTGCGTTTTGTTGCTCAATGTGTTTGGGTCGTTTTCTTTTGCAATAGGAAAAACCTCGACTGCTGTATATCTCATAGTAAACTTAGTAAACTCCTCGAAGCAAAATCCCCAAATTTCCTCAGATTTGACAGACTTGCTTTGCAAATCATCTTTTCGTCCCTACTTGCACAAGTCTGGATCGTGATGCCTTCATTGCGATCATTGCGAGGGAGACTTTCAATGGTGGAATTGGAGAAATTACCTGACTTGCTCCACTTTGCCTCACCTGCCGCAATGGAAGCCTGCATCGTGACACCCTGTCTGTGAGGGAGACTTGTATCCATGGGGGAGGGGGGAGGTCAAGCGGGGCAAGTGTGGCAAATTCAACGATAATAAAGGAATTTGTTTCATCAATTTTCAGCAGTAGTAGTAATGCCGGCAGTAACAGGAAAGAGTAAATGACTGGAACAAAAAGTAACGGTAGTGGCCGTCCTCACTGATTTCACTGACCAGCGGAGCTCACTTGAGAGCAAGGTGAACGAAAGCTATTGGTAGGGCCCCGAGGTGGCAAGCGGCTGCGTCTCTACGGCTGTGTCTCTACGGCTTGGCACAAACAGCAACAGCAGCACTTGTTCACTTACACGGTCGTCTAGCCATGACAGATGACTCAGAATGATGCATTCCTCAAGGTTGATTTGCAGCTGCCGCACATGACGGGCGACTCGCAACGAGGCAATTCTTCAAGATTGATTTGCAGATTTGATCAGCTAGCCTGACATGGGTTTTCACTTCTTTCGGAAATTCGGGAGCAGCATGTTGCGGAAAGCTGCAGGTCCTGGAGGGGAGTTCCAAGTGGAGGAGGGCCCCCCACCCCACCCCCCCCGGATCCCCCCCCCCACCCTCACCTTAGCCCACACCGCGAACAGGGCCTCTACCTTGCTAACTCAGGCCAGAGGTGGGGGGCCCTTGCGACCTTAAGTCCCTGAAAAAAAGGGCAAAGATCACCCCAAGTCCTGTTTGGCTCGAGAACAAGGCTTCAAACAAGAACTCCTGCAAGCTCCAAGAAGAGCTAGCTTTCGTGATTACAAGACCCAGTGAAGCAGAGACGAACCTTACGATTTTGTCAGGAGCGAGCTCTCATGTTTCACACAGGTTTTCACAATCTTCACGGGTGTTCACAAGTTTCACACATCTACATTTCACAGGTCTTTACAGACTCCCACAGAAGGAAACTTTTCGGTTGACATTTAGAATAAATCGAACTTGGCAGCTCTAAACTTAGAGGAAACAGCGGCTTGGCCATCCTGTGTAGGAGATGGCGGTTCTCGTCTAAAACTCTGGAGGCAATAGGGAATTCCTACATGTAGGTGGCTCTGGCCTCAAGAGATTTCAGCTATCCTGCAAATGCATCACGGTCAATCCCATTGTGTTTGCCATCTGCTGACTCCTTGCCTGAAGCCTTAAGCTCCACACTCCCAAGATTAACTCGGGCGCACGGTAGTACCGTGACACCATGTACGATCGCTGCCTCAGTAGGCGGTGTACCTTTTTCCCGTTGCGAGAAAGCTCGACAAGGCTGCAACTTACACGAGAAAGAAGCAAGGCAGGTGCGGTTCTCCGAAGATCATGCGCTTGGCGGTGCCGAAATCGCAGATCTTGAGGGTATGCGACTTGCCATCCAGCAGCAGATTCTGCCTTATCAAGGCGTAAAATCATTCTCCAAGACATTCCAGGAGCACTCCAGAAATCTCTATAGAACCACTCAACAGTCCAAGGCACAAGAACACTCAAAGAGCATGCGCACGGGACCGCGGCGAGGGCGCCGTTACTGGTTACCGTTTGCAACACTGCGACATGCGAATCCATGCGAATCCCCTTTTGCCTGTACACGCACGGAGCGAAACAGCGCAACGTCCAACAGCCCAAAACGCTCTTCTCGGATCTTCTCCGGAGGTCCCACGAACTCCACACGCATGACGTTGGAACCCCATAGCGTTACAATTGCGAAAAGTGAACACAAGCCAACTCAACATGTCGTTGGCTTCCGACGGCTTCAAGTCGCAGTGGGCAATGCCACGGCCATGGATGAAAGCCAGGCCTGCCACAAAGCAAACATTTGGCAAAAGCATTATTTTCAGGACATTGTCACAGGTTCTTTCCTCATCGTCGACCATTCCGTTGATAGATCTGGTTGAGGCTAGTTTGTGCTTGGTGCTTGAGTTGGTCCCCGGAATGCAAAACCGCTGCGAGATGTCCAAGGAGGTCTGGGAGCGCACTGGGAAATTGGTGCCGTGTGTACTTCGGCTTCCTTGTTGCTGCACTTGCTATCGTGACTGCTGATCCTACAAAAGTGCTGTCATACCTTTGCTGCTCATGTGCTGATACTGCTGTCTGCGTGGAAGCGATGCTTGTCAGCTTGTTGCCTTGCTGCGGCTTGCATGTCAAAGGTACTTCCAGTTCACGGGCCCTGCGCCCAACATCAGCACCGTCCACTTTGCTTCTTTCTTGGGGGATGGTCATGAGAAGTGCATCGAGCCTCGCATGAGCTGAAACTGATACAGCTTGACGTAGAAGGCCTCCTCAGCTCAGGTTTCTTCACCCGTGGCAAGATGACGCTCGGCATAGACCACAAACCTTTTCCCAAGTCTTCCTGCCATGCCTACTGTGAAGCCGGCCATCTTGCTGTTTGTCTGGTTGTAGTGCTTGATCACCTGTATGCAGCACTTGCTTGTCACTTCCTCTGCCTTGGACGACATCTGCCATAGTTACCCCATTACAACTGCCCAAGTGCGACTCAAAAGCATTGGGTCGCCCACTCGGTGCAAGGTATCAGATAGGTATTCCAGCACCAAGTTTAGCCTGCGCATTTGTGACATCAATGTGACGCCAATCAATGTTTTGTTCGCAGGTGTGGCCTAGTGCCGCTCTGTCCATTGGAGGAGGTGCCCTCATCGCTCAGAAAAGCGCCATGCCTGGGCACTCGGTATGGGGTGTTGGACAGCGCAGCACCAAGCAACGGGATCGTGCTGAGGGAGCCGGCAGAGTCACGATGTTCGGGTGCCCGTCCAGCTCCTTGAGAATCTGGACCTGTTTGACCATTTGAGCAGAATTCGATATTGGTACCGCCAAAACCTTCTCAAAAACTGGGCAGAGGAGACCTCCCGATCTTTTTCTTGCATTCGGATCGACTTGATGGCCACCTGGCAGCTGCATGCACGTGGGCGTGTCCAAACAGGCTTGGTTCTCTACATTTGGCGACATTGCTGCTTTCAGGCCAGGTGGCCGTCTCACCGGTTTCCAGAACCTGCGCCTGCTTTTCTCAGTGGATGTCCAAAGGCTGAAGCATGTCGTCTACAGCAAGACGGCGTTTATGAAGCAGCGACACTTCGCTGTGCCACTCTGCCTGGTACACTACGCCAAAGGATCCTTTGCCCAGAACTCGTTGCTCAGTGTATGTCCTCATCCTGAAGCACACACACGCCTCACCACTCGAAGATGTTACAATGTGCTTGAGGTCAGCACTGTAGCTCTGGTGGCTCCTGTTGCGGTACTGCAAGGCTACGCAAGGCTCCAACATGCGCCTTCAAGCAAAGGATAGGAAAGGACCAGCGGTGCACACTCCAATGATCGTTGATTTGTTGTTTACTCTGGTGCCAACTTCGCAAAACAGACAGTATCAACGTCGGCATGCAGTTACGATAGCACTTGCCACGACATGGCAGGTACCACAACGGAGAACTACCAAACCACTACAAGAACCAAGAGTGCTGCAGCACGCCGGCAGCGATCAGTAGCAAAATGCCCGTCAAGAGGCATGTCGCTCACATGTTCTGCAACTAGCCTTATCGCTTTTGCATTTCGCGTTATCGCAGGCCAGCTAAATCAAGCATGGCCCCTATACCACGAACGTTATCGCTTTCCACATCATGCACAGTTACTATTTCCCTACGACTTCCCTAGATCCTCCCCACAAGCGTTCCTGTTCGGAGTCTATTGCCTGTCGCTCAGTTGATAATCCTCCACCACCCCCACCACGCCCCCAAGCGTTCAATTGACTCAACAAATTCCCCAACCTGAAGGCAGCGCTGTTCTCTCTGCCAATTGCTGCATGCAGAATTCGGCATCATCGTGGCATCATGTCGCAAAAACTTGCGTGCTCTCTCAAACACTTGGAGACCATGGCGGTCCTCATCGGCCTTCCGTTTGCGCGAAGCCTCCGGCGCAGCAGAGGCCGCATGTCTACAATCGTTACAATCTCTACAGCTGGAAGGGACCCCAAAATAGAAACCCTAAACCCTAAACCCTAGACCAGGCTCAGCGGTCCCAAGCCCCCTGCCATGGCTTTTGCGCGTGGCTGTGGTTCACTTGGCTAATCGTGGGGGGCCATCAGGTCATCCGCATTCGGAGACATCAAAGGTTGCACCATGCTCGAGTACGTTGATATTGATGACGACAAAACTAGGATCAGTAGGATCTAGAAGTTTTCGGCTGGCATGGTTGCGTTCGTGAAGTCCCTACTTTAGCTTTTATTTGGGGCTCTTCATGGCAGTTGAATGCTGCGGGCTGACATGCTGAGCCCTATGACTTAGAGCAGTGCGAAAGTCCACTCCAATTACTTAATTGCAGTCTGGTGACGGAACTCATGCTGGACTGCTCTTACTATAGCACCTTTCACACGAGCCCTGCGCAGATCTGCCCAGTTTTGCATGTCAAAGCGAGTCTGGCGTATCTTTGGCTTGGACTCTGCATGCCATGCCAAGTACGAACAGTCTGTATGAGGTTGCGCAACCTCTGGTCAAGAAGTCGTCCAAGACTCGAAAACTTCTCCGACAGCAGCTATCCATCAGCAGCACTAGCTGATCCCAGCGTAAGTGAGGCTGTTCCACGCTTCGCCGGCTAGACATATCACGTCATTCCGCATGGGGATGCGCTGATCCTGGATGCAGCAAGAGCAGGATAACTCCTTGACGGTTGATGCAAGCTTCCCGATTCTCCTGGCTCCCTTTATTACCTACGCCGCTGCTCCACCTTCTTGCCTGCTTGGCAAAGCGTTTGAAGAAGGGACTCTTACTTCTATAGTCTTCTACGTAAACAGTTTTGAACCTGGCTCTAGAAGCAGAACTCCTTTCAGTACCATCTTCGACAGTTGAGATACTAGCGCTGTGAACATGATGGAGCACGCCCTTCCACTTGCAACCTTACACTGATACTGGCAACCCCTGTCGTGCCTGAGAAAGAACCTTGTCCTGCGTTGCGGAGGAGCACCTTACAAGAAGAGGGACAGCAACCTGGAATGGGGCAGACGTGTGGTGCTACACCGAGAAGCCGACCAGCAAGATCACCTTTATCAGCAAACCGCACAAGAGCAGGTTCACCTGACATGGAATTGTGCAAGGATTAGACGTGTTTCTCAAATCCTGCTTGCGCACACGGCACCAAGCTCCAGGCTCAATTAGTACCGGAGCTGAAAGCAGACGTGGGGCCGCTAATAAAGTCATATCCAAAATCGGCCATAGCCGGTGTTAAATCATTTTCATTTCATACTCAGCTATATAGAGCATACATCTGATTATCATGTGTCATGGATGCGTGGGCTTCCATCGTGCGCGAAAGGCCGGGGGCTCTGCTGACCCTGCAATGTCATCGGATGTGACAGAAAGAACCTGATGCGGCCATGTAGCAGTCAATGCCTGAAAGCCACACAGATGTCTCAGGTTGTGGCCCATCCAAAGAGGAGTGTTCCGCAGGAGCTGCCGAGAGTAAACATAGTCATGATGTTCGCCTGGGGCTTGTGGACAGCAACAAAGCCAGCATTGGTAAAAGCTCTGTCCAGCATGTTCACCCTACCGGCATCAGGCAAGCTGCGATGAAACGGCCCCGCTCATTTTGCTGCAGCCGCTCTTGAGAAATTGAGTTGAAGTACGTGGTGACCTCAATTACACGACAACCAGATTGGACAACACAGTACGCAGCATGACTGTCCCAAGGAGTAGACTATGTTGTTGACGGAGATGGTGAGAACCCACGCGCTTACCTAGACAGCGTTGCAGGAAAATCGTGAGGAAGTGAATGCAGCGTTCATGTGCCGGAAAATGCATCGAAGTTATTGAAGCAAATATCCGCTAAATGTCGTTTTCTGCGCATCGCTTTGCAGTTCGACCAGGCAGCCGGCGAGGTTGAAAACCAGAAGGCCTGAACCCAGTCTTCCACTCAAAGACCTGTAAGTCGTTGCGCCAGGCGCGAGTAGCATGCAAGAAGCGCTGACGGATTGACGGTGTCGCTTTGCTAGGCTCAGCTGTGTGTCCAACACGATCGCCGCCAGGAGAGCCATTGTGGCAACCTGTCCAGCGACACCGAAGTTGATGCCGACCTGAAGGCTCATGAAGCAAATTTGACGAAAGCAGTCCACTGGAACCGGAGACAAGTGTCGTCGAGTTTCATCTTGGCACCGCACCCACAGTCGACACGATTTGTGGCTGGCAGAGTAGGACTCCAGCAGGAAAATCCTGGTAGGCTATGTACTTTTGCTGCTGTGACCCAAAACAGGGCATGTTGCTGCTTACTGAAAACATTAAGTGGCCAGCATAACATTGGAAAGGAAAGGACCTACCTGCAGCAAGCAGGATACCACAGCGATGATCGGAATGCCTTCTGCTGAGTCCCTGGCGACTCCGCCCAGAGACACTAACGCGCTGTAGTTTCTCCACATGTCTTTCCTGGCTGGATGCTATGCCACGTGCAAAGTCTGAGTCGAGAAAGGAAGGCGAAAATGAACGATGAAGTGACTCCTCGTCAGAGAATGGTTTCCGTCAACATACAGGATCCCCTCCCTCCCGACAGATGCCCCTGACATTTCCGGACATGCCAAAACAAGCAACGTCGCCACTGATTCAACTACGTCAAGCTTTCGGTGCCGACAGGAAAAGGATTCAACCTGTGCGGGGATGACTTTTTGATGTCCAGCAAGCTCATGGATCTTTGAAGCAAGCCATCCACAACCTTGGTGTAGCTGCGGTTGCTGGTTGTATGTCTCAGGTCTTCTGCGGCACGGGCTGAGTCTTCCAGCCCGGCTTCGGCTACCCTGGCACGTGCTCTCAGCCGTCGTACTCGCGAAACTCATGCGCTTCAGGCAATTTAGCCAAGCTTCCTCTTGAAAAGAACTGGGAAATGCACTGAGTTGAGCGGGTACAGGAAGACCTGACCGTCTGACCGTGACGCAGACTCACCAGCAGATTTGTGACAGATCGGAGCAAAGCAAAGATACCGAAACTGCTTCCTCTCTCTTTCCTTCGGCTTCTTCTGCTCCCAGCTCTAGCCGCTAGCCATCAGTCTAAGCATAGCACATTCGTCACCTGAGATGCAACACAAAAAAAAACACAACTGTGCAGACTCTCCAGCATCATCATGTACGTAGTGCTTTCGTCCAGGCTGCTAGGGTGTTCAGAATAAGAAGACGCAGCACGGGATCTCGACGGAGTGACATGACGCCATCCAAGATCTGGCAGCACACGCAGGAAGTCGCTGGAAGCTGCTGAAGGTACTCAATGGGGTGTTCCATGGTGTTCCATGGCCTGCTGAACTAAGCGTCCCAACTTCTGACCAACCTCCAGTCAAACGGTGCATCGATTCATAGTCGCGGGTGCAGAAGAGTCTCAAGGACCCGGCCGTAGCCTTGGAGCCCATCTTTGAGGGCTCTCGCGGTGGCTCAATCACCTGAAAACTCAAATCAAAGAGACTCGTTGTGCCGGTACACGTCTGCCGGCTTGCCTCGAACCCTCCCCCCGATGTCTCAGCCCGTGACAGTGACGCACGCCCGCAGCAAGGCAAGGGTGCCATACAGGAGGCAACCTCAGCATCGCGAGAACATGTTCATCGCAGGCTTGCCGTGTCAAGTGCTTAGGAGCCGACTGAGAAAAACGGCAAAGCTAAATCCGTGGCTGGAGGAAATCACGGCATACGCAAATGGAGCCAGATATCGGCCCACCTGAAGATCATTGAGACAAGAGAAGAAGAGTGGCGGAGAGACGCAAACGAGTCAAAGATAATCAAGTCTCAAGGTCTGCAGCCTGGCCTTGTCACAGGTCAGATCCCAACCGTTGATGACAGCAAGGTCCTGGCCAGACGCGTGAATCGACTGAGTTGCTGATCCGCCGAGGTCTCGGGTGGTAGGTTCTGGGGACCGCAAGGCAGCTGGCTCCCCCCACCGCCCCCCACTGGCCCCCCCCCCCCCCCGCAGGCCCCGGCCGAGGCGGGTCGCGTAGCGTTAAAATACAGCAGTGGCAGTAGCGAACAGTTCTTGAGAAAGCAGATGCAGTACTGTTAAGGCTGCTGGGCCGTCCTCGCGAGAAGGAGTCACTGCTGGAGGCATTGACTTTGTGACTGGCTGCGAGAAGGCGTAGAGCAACCCAAGGCCTGACATCCTAGCCACTGCATTCATAAACAAGATCCACCAGCGCTGTCCTCATCAATGTCAACCACGCAGTTTATAGCGAAAATAAACTGGGATCGGAAAGCCAGAAGAAGTCGGAAAGTGCCTATGTTCAGCACGAAGAGCATGCTGCCAGACTCGTGGCCGCAGGCGAACATAGCGAGGGCAAGCACCTGACCATTTGACACTCCATTCGATGGTTTGCGGCCGCTGACAAGTTTGATGCATCTTGACCGCCTATGAACAGATGGGCACAGAGTGGCCCCGAGGTAGCAGAGCGATGTGTCTGAGGGCTCTGCCAGGTTACAGGCCTCAAACTTGATCGATACGGACTTTTCACACTTTGGTGTCATCTGGAAAGAAGCCCACCTCCGTCGCAACGTACATCTGCTTGAGGGCGAAATTGTCTGTTAGAAGGCCAGCAATCTGCGACACCTCGTCTCTCCACATTGAGAAAGCAACTGCACTAGTTCGTCACATTGCCCCAAGTTCGCCTTCTATGGCCGAATCCAAGCACTGGGCAACCATCCGAGCAAGGCTTGTTGCCACTTGTGCTCCGGCAAATTTGAAGATGCCGCCCGCCTGCAACACACGATATGCCAACATGCGGCCAACGCGGCCACGTCCCTTATTCACACCCTGGCACTTAATCTTTGGGGTCCAAGCCTCGAGCAACTCATACCTGGCGGCCTTAGGAACGGTTTTCACTGTTCAGACTCTAGACATACTGCACACAGACATGCGCAGACTACATACCCTAAATTCGGAGTTTCGATGGGAGCCTATAGCCCAGGTCCGCGGCAGTCACCAAGAATGAATTTGCAAACCGAGAGCCAAACCTCATTCATGTGACTACATTGACTATGCAAAGTCTGCCTCTATACAGCTGGCTTACGCATACCTGCTCTGATGAGTCACACCTGACACATCCTGACACATCCTAACACATCCTAACACATCCTGACACATCTTGACATAGAGAGACTCACACACAACTCGCGGACATGCTCAACAGCATGTTTGGCTCAGACGAGGGGCTGCAAAGCAATGAAGAGCACTGCATTTCTGCCTATCATTGCGCTTGCTGGCCATACAGGCTGCCAGATTTTGCTGCCTGTGGCTCTGACTGCAAACCAGTACAAATTTTTACGAATTGCACAGATGAGATGTATCGAGATCGTGTTGAGAAGTCCTATGTAGTCTCGTAGTCCTCACGGCGATCAGCAGTTATGACCGTTGCGGCGCCAGGATACGTTAGACTTAGGGGACTTAGGTGATTTGGCTGTCACATTGTCTACCTTTGCTCGTCCATTATTTCAGCTTTCAATCGGCTCAGGCCGTCGTGGCTGCAAGAAAGAAACCCCAAGTGCCATCTCAGGTCATGCCACAAGATGTAGAGATCCGCGCGCGGAGCGCGGGCAGAAAACAAAATCTTCTGAACTCGGCTCTTCTGGCCTCCATGGTGCTCTGGCCAGGAAATACAGCTATATCACCTCTGCACCCTTTGAGGACTAGGACCGCAGGACTACTCTAGGGACCATGTTGATCCTTCTCCACTAGTAAAGTGCTATTTAGTGATTCCCTCAATATGCCTCAATGGAAGCCTGGATGCAAACCAGGAACCCACAGACAATTTTCCGCGCTGGCTTTGCCATTCGCAGTCGAGAAGTGAAACTCTACATCTGCATTCATTGTTTGCATGCAGCGACTTGCAGTGTGCGCTACGCACTTGCCTGCTTTGATGGTGGCCCGGGCCTTGGTGAAGGCAATTGCATGTCCTACGTCATGTCCAGACAGTTGTGCGGCTGGCCGTTCGCTACCCATCTGTGCCCTTGCAATGCCTGAGAAATTCTGAGAGCCTGCAAAGTACCTTCCCAAACACTAGGCTTGTCGCAGCGGTGATCCGCGAAGAAGATGTAGCAGGCCCTGCCAGAAAGGTGCCGAGAGAGCGACTTCTCCCACTCCCACCGTCGGGTCAGGTAAGGTTTTCAAGGGTCTGGGGTGCTGTCCGCTGGTGCTGCGGTGCAGTAAGTACCCTTGTGCATGTATCCTAATGTATTGCAACATTGGCGCGACCTCGCCCGTGTTGGAGACGAAAGATGCCTTCGAGGTGTCACCAGCACCAAAGAGAAGGTCGAGCAGCTCAAGATTCCACATGGAGCAAAGGAATGCTGTTGAATGGTATAGACTTGCTCCCCCTAGGCAACTAGCCCACTGAGCTGCAAGCGTGCGCAGGATTTTCTGCCATCTCCGCAAGAAGCCGACAACTGTCGCGACCTTTGCAGCCCGAGCCAAGCTCATGTCATTTGGATTCAGAGCGGACTTGTAAGCATCCGGCCAAGGACGGCAGCCACCTCAAACTCCGCTGGACGTTCTTTTGGCAGCTTGGGCTCTTTCCTCATTCGCGTGACGGGAGGCTGACTCATGGTGCTGAAGCTTGGCCAACTTCCGCGACAAGAGTGTAATGAAGGCGAGGCCACTCACCATAATAACAGCTCTGAACCTCTTTGTTTCAAAACTCTCCCCAGAAGATTTAACCTTGCGAAACCTGCAGCTGGCCTTGGCTTTGCTTCGACATCCTCGTCATCGCCTTGGACTGCAGCGACAGTTGCGCTTCTAGGGCGAGTGGATTATGTATCTGTGGATTCTGTTCTTTTGTGAAGGCAGCTTTTGTTGTTTCATGTCATTTTAGTATAATTGCTTCTTTTCGGAGGTGGCATTTGGGATATAGGGTTGTCTTTTGGTTCCGTCTTTACGGGTTTTGAAACTTAGGATGTTCCCTGCGCAGTGGCTGAAAATCGGCGGCGATGGTCAAAGAACCCGAGGGAACTGGAAATTCTCCATTTTGGTGGACGTACTGACCTTGTGGTCCTGATTTGCAAACAGCTGTAGATACCAGCATTTCAGACCTTCATTGCATATAGAGCACCCTTCCGAATAGGCAAAGACAGCGCAACTACCGGCGCAAATGCCGGCACGCTCAGACCCACTGCGGAAGACCATTCGCCTGGTAAAGTGGGCCCCAGCTGCAAACTTTGTAGTGCACGGATAGGTTTCGAATGTCTTTACACATGTACATTGCGGCTTGGAGGACAGCTAATGGGACTCTCTCGGGCACAGCGCCCTCAATCTTCGATTGTCCCACATGCTCGTCATTTGCTGAAGTACTGAATTGCACGATGTGCCTTGCTTGTCATTTGGCCAAGTTGAAGTTTACGTTACCAGCAGATCACAAGCCAAAACGTTCTCACCCAAACCTTTGTATGCACGAAAAGGAAGCTATTCTTAAACGAAGGCTTCACGACGGAATGCTGCCTTGTCGTAAGAAGCGAACCAAAACAGCATGCTTAACAAATATAAGATGACTGGCATTTGTTCAGGAATGCGACAGCCATCACAACAGACGCAAGCTGGAGGTGATGAGTAGACATGACAAAAGGAGAGGTGGATACACGGCAGGCAATCATAAAACGACGTGCAGATATGTATGTACAAGTTCTGTGTTTTGCAGTTGCACATAGCTGTATGTGTCTACATCTATCTGTGCGGATCTTATATGTACACATTACATGTCCTCCCATTGCGCGGTTCGCCCCCCCCCCCCCCCCCAACGGAACCACGAACCCTAACCCCAACCCCCAACCCGAAACCATGAACCTCAAACCCTGAACCTTAAACCGGAAAAATGTGAACCCCAAACCCAACAACCATACCTCGCCGAGGCAGGGGCGCATGCACGCCCGGATCAGATGCATGAATTTGTTCTGTATATATATATATGTGGCCGAGACCTTTAGGGTCTATTTCACGGCTGGTTCTTCTTTCAGTAGTAGTGCAATAATAATAATAATTTTAATATTATTATGAGTATAATAATACTGACCGTAATTGTAATAGGAATAATAATAGTACTAGTAATAGTAATAGGAATAGGAATAGTAATAATACTAGTAATAGTATTAGTAGTAGTAACAGTAATAGTGAAGGTTTGGTCTGTGTGTGCACCGGCGCCAGCAAGTGCAGCCATGTAGCTCTAGCACACTTTGAAGTAAGAGATAGACAAGTTGTTTCATAGCCTGAAGAGGGGCGAAGGGCTCTCTCATTTCCGATTACGAGGTAGAGGTGAGCTATCTCATTTCTTAGAAACATAGAGGAGATCTCATTTCCACGACAGAGACATCTTTCACTCAGGAGAGAACGCAAGCTGTTTCATTTCCAAGAAAATAGAGGAGCTCTATCATGTCGTTAGAAGTGAGAAGCTCTGCACTAAAAGATAGAAGGCATCGATTCGTTTCCCTTTTTCTTTTGCTTATCAAAGGGTCTTTTCAGTTCGAACACAGGATTTCTTTCATGCCCTATAAGAAGGATCGAGGAGCTCTTTCATCTGAGAGATAGAAGAACGCATTCATGAAGTATACACGAGCTCATTTCTCGTCAAGAGGCAGAGGCGTGCCCAGCTCTACCATTACCTAACTCTTACCTGAAATTTCTCTATCTCGCAATAGGTCATGAGAGACCTCCTTTTTCACGCTGCAGGAAATGAGAGAGTTCTCTTCTATGTCGATTTTCAGAAATAGCTTCGCAGCTTCTCTATCAATGAAGAGTTTTGAAGGCCACTCTGGGCCATTCTCTGTCCATCAAATGGGACATGACATAACGCATCACTCGCTATCGTTTACGTGATAGAGTTTCGCTATCTCTGAATAGGTCATCTGAAAGCTCCTCTGTATCTTTGCAGCAAGTGAAGGAGCTCCTTGCCTCTTCTGCAAGAGCCCTCCGCTTCCTATTTTGCAATGAGCAAGCTCTTTTATCTCCTCTGGTTCCTAATAGGTCATGAGCGGGCTTCCCTCTCTCCTTCTCTTTTAGGGGATAGAGGAGGTTTTTTCATGTTGCGTTAACAGCTAGAGGACATCATTTATATCCATTCTGTCATTTCGTATGAGAAGATACAGGAGCTCATTCATCTCCTAGTCAGAGATTGAAGAACTCGTTCACAAGAGATATAGATATAAGAAATCTCTCATACAATGTATAAGAGCTCTCTCATGTCCTACCTAGTTCATTTGCCGTCACCAGCGCTCAGCTCTACCATTTCGTATCTTTTATATGACATAGCTTCTCTATCTCGCAATAGGTCATGAGAGACCTCCTCTTTCTTTTGCAGGAAATGAGAGAGGTCTCTATCTGCCTTTTGTGAAAGAGCTCCCTTTGTTCAATCACAAGAACTCATTCATAGAAGCTGTAAGAGCTCTCGAATGTACTTTCTTGTTAATTTCCCGTCGATAGGTAGAGGAGCTCACAGCTCTACCACATCCTACCCTTTACATGGAAGAGGCTCCTCTATCTCGTAGCGGGTCAAGAAAGATTGCCTCTATCTCTTTGCAGAACATTAGAGAGTCCTCTACCTACCTCTTGTGAAAGAGCTCCTTCACCTCAAAATCAAATGCCACAACTCGTCTATCTTTCACTGGGACATGAGACAGCTCCATTGTGAATTTCTATTCAGAAATAGCTGCTTCTCTATCGATGAAGAAATCATGCGAGTAGCCGTTTATCGATGCATAAGAAATGACATAGCTCTTCTACCTTTTTGCGACAGATCTCTTCTTTACCCGAAATGAAAGTTTGGAAGGCCATTCTCTATCCCTTGAATGGGGACACAACTCATCAGTCTCTATCGTTTACGTGAGAGAGTTTCGCTATCTCTGAACAGGTCATCTGAAAGCTCCTTTGTGTCTGCGCAGCAAGTGAAGGAGCTGCTTGCCTCTTCTGCAATAGCTCCTCCGCTTCCTATTTTGCAATGAGCAACCTCTTCTATCTCCTTTGGTTCCTATTTCTCGTTTG